TTATTATTCAGTTGTATTCTCATTTCAAAACGTATTATTTGTGTGTGCAGATAAAACGTTTACTAATAAATATGAATGTTTGTATTCCCGTCACGTGCCAATATGCGCGAATGATTTTATCTGAAATGAATCTATTTACAAATGCAGCATGCATTAAACTCAATTATCATATTTCCCCAGTTAACACGTGGATGGAAAAGTCAACAAAAAATATTGGCCAGTGTGGGGGTCGAACCCACGACATTCGCGTTATTAGCACGACGCTCTAACCGACTGAGCTAACCGGCCATTTTACGATTATATCTTTCATTTATGCACATTATATTATCACATACTGACACATGTGCCTGGTTTCGAGTATAGATCTTAAATGAAACAAAACAAAACTTGGAGTTGTCTTGCGGAAATCAAATACATGCCTCTAAGAATGATTGAAAAATGAATCATTTGTTGATACATGTTGTCATGAATTTCCGTGAAACTTAAGTAGATCCAAATTTATCCATGATTATAAGGTAGCGTGGCCGAGCGGTCTAAGGCGCTGGTTTTAGGCACCAGTCTCTTCGGAGGCGTGGGTTCGAATCCCACCGCTGCCAATTTCTACTTTTTTAACTTGGTGTTTAAAAAGCAAAAATGTACATGTTAATTTTGATGAAATATAAAAATCTAACACGATAATACACAAACTGGTTGAGATATAGCTCTTTCAACACATTTTCCGACACTGTTTTTAACTTTTTGTTTTTGCTGTTGTATTCTTTGCTTAATGTAAGTACATGCAATTATTGTTGATTTTTTATTTTAACTTGCAAAAAAAATATTTAGAAAAACAGAATATTAAAATCTAGAAATAGCTTAAATTCCACATTATTTTGTTGTCCGGAATAAAGAAAGCTGAAATACTTCTTAATTGATATAAAAAATGCTACCGTTTCACTAATACTTATACATACTCAAACCATAATAACGATGTATGTAGGTGAAAGGTGATGATAATAAAAAAGAAACAGCTTGCAGAATCCGGGTATCTATCCCGGTACCTCTCACATGTTAAGCGAGCGCTCTACCACTTGAGCTAATTCCCCTTTACTATCGTTTTGTTGCAAACCAGTTTTATCTGTGCATTTATTAGTAACTGTATGCAGGTACTCAAGTTTATTTCCTCTGCCATACACGTAAAGGGTAATAAGGTAGCGTGGCCGAGCGGTCTAAGGCGCTGGTTTAAGGCACCAGTCTCTTCGGAGGCGTGGGTTCGAATCCCACCGCTGCCAATATTATTTTTTTTTATTATTCAGTTGTATTCTCATTTCAAAACGTATTATTTGTGTGTGCAGATAAAACGTTTACTAATAAATATGAATGTTTGTATTCCCGTCACGTGCCAATATGCGCGAATGATTTTATCCGAAATAAATCTATTTACAAATGCAGCATGCATTAAACTCATTTATCATATTTTCCCAGTTAACGCATGGAGGGAAAAGTCAACAAAAAATATTGGCCAGTGTGGGGGTCGAACCCACGACATTCGCGTTATTAGCACGACGCTCTAACCGACTGAGCTAACCGGCCATTTTGTGATTACACCATTCATTTATTTACATTATATTATTACATACTGACACATGTGCCTGGTTTCGAGTATAGATCTTAAATGAAACAAAACAAAACTTGGAGTTGTCTTGCGGAAATCATATACATGCCTCTAGTAAGAATGATTGAAAAATGAATCATTTGTTGATACATGTTGTCATGAATTTGCGTGAAACTTAAGTAGATCCAAATTTATCCATGATTATAAGGTAGCGTGGCCGAGCGGTCTAAGGCGCTGGTTTTAGGCACCAGTCTCTTCGGAGGCGTGGGTTCGAATCCCACCGCTGCCAATTTCTACTTTTTTAACTTAGTGTTTAAAAAGCAAAAATGTACATGTTAATTTTGATGAAATATAAAAATCTAACACGATAATACACAAAGTGGTTGAGATATTGCTCTTTCAACACACTTTCCGACACTGTTTTTAACGTTTTGTTTTTGCTGTTGTATTCTTTGCTTAATGTAAGTACATGCAATTATTGTTGATTTTTTATTTTAACTTGCAAAAAAAATATTTAGAAAAACAGAATATTAAAATCTAGAAATAGCTTAAATTCCACATTGTTTTGTTGTCCGGAATAAAGAAAGCTGAAATACTACTTAATTGATATAAAAAATGCTACCGTTTAACTAATACTTATACATACTCAAACCATAATTACGATGTATGTAGGTGAAAGGTGATGATAATAAAAAAGAAACAGCTTGGAGAATCCGGGTATCGATCCCGGTACCTCTCACATGCTAAGCGAGCGCTCTACCACTTGAGCTAATTCCCCTTTACTATCGTTTTGTTGCAAACCAGTTTTATCTGTGCATTTATTAGTAACTGTATGCAGGTACTCAAGTTTATTTCCTCTGCCATACACGTAAAGGGTAATAAGGTAGCGTGGCCGAGCGGTCTAAGGCGCTGGTTTAAGGCACCAGTCTCTTCGGAGGCGTGGGTTCGAATCCCACCGCTGCCAATTTCTACTTTTTTAACTTAGTGTTTAAAAAGCAAAAATGTACATGTTAATTTTGATGAAATATAAAAATCTAACACGATAATACACAAAGTGGTTGAGATATTGCTCTTTCAACACACTTTCCGACACTGTTTTTAACGTTTTGTTTTTGCTGTTGTATTCTTTGCTTAATGTAAGTACATGCAATTATTGTTGATTTTTTATTTTAACTTGCAAAAAAAATATTTAGAAAAACAGAATATTAAAATCTAGAAATAGCTTAAATTCCACATTATTTTGTTGTCCGGAATAAAGAAAGCTGAAATACTTCTTAATTGATATAAAAAATGCTACCGTTTCACTAATACTTATACATACTCAAACCATAATTACGATGTATGTAGGTGAAAGGTGATGATGATAAAAAAGAAACAGCTTGGAGAATCCGGGTATCGATCCCGGTACCTCTCACATGCTAAGCGAGCGCTCTACCACTTGAGCTAATTCCCCTTTACTATCGTTTTGTTGCAAACCAGTTTTATCTGTGCATTTATTAGTAACTGTATGCAGGTACTCAAGTTAATTTCCTCTGCCATACACGTAAAGGGTAATAAGGTAGCGTGGCCGAGCGGTCTAAGGCGCTGGTTTAAGGCACCAGTCTCTTCGGAGGCGTGGGTTCGAATCCCACCGCTGCCAATATTATTTTTTTTCATTATTCAGTTGTATTCTCATTTCAAAACGTATTATTTGTGTGTGCAGATAAAACGTTTACTAATAAATATGAATGTTTGTATTCCCGTCCGGTGCCAATATGCGCGAATGATTTTATCTGAAATGAATCTATTTACAAATGCAGCATGCATTAAACTCAATTATCATATTTCCCCAGTTAACACGTGGATGGAAAAGTCAACAAAAAATATTGGCCAGTGTGGGGGTCGAACCCACGACATTCGCGTTATTAGCACGACGCTCTAACCGACTGAGCTAACCGGCCATTTTACCATTATATCTTTCATTTATGCACATTATATTATCACATACTGACACATGTGCCTGTTTTCGAGTATAGATCTTAAATGAAACAAAACAAAACTTGGAGTTGTCTTGCGGAAATCATATACATGCCTCTAAGAATGATTGAAAAATGAATCATTTGTTGATACATGTTGTATTCTTTGCTTAATGTAAATACATGCAATTATTTATTTTTTTTTAACTTGCAAAAATAAAAAAAAAATAATTAGAAAAACAGAATATTAAAATCTAGAAATAGCTTAAATTTAACATTGTTTCGTTGTCCGGAACAAAGCGGAAATACTGCTTAATTGATATAAAAAATGCTATCCTTTAGCTATACATAATTACGATGTGTTACAAAATATGTTAAACACTTGACAAGATTTGATGATAGTTTTTCATGTTATAATGTTGTAATATATGTCGATGAAAGTTGATGATAATTTGATTATTGGTATAAATGTCTTCATTTTGTTTAGTGTTCAATCATTACCAATTCCAATTTTATTACAATGAGTAAATGTTCAAAGGTTTCTTCCAATGCCAAGACGCTTGCCCTTTTCTATAGGGAGATGGTGCTGGTACGTTGTAGTTCTTCAAACTTTATAATTCCTTTTTAAACATACGATAAACCACGGATTTATTCGTGGATAAACCAGGGACTTAAATTGACTATTGTAATTAAAGTCCATATAGATCTTTAACTAAACATTAAATATATATTAAGGAGATTTTACAATTAACTGTGTTGACTTTGTACAATCAGGGTCTTTCAAATAGAAATATTTGAAAGACCCTGGTACAATTCATGAAAGAACAAATCATTAAATTTATTTTAACAACGTTTTTAATATGTAACAAATTGCTATATAGTAACGTTAATAAACATTCTGATAAATCACTCAAAAAGTCAAGAGTGTTCTTGACTAAGTTTATCCACTTTTTTAACTTAGTAGTCAGTGGTTTATCCAAGGAAATGTGCATATTATTAGAATGTAGAGCAGTATTGTATACTAATTTACATATTTTGTGACTTCTAAATGGCAAAAGTTTTGGCATAGAAATTATAGGCTTTATATCCCTAAATCACCACAAAGGTGTAGGTTGTTTAAGACAAAAGATTAATTTACAATACCTTAATTGAAACAGAGATATAGATAACATGTTGTTTACATCACATCTCTCAATGAATCTTCAACATTATCAATTTGCATAGTTATAAATTTTAAAACTGAAATTATATTTTTCCGTCCACTGTCCGAAATACAGAGCAGACCCAGTATATCCAGTTCATTCAATCATTAAAGGTTTTATCATTTAATAATATGTTTCTCTATTATTTATTACATATTTATGTTATCAGAAAACAATAACTTAGATTAAAATAGCAACAACAAATAATTAACAAAAACCGCACAACGCATACGAGTGCGGTCGGAAAAAAAACCCATGGTGACTCTATAAAAATATCATCGACAGAATAATCCTAAATCCGGAAGTTTCACCTACACTTTTTGTAATATCTTATTTTTGAAGAATGGCAGACGGAAGACTTGCGCAGGACTTATCTACACCTGGCTTTGACCCTGAACATTGTAAGCTCACTGTTTAAATTCAAGACATTGGGTTAGAATTGTGATAAATTTCAATACTTGAATTAATCATAGTGCTGCTATTTCGGATATTTTATTTATTCGGATAATCAATGGTAGTCAGCAGCCATAATTCCGCGTCATCAATTATTTCGTGGAAATTGTATTATATTTCCATGTGACATTTGTTTATATTGGTAAAGGTTAGCCTGTTTTAGTCATCAGGGGCAGCAAAATCAATTATCTGCATTGCCCAGGTTGTCCCACAGCCTGTATGGACAAGTGGAAATTTTCTAAAATTTTCTATATAAGTATCATACGGACAAGTAAGGAAATGCTTCAAGTAAAAACGGACAAGTTAGTCAAAATCAGATTTTGCCGGCCCTGGTCATTAGTCCTTAAAAACTAAGTTTTCAGGCAAACATTTTTCAACCTATAACGTTTTATACATTTTAGAAGTGTTTTAGTATTTTTTTTAAAGAAATGGTTAGTTATAAGAGCCTGTACTACAGTACAGTAGCCAAAAGTTCTAGCTGTATCCAAGGCACTTTAAAGGAAATAACAGAAAAAATACATTAATTAATATTCATACTTGTGTTTGTAGAAGAAGAATTTACAAGATATCAATGAAAATCAAAATTTTTAGGGGATGGTGCAATTTAAGCCGTGATGATAGTTTTTAAATGAAAAAACTAATGATTATTCAAATCACAGATATGTAGACAACGGATAGTTAACTCTGAAAATAGACGAGAGGTTCAGACCCACATCCTTTGCGCGCTTTAGTGATTATCGGGCTTTCCCGCTAGTCTCCGATTTTCATGCGATATCCGCAAATTATTGCTTATATTGCCGAAATGGATTTTCATCGGAGAAATATTTGTGTGGAAAAGTGTGTTTTGTACGTTTTAGAATAAATAACTATTGCTTCTTATATAAGTAAAAAATGTTTAGTCTTTTTTATTGATGTACCTCCGGGAATTCAATATGGTGGTATTTTGGCTACTTTTACCCAGGATGCATCAAATCTTGCAAAATCTCACGACATATGATAACTTGCGGGTACACAATTCGGCCGATACTAACATCACAGTCTCTTCTCCATCTTACATTTAGCTCCATGTTAAAATTTAACAATTTTAAATGACATACAGTAAATAGTCTAACTCATCGTAATTTCTACAGATTATATTGATGTAATCATAACTAAGAAAGGAAATTTCAGGTTAAAACAAAACAATTTTCACTAATAAAGCCAGTGGTCGAAACTAATGATAAAAGTTATAAAGAAAATTCTGATTGCGCCAACTGTTGAAAGTTGCTAGCTGTTTGTTCATCCTTAAAATTTTACATAAAAAAATATTTAAATAGATTTGAACATCAGATTGCTAATTTAGGCAATTTCCAGTGGTAGCTCTAATAAAATTATAAGAAAGTTATTTTAACAATTTCAACTTGTTTAATAACCCATAGTTTACATCTGGATTCAAACACAGTTGAAAAAAATGATTTTAGATTTTATAGATTGAAATACAATATAATTCTGTATAAATGACAGAATATCATACAGAATATCATCTGTAATATTAACTCAAAAAAAATTATTTGTTATGTAATAAAACTGGCAGGTTATTAACTTTACTTATCATTGAAAAAATGTAGAACAACTGGCCCCCACAGTGTGTATAGGCTATCGGTACCTGAATCATGTATGGCTAGAACTTTTGGCTAACATGCCCAGAACTTAGATAATGTAACATCACTTTGTGGACCACAAAATAACTGGTATTAATTATGCCACTTGGGACAATATTGGCCTCACCCTGGTGATCACTTAGTTTTTATATTTTGTGTAATAATTAAATGCAAACACACTTTAGTTATGTTTTGTGAAACTACAAATTAGTACAATGGCAACAGCTAAGATATTTAGCATGTAGCATTACCTTTTGAATGTCTTCAAAATTGATACTAAACTTGCCCCAGGGGTCAAAATTGGTCCGTCTGGGGTCACTTGATTACAGGGAAACATATTTAAGTCTTGTTGTGTGAAACTACAAATCTCAGAGCATAGATATTTAGTATATAATAATTTGTAGATTTCTACTAAAGTTATACAAATCATGACCTCAGTCAAAATTGGCCCTGTCCTAGGAGTCACTTGCTTTAACTAGACTAAGGTATAGGTATATAAACACATCACATCTTTTTGGGGATAAATACTACCACTGCATTAATTTTGGTATATAGCTTTGCCTAGTGAACATCTGTTCATATGTAGTGATTTGTTTGCAAATGTGTTACTAAATATATGATATATATATATGTTATAAATGATAATTCCTATGTTGCAACTTGCACTGCATTTTAGGTACAAATATGAGAAAATGAATACATGTAGAAACATGGCAGCAATAAGCAAACCATGAAACATATCATTTAAGTAAGAGTTCTTTTACATGACATAACCTGTCTCAACAATATCATGATGTACATCTTGGATAAGATTAAGTCAAAATGAATACACTGTTAACAAATTGACCTGCGGTTGTATATACTTGCTTGTTCTGTGGCAGTTTTAATACTGATTCTGCTAACTACATTTGAATCGAAAGGCCATGACCTTTAAGTATGTCGATAACTTACACATGATCAGTTTTCAGTACTACCTTCTACAATGGCTTCATTCTTTACATGCTTATTTACCATTGTAATGAGCATGATCTTCACAAGTTATATGTACATAATTATGTTTATATCCTAGGTTATTTAGGCATACTGGTTTCATATACACTACATTCAAATGTAGTTAGCAAAATAAATACCTATGGGTTCTGATGATGCATTATTATGGCATCCATTTTTAGCTTGACTATTGTGGTCACACTGGTTAAGATTTTGTTACAAAACTACTGAAGTCCCCTTCAAGGGAATGAATTGAAACTTCTCACACTTCTCTGTGATTCAAACTGATGGGCACAAGTCCCATAACTCTGAGTTACAGAGTAATGCCCCTTTTTATACTGACAAGCACTGCAAATAGTCAAGCATGCTGTCTTACAGACAGTCCTAGTTTCCAACTAATGCTCTTTTAAAACAGGTATAGTTTCCTAAACAAGTCGTATTTTGGCAAGTTAGAGTTATGAAAAATTGTACTAATTGTACAGTTTCTTTTTCTTTATTTGATACTCACTAACTTGTACAATAACCATGATCTCTGCACAGAAGTTGACATTGCCATGGCATTCAATTTTCATGTGTAATATTTCATTTACTCACACCATATTTGCAAGGTTCATAACTTTAGCACCTATATTTAATGAATTATCTCCCCATCCCATTACCTCAATAGTTAGAGCATTTGACTGTAAATAGGGCGATCCTGGTTGATTCCCAGTCGATTCCCGGTCAGTACACATCACTTTCGGTGTGATTGATAATCTACAGTCATTAAAACTGTACCTCTATGTACAGAAGTATAAATAAGTTTTCAAAGGTGAAAGGTAAACTGCTTGACAGCCTGCCAAGATACGATAAGGTGGCTGAACTATGCTCTGGTAAATTCAAAGTGGTTTACTGCCGTGAGCCAGAGGGTAAACTACCACCACCACCACCTTTTTACATAGTTTTTTTGTCTCAGATTGTTATTTTTTATTTACTCAAATGTTTTTATTTGTTTTCAGATATAAGCAGGTTGTCAGAAGAAGGGGAAATGCCATTGTTGGAGATGAGACAAAAGGTCCATATACTCTCTGAGAAAACTGCCCAAGAGCTGAAGAAAAATGTCTACAAAAACTACTCACAGTTTATTGAAACTGCAAGAGAAATATCCAGTATCCTTGCCATTAAATTCAAACTTAAAACATTATTTAATATCAGAATCAAGGCTTTGCTTTGAACATTTATCAAATGTTTATTACAAGTTCTTTATGGTTGTTCCGTTACAGTTTTTAGGAGTCATTAATTTTCTAGCTTGACTATATTAAGAGTAAAACGTGTTACTGTATATAAGTGGATATTTTTGCATCACAAATTGTTTGCGAATGTGAAAAAGTGGACTTTTTGTGTGCTGAAATATTTGCGAAAAATATGATTTATTGAATTTAATACTGTTTTTGTGACATCTTCAATTAAGCAGGGCTGGTACATGTTAAGAAAATGTCGTTATTGTCATCGTCCTATTCAGTAATTTAAGACCTTTATTATTTATATAGTTGATTGAAATATTTATTGTTAGTTTGATAAAGAACCTGATCACACATTTCTTTGTCATATTTTGAATCATTCCTATGAATAACCTTATGTGTTATTGAAACATATATTATTTCATTTCATGACCAAACTTAAACAAACAAGCAATGAGAAAAATTAATCTCAGTACCTGAACAGTCAAACTTATTCATTTAAGATGTTGTACGAAAACATGTTTTCAAATGATAAAAGAAAGTTTGCCTAGAAAGAAGTAATTTTTGCGTGATCAATTATTTGCGAATAATTTCAGTTTGCGAAAATGGCAAATATTTCCATGTCACAAAATTAACCACTTATACACTTTGTTGTCCCTCACCTTTTTTGGAAGGTCCATAACTTTTTCATCCACCTTGTGATTTTAAAATGACAGGGCACAAATATTCACCACAATAAAATGATGTTTCATGTGCAACACCAAGACCCTTACCTCCAAGGTCAAGGTCACACTTGGAGATCAAAGGTGACCATTGTCTGATGGATGATTTATATTTCATATCCGATCCATAAGATTCTGCTACAGTCAGGTTATCATTCCATTGCTGTTGCCATACAGAAACCTTAACATTGGCATTATCTTTTTATCTCTTAATGGTTTGTCTTCATACTTGAATACAACAACCTTCCACAAGATCTTTATGTAAATCAGGCTGAACTTTAAAGGTCAAATGTTTGGACTTTGCTTGATTTTTGTTTTAATTAAACATATTTGTTTAAGCTTGATTATGAAACAAGTTCTTGCAACTTATATTGATCGCTTTTGTGTCCGCTTCCTGGAACCAACCAGTACTGATGTCATATGAAGAAACATGGTCATGACCCGATTAGGGCTGGAACCCATGATCCCTGGGTTGAGAGGCATACACCTTAACCACTAGGTCACCACTCTCCTTTTGCTGTAATTGGCTATAACTTTCTTATTTGTAAATGGATTGTCTTCATACATGGACACAACAATCCTTTAGACAAGACTTTCAAGTGGACTCAATTGGTTATGACTTTCACTCATTAATGACCTTGACCTGTAAGGTCAAATTATTGAATTTTGATTGATTTTTACTATAATTGGCTGTAACTTTGAAATTTAGGATGGATCGTCTTCAAACTTATGCATAACAACCTTAAGGACAATGTCTAAACGGGGATCAAACTTAATTATCTTGACCTTGAATGTCAATTTATTATTATTTTACTTTTTTGCTATAATTGGCTATAATAATTACTTTGCAAGAAATGAATGGGTTGCCTTCATACTTGGGCATAGTAATCCCCCTTTCACTTTATATTTTATCTCTTATAACAAAAATGACATGTTTAGTTATTCAGATATGACCTTGACCATCAATGTCATATATTGAAGTCAGCTAAGGTTGTCATAACATTGTTATTTATTTACGGATTTGATTTATCCTTGGAGGAAGGAATCCTTATGATAAAACCTGTGTTGAATAATTTAAATAGAACATTGTCCTTTTTGACCTAGTCATCAGGATCAAATTTAATTGAAATATCTTAAATTGTCATATCTTTGTTTTGATTCATTCTTGGACAATAGAATACTGACAAGATGATTAATTCTAATGTGACCTTGACCTTTGAATGACCTTGACCATTAAGGTTAAATATGAAATTCTATTTATATTTTATACAAGAAAACCATGTTTTCTAGCAGTATTCTTTTCTACAATATTTTAATTGATGTGTTTGACTTAAGAAATAAGAAAAGGTTGAGCATGACCCCAGTTGAAGATTAACCCTCCACTTGTATTGAAGGGTCAGACATTATCATCCACCAACTCATTTTATTAATGAAATAATTTCTAGTTTTTAAAACATTCATAATAGAAACACATGTATATAAAAATAATTAACTTCCTAATTTCTAGCACAGTTCACAGTTAATATCTGCAAAATTGTAAATCTGAAGGTAAATTGTAGGTATAGTCATATAAATAAATGTGTTTTGATTATTATTGTAAAGTAAAGAAAGGTTCATAACACATGTTTAATGTATTGTCATATGCGAGAAAAGAGTAATCAGTATGGTAACTTTCTTATTTAGAAACCTTTTTTTTAAATACTCATTTGCCCAAACTAATTTTCAGCCTCATTTTCTGTATGCTATTTTTAGTATCATGTGTCTTTTTCAGGGACATGTATTATAATATTAAAATTGTGCAAGCTGAAAATAGAGATAAACTAATGTTGCATACCACTATGTAAATTTCAGGAATAATTTTCAATGAAGCAGGCTAGAAATTTTGGCATTTATAAGTATGCACTATACGGATGCTTAAAGAAGCATTTGTTTCATGAATATAATAAAAGGAGAGAGAAAAAGAGCTGTCTTAACTTAATTATAAAGTAAGGCTAAATCTTGAAATGGCAAGTGACTACTTTAGCATAGGGTCTTAAGCCTCATTGATTTGTTCCTATCTATTTGATTTTCTTATCTTTTTTTAAGCCTCATGGATTTGTTCCTATCTATTTGATTTTCTTATCTTTTTTCCCCATTTTCCCAAGATACTTAAGTAATGTAAATTTTAAAGGGCACTAACTCTTCTAAAAAAAATAAAGAGATTAAATGCAATTTTATGATGTTTGGTAAAAATAAAGACTTAAACTTTTGTAATATATTGATAAAGGGGAGATAAAAACAGTAGATAGTTTGAAGTATGATTGGTAGACTAGATCTGTGGATGTTCTGTGCATAAGGGAGCAATAAATCAGACGCAAAATTCTGGTTCAGATATTTATATATCAATTTGATGAGGGGAAATAACTAGAGTGAAGCACTATCTCATAGTTGAATGGAAGCAATAAACTTCCTGTTATTTTACAACAGTCTACAAATACAATTATTGCATTGTGTTTCATAAAGTAAAATGGGCAATAAATGTGGAAATACCATTTTATTTTATTCGAATATCTACAGTCGGAGAGCTATATAAAACTTTTATCTATAGAATATATGGTTTCTACTGGGAGATGCTTTATAGATAAATCGTATACCATATAAATGAATATTTCAGAAATTATTGTGTCGGGGAGAGGGGAGACTTGTTTGATATCTTTTCATGATAAGTGAACAATTCCTAAAAATCATTACTATTCTGGTTTCTCCAAAAGATATGAATGTTAAAGTGTATTTTTAGCTCGACTATTCGAAGAATATGAGAGCTATTGTAGTCGCCCCGGCGTCAGCGTCCGCGTCGGCGTCTGCGTTGGTTAAAGTTTTTTGTAAAGTCAAATATCTCAATTACTACTTGAGATATTCAATTGAAACTTACAATACTTATTTATAGTAACAAGGTACATCAGATTGACAAGTTGGATAAATCTGCCTACAATATTGACAGAATTATGCCCCTTTTTAACTTAGAAATTTTGGTTAAAATTTTTTGTAAAGTCAAATATCTTAATTATTGCTTGAGATATTCAATTGAAATTTAAAATACTTTTTTTTATAGTAACAATGTAGATATTCAATTGAAATTTAAAATACTTTTTTTATAGTAACAATGTACATCAGTTTGCAAAATTGCATTACTTTGCCTGCAATATTTGCAGAATAATTTGCCCCTTTGAAACTTAGAAATTTTGGTTAAAGGTTAAAGGTCTTCAAAGATATTTACTTGAAACTTTACACATGCACTTAGGGTCATAATTGGAGGGTCATAATTGTATGTCACTGACCAAGTTCCATAACTCTATCTTGCATTAAGGCTGATTCATATCCCCTTTTCTACTTAGTCTCTTGGTTGATGTTTACATGCAAGTTTTACATATCTCAATAACTATTAAAGATATTTATTTAAAACTTCACATATGCATTTAGGGTCATAATTGTAGGTCACTGACAAAGATCCATAATTCTATCTTGCATTTAGGCTGATTTTTCTCGCCTTTTTCAACTTACAAATTCATGGTAAAGTTTTGCTTGTAAGCTGTTATCTCAATAACTACTGAAGGGTTTGTGCCTTTTTTGGGACAATTTTATGCATTCATAATAATAAGGCAGTGACTTACTTGATAAAACATCTTAATAACAAGCCTTTGTACCTTTTCTGTCAAATTTATGTATTCATAGGTAATTAGTATTATTATACTCAATAAAACACCCTTGTGACATTACCTTCCAAATAGTCAAGCCATAACAGTATAATTATACTTTCTCTAAGGCCTATAACATGAATTTATAAAAAAAAATAGCCCTTTTGTGAACTTAAAAAATTTAACATTATCAAGGCTCTTTTACTATCAAGCACTTAGAATAGTCGAGCGTGCTGTCCTACTGACAGCTCTTGTTGTATAATGGAATGAAATTTGTATTGGTCTCTATTGCCCTTTTCAAAATATTCCCTACAAAATAAATTGACTTAAAACTTTCAGTACTTTCTGTAGTTCTTGATAATAAAATTATTATGACTCATAAATGCTTTTGTTTCCTTGTTAAAAGTTATTTTGATGTGGACATACGCCTGTTCTCCAAAAGCTGAGGAGGAATCTGAAATTATTGTAAATAACATTTTAATATATCTATTTAGAAGTTAATGATTACAGTATGATGTTTTCTGAATTTTTAGTTAAGATATTACAAAAGACTGGTGGGGTCATTACATCTTAATGAATTCCCAATTTCATCTTCACTAATTTACAATTTCATCTGTGTGAATTCACTTTTCATCTTCATGAATTCATGATTTCAATTTCACAAATTCATGATTTCAACTTAATGAATTCACGTTTACATCTTCAGGAATACAATTTCATGAATTCCCGATTTCAACTTCAAAAATTCACGATTTCAACTTCACGAATTCCCGATTTCGTCTTCATGAATAAAATTACAATTTCATCTTTGTGAATTTACGATTTCTGAACTTCATGAATTTATGATTTCAACATCACAATTCCAACTTCATGAATTTAAAATCGTAAATTCATGAAGCTTAAATCGTGAATTCCTTATCATATGTTGAAAATATGAATTCAGACACGAAGTTTAAAATCGGGAATTCAGTAAGTTGACAATTTTGTTGGCCCACTGGTCTTTCGTAAGATACAGAAACAATTTGATGACTTCATACCATTCTTTAACATAGTTGTACAGTCCTTGAAGGAGAGATGTATCAAGTGAGTCACATGTTAACAGAACAGAAGCAGCTGATGAACACAATGTTAGAAATGTCCCTCGTTAGTGATAAAGGTATTATTGATAATTTGATATTTTTTTTCTTATTCACTGTCAGCATAGATCAGTTATTAGTGTGTGTGTGTGTGGGGGGGGGGTATATAGATTTGCCAATGTCTGTCCACCCTGCTGTTGCTCTGTCACACTGTCTGTCAGACTCTGTATAATACAGCGGCAAAACTGTGGAGTGTTGGGGCATCACTGTCCTGTCCATACATTTCTAGTTTTTCAATAAATAGTTCCAATTAATAGTCATTTTAGGAATGAAAATTCTTTCTATTATTAAAATTAATATTCATTTATAATTCATATAAAGTGTACCTAAGAGTGAAAAGCAAGTTATTAGATTGAGATATAAATAACAATATAGTAATTATCAAAATTGTTCTTTTTTAAAATTTTACAGGAATGATAAGTATCCTGCTACCTTAATTGTTTGACAATCTGATATTTTTTCTTGTTCTGTATGTCAACAAAGATATTAACTAAATGCCACAGAAATGTCAATCAGAAAAGTGTGCAGCCTGACCGGGAATTGAACCTGGAACGTTCAGAATACCATTCCAAGACTCTACCAACTGAGCTATCCAGCTGCATATACATCTTGTCTCCTAATAGTGAACAGTTCTGAAGCGTGACATAAATTCATCATTTTGTAAAGAAGCAAGTTTAGTTATTGATAAACTATAACTTCAAGTGATTCTTTACTCCGGTGACTATCATTTCCCAGTATTAGCAGTTGTAAGGGTATATATCCTAAGCTACTACATGTACTCCATGATAGTTATATAAGCTTATAATTATAATTATACAGTTTTATAACCTGTCAAAAGAATTTATATCATAACATTAATTTTATAATGTTTGCAAAGATATAAACTTTTTTTCATTTTAGGTTATTGAAATAAATACATGAACGTATCAAATTGTGATATTTTGTTCAATATTTTTTCAGCTGTTGTTGAGGAAGCTCCGAAGGAAGCAGAACCGGAAAACCCGGAGGAGGAAACCCGGCGTAACCTTGCCTTCCTGCTAGAGAAAGTTGAGGGATGCTCTGTATGTATAAGATGAAAATTATCTATATATTGTCACCTTTGTGCAAAAACTGGTTAACTGCTATTAGATTTAAAAGAACTTAACCAGTAACTGCACTAATTGTTAGCTTACCTTTGAATTTAAAGCAAGTACTGTAATTAGATAATAATTTTACACAAAAAAAAAAAACCTTGAACTTTACATGCTTTTCAGGTTTAACGCAGATAAATTACATTTACTTGCCTTACTGATTCATGTATAAGTTTAATACAGGTATAAAATTGTTTAACCAATAGTGAGTCTTTTGGATTTTATTAGAATCGATTTGCTTTCAACTCTTATTTATTAAGAACATATTACTTGTAAAATAATAAATTTATTTGCCAAGACAATAGCTCACTGAATGGGTCATATTTTTAGCTCACCTGTCACAAAGTGACAGGGTGAGCTTTTGTGATCGCTTTTCGTCCGGCGTCCGTCCGTCGTCCGTCCGTAAACTTTTGCTTTAAATGACATCTCCTCATAAACCACTGAGCCAATTTCATCCAAACTTCACAGGAATCTTCCTTTGGTGGTCACCTTTAAAAATTGTTCAAAGAATTTAATTCCATGCAGAACTCTGGTTGCCATGGCAACCGAAAGAAAAATCTTTAAATATCTTCTTTAAAACAACCCTAAGAGCTAGATCTTAGATATTTGGCATGAAACATCTTCTAGTGAGTGTCTACCAAGTTTGTTCATATAAAAGCCCTGGGGTCAAAATTGGCCCCGCCCCAGGGGGTCATTGATTTTCCCTATATGCATATAGTAAAAACTTAAAAAATCTTCTTTTAAAGAACCCAAAGAGCTAAAGCTAAGATATTTGGCATGAAACATCTTTTAGTGAGTGTCTACCAAGTTTGTTCAAATAAAAGCCCTGGGGTCAAAATTGGCCCCGCCCCGGGGGTCATAGATTTTCCCTATATGCATATTGTAAAAACTTAAAAAATCTTCTTTTAAAGAACCCAAAGAGCTAGAGCTAAGATATTTAGCATGAAACATCTTCTAATGAGTGTCTACCAAGTCTGTTCAAATAAAAGCCCTGGGGTCAAAATTGGCCCCGCCCCAAAAACTTAAAAAAAATCTTCTTTTAAAGAACTCAAAGAGCTAGAGCTAAGATATTTAGCATGAAACATGTTCTAATGGGTGTCTACCAAGTATGTTCAAATAAAAGCCCTGGGGTCAAAACTGGCCCCGCCCGGGGGGGTCATTGATTTTCCTTATATGTGTATAGCAAAAACTTAAAAATCTTCTTTGAAAAAACCCAAATAGTTTAGATATTAAGCATGAAACATCTTTAAGTAAATATCTACAAAGTTTGTTCAAATAAAAGCCCTGGGGTCAAAACTGGCCCTGCCCCAGGGGTGTCATTGTTTTTAACTATATGTGTATAGTAAAAACTTTAAAAATCTTCTTTTAAAAAACCCAATGAGCTAGAACTTAGATGTTTAACATGAAACATCTTCTTATGGGTGTCTACCAAGTCTGTTCAAATAAACAAATAAAAGCCCTTGGGTAAAAATTGGCCTGGGGGTGGGGGGGGGCTATATACAGGTGAGCGACCTCAGGGCCATCATGGCCCTCTTGTTTAGTTTTACCAACAGATTTTTTGTTCAGTTCTGTTATTGTTCACTATAGAAACTATTAGTTGTCTAATACTTATTCAAGAAGCTCTTAGTTCTAAACAATGCTCATGTCTTACGATGAACATGGTCATTAGTAAAGTAAAGAGTGAGGTCTAGACCTGCTTATAGCAACAGGCCACTTATGTATCAGCTATTTTCTCCTTAAATTCTTATATTAACTTGTTAAAGGCATTTGCAGAATGAAAATTGTTTCATAAGATTTCTGTGATCAGTTTCTAAGATCATGCAAAGTTCAAATTAATCCTAATTAAATGTTAAGTTAACATGTCTAAATGTCTTTAGCAAAGAGCTTTAATCTTGGAATTGTCATGTTTTATGTTTGTCTTTCAGAGTGTAACAGAAGTTCCAGGTAGACAACTAATACACAATGGAGACCTGGCAGAATTACACATGGAATCATTCGCTCAAGTGCAAAGAGTTCACATGTTCTTGCTGAATGACAGCTTAATGATTGCCTCCTGGCTTCCAAACAGGTTATATATTATATCATATACACGTAGTGTAGATATTTTGATATGTTATATGAACAAATATGACACAAACGAAAGAAATCTGTGGAGTAAACATCTTGTATACGCATCATGTTTGATCCTGAATTACTTTACCGATGGAATAGCATTATGTTATGGTTTCAAAAGTGAGTAGTTTAAATATAAGAAGCCTTCAAGGTATATATAAGAAAAGGGTCATATTATAAGAGATATGACTTGGTTAAGTTCTTGTATTTGACTTTAATGGATTTTACTAGACCAGATTACATTCAGTGCTTCATACTTTGTGAGATCCTCGATTCTCAATGTGCAAAATCCACTCAAAGCAAAGAAGAGTTCCTTGATCAAAATACTTTATAGAAACACTTTCATTTATAATCATGAATAAAGGAGCAAAAAGTCTTTCTGATTACAGCAGTGTGTATTAGGTCTGTTGACCTTTAAGAGAATCTTTAAAATGATAATTTCTTTGAACACATGGGTACACATGTTGCGAGTTGCTGAGATGTATATCATCACCTTAGTGCAGTAACGGGTTAAGTCCTTCTTAATTTAATAGGAGTTAACCAGTTATTGCACAAAGATGACAATATGTATTTAAGTGGTGAAAAAACTTGTTATAAAACAAGTATAGAATCCAGTGCTCTTCTGAGGTTACTGCCTGTCTTTATGAAGTATTATGTTATTATTTTGAATAAAAAACAACAAAAAAACAATTTGTTGAAAATGCTGCCGGTACAGATCAGAATATCTAGCTCGGGGGGTAACTGTATACAGCAGTTAAGTGGCTCCCGAGAGCTAGATATTCCTGTTTGTGAAGACAGCTGGTGTTTGATTTTTTTTCTTGCATTTTTCGAATTATATTTTATATTATATTTCAAAGAAATGATATTTTGAAAAGAAATTACAAAAACTAATATATTGATTTAGCACTTTATTTCTTATGGTAGCATATGGATTTATAACTTCAATAATAATGGCAATAATGACGTCTTCCTTAGAACAAATGTGTCAGAAGTACCTCTTAAAGGTGTTTTTTTAAATGGAAGAGCTTTTTTATATTGTAAAGTGATCTCATTTAAGAGTCATTCTTTCAGAAAGTGATTATGTCACATCAGAAAGACAGGCAATAAAAATTACATTGAGAATGATGTGTGAAATTTTATTCTTTAAGATGAGGGCCAGGACGATATAGATTTCAAATTGTATTATTTCAGACGAGGGCCAGTACAATATAGATTTCAAATTGTATTATTTCAGATGAGGGCCAGTATGATATAGATTTCAAATTGTATTATTTCAGACGAGGGCCAGTAAGATATAGATTTCAAGGTTTATATGAACTAGATAATCTTGCCATTGTAAACATAAGAGATGCTGGTCCAGTTAAAAATGCTTTCAAAGTGTTAATGTTTCCTGACTCGAAAATCTACCAAGCCGATAGTGCCAAGTCGAAGGTAAATATTCAGAGATCAGTTGTTTAACTAATTAACTAACTATAGCTTACAGTACTTGCTATAAGTTACTAACTAGCTAACTATAAGTAACTATATACATGTAACTATAGCTAACTATATAACTATAACTTTCTTTTACTAACTACATACTCTCCAGGAACGATGGTTAGGAAACTACCCGCCTATATGACTGAAATACTGTTGGGGAAAAGGCCTAAAATGAAACAAACAAACAAAAACAAGCTAACTACATTGTTACTACATATAACTAACTGACTAACTAAATCAGTTTATAAATTATATTACAGAGGCAATGGCTGGATATTTTAGAAGACACAAAAAAGAAAAAGTTAGCTAGAGACAAGCTGAAGAAAGAGACTGTAGCCCGGCTGGCAGAACAACAGATGACGGCCTCTGCTCATGCCGCACAGAAACAGGATGAGGATAGAGCCTGTAAGTAATCTCAGTTCTTATAAACGTGATGTTTTAAAGGCTATACTATAGTAACATTTAGCCATTTAAAGGCAAATTGTAAAAGCGACATGGCCGAGTGGTTATCACTTTGACTAGTAGTCTTAACAATTTTTTGCCGCGTGGGTTCAAACCTAGTCTGGGGCAAGCAGTTGTTTTCTTGAACAAGAAACTTTACACTCGTTGCTTAGTACTGGTTGGTTCCAGGAACGGATTAGAGAGTGTTTTAATAAGTTAACAGTTTCCATCACAATCAAGTTAACAGTTTCCATCACAATCAAACTAAAACACATTCTTATAAGCTAAAATAAATTGAAGGGCCTTTGTACATGTGAATTCTAAATTGTCATAGGCCAATCTGTATTCATTATATTTATATTCTAGCTATGTTAACATCATAAACCTTTGAGATAATGCATATTTTATATTTTAACACTTGCCATGAGTTTATCAACATAAATCATGAATATGGCACCCGCCTTGGTAACAAGATATCTAAGACTTGTAAACTTGCACTCATTAACTCAAACACAGCTTCCAACACAATCAGACTAAAACACAAAACACATTCATATAAATTAAACTAAATTGTAGGGCATTTTGAACAAGTAGAATACAGCACACATAAACTCATTACTTAAAAATTCACCACTTGTAAACTTAATATTCATAAGCTTCAGATTCATAAACTCAGACTTGTAAACTCTCCAAACATAAACTATCACTGATTAACTCACATCTCATATAAAAAGCACTAGATGGAAGAGCAGGGCTTTTTTCAAAGGTTGGGGAAGCAGCCCCGCCCTTAATTTTTTTTGGAAATTATACATTATTTTTGCAAAAGGGGGAGAAAAAACTTTTTCAAATTTTTAGGGAAAACTGCATGATTTTTAAGAATTTTTTCTTTGTGGAAGCGGCCTTTTAACAGCCTCTGCTATAGAAGGAAAAAAAGCCCCTGAAGAGGGACACAGTTTGTTAAATTGATATTTTGTCTTCAGTATCAGCAGAGACAGATGAAGTGGATAGTGCTACTGATGCCATGGAAACAGAGTTACTAGCAGCTGATTGGTTACAGGAACTGCCAGAAGATTTAGATATGTGTATAGCACAGAGAGATTTCGAAGGAGCTGTTGACCTTGTTGAAAGAGGTAAACTTTAATATCTGCTCTCTTGAATGTTGGTGATATTACATCATGAATTTCTTAATCTATAAAACTAGTTTTCTTGCTGTACATGTGATATTCTTTTCCAATCAACTTAGAGCTGTCACCTATTCAGTGCAAAGCTTATTGACTACCATTCAGGCTTTGAATAGGTTAATCATATTACTTAGTTAGTAGTACTTGTTACTCAAAGAAATCAGCTGTTTTGTGCAAATAAATGCATCCTCGAGGCGACTGCTTTTAGAAATTTTACTGTAGAAAGTCTTTGTGCAAGGTAAGGTTCTAAGTGATATTTCTGAAAGAAAGAAACAAAATAATTTGTTCTGTTATTTGACAAACATATTTTTGGTCATGATTTAATTGACAGTATTATTAAACAATTTCATTTCAGTGAATGACCAGCTAAAAGAATGTCAGAAAACTCCTGCCATCAAAGAATTCAGGTACTTTATGCACTATTTTATACCATTAGGACAAAGACAAAACCTTCTCTAGTAAAGCTGGTAATTCTCTGTTGACATTTGTTGTATTGATGTAGAACCCAAGCGAAAGAAAATATTGAGATTATAAGTTATTAGTTATATCTTTTACTCTTAACTGGTACCAAATAGAAAACGGAATTCTTTCTTTGCTTGACTATTCCAAGAATAGGAGAGTTATTGTACTTACCAATATATGGGCATCACACTTTTTTTGCATGCAAGTTGGTATCTCTAAAACTACTGAAGAGAATGGGTTGAAACTTCAAACACTTGTTCTCTGTGATTATCATATATGATGGGCACATGCCTCATGACTCTGAGTTACCTTTTTATGCCCCCACAATGTGGGAGCATATAGATGCCCCCACAATGTGGGAGCAGAAAGCGTTGCACTTGTCAGTCCGTCCATCCGTCCCGAAATCTTGTGAACGCAACTCCTCTTAAACCGAATGGCAGATTTTGCTTAAACTTACAGGGATGAACAACCTTAATGTGTAGATGGTAGTAAAGGAAGGAATTTTCGCTGTGACCAAATTTTACAGAATTATGGCCCTTTGTTGATTTTTTCACTAGATACTATGTATAAATTTTGTGAACGCAACTCCTCTTAAACCGGATGGCAGATTTTGCTTAAACTTCCAGGGATGAACAACCTTAATATGTAGATGGTAGTTAAGGAAGGAATTTTTGCTGTGACCAAATTTAACAGAATTATGGCCCTTTGTTGATTTTTTCACTTTATACTATGTAGAAATTTTGTGAACGCAACTCCTCTGAAACCGGATGGCAGATTTTGCTTAAACTTCCAGGGATGAATAACCTTAATGTGTAGATGGTAGTAAAGAAAGGAATTTTTGCTGCGACCAAATTTTACAGAATTATGACCCTTTGTTGATTTTTTTCACTATATACTATGTAGAAATTTTGTGAATGCAACTCCTCTTAAACCGGATGGCAGATTTTGCTTAAACTTCAAGGGATGAACAACCTTAATGTGTAGATGGTAGTAAAGGAAGGAATTTTCGCTGCGACCAAATTTAACAGAATTATGGCCCTTTGTTGATTTTTTCACAAGATACTATGTAGAAATTTTGTGAACGCAACTCCTCTTAAACCGGATGGCAGATTTTGCTTAAACTTCCAGGGATGAACAACCTTAATATGTAGATTGTAGTAAACGAAGGATTTTTTGCTGCGACCAAATTTAACAGAATTATGGCCCTTTGTTGATTTTTTCACTTTATACTATGTAGAAATTTTGTGAACCCAACTCCTCTTAAACCGAATGGCAGATTTTGCTTAAACTTCCAGGGATGAATAACCTTAATGTGTAGATGGTAGTAAAGAAAGGAATTTTTGCTGCGACCAAATTTTACAGAATTATGACCCTTTGTTGATTTTTTCACTATATACTATGTAGAAATTTTGTGAATGCAACTCCTCTTAAACCGGATGGCAGATTTTGCTTAAACTTCAAGGGATGAACAATCTTAATGTGTAGATGGTAGTAAAGGAAGGAATTTTTGCTGCGACCAAATTTAACAGAATTATGGCCCTTTGTTGATTTTTAGTTTTCAACTTGTGGCACATGTTGTCCAAAAAATATTTGACCTAGAGTCATAAGATTGACAGAACAGTGGTGTGTGGGGGCATCTGTGTCCTATGGACACATTTCTAGTTATGGAGTTATGTCCCTTTTATTTATGTAAAGCACTGACCACTGTCGAGCACATTGTTGGTAAACAGAAAGTACTTCTATGTTACTAGTTGCCTTTAAAATTGCAACATTTTTATGAGGACCATAATTAATTTAAATCTTTATATAATCAAGCATTATAACAACATTAGTGCTATAAACTTGCTAGAATAAATCCAGACATGAAAGGGAGATCACTTCTTCAGGGAGGATTTTAACCTATGGCAGCTCATTTGGTCATTCCTGTTCAGAGAAATTGTATAAAATCATTGTTGCCCTCTGCAAAATTAAACAAAATATGAAAATCATTAAATGATAGTCTTTGTTTAATGTCATTTGAAAATATTTATAACATTTTACTGCACATTTTATGACACCAATACTGCACATTTTATGACAGAAAAGTAAGGTCTTTACATGTCATGTAATATACAGTAGAATCCGTACTTATGACCACCCCAAAGTCTTTGTTTTATAACATTTAAACTATGTATGACATTTTACTGCGCATTTATGACACCAAAGTCAAGTCTTTTACATGACATGTGTTATACAGTAGAATCCCTACTTAAGACTTCCCTGAAATTAAGACCACCCCTATAGTAAAACCATTTTTAAACACAGAATTTTCTGTTCTTTTATATGTTAATGGTTACTTTATCCAGAATTAAGACCACCTGCTTTTCCACTTTTAAGACCACCAGATTCAGTCCAATTATTTGTATTATTCTTTATTTGACCCCACTATTGAGACCACTAAGGTCAACATCTTCCTAGATCTTAAATTTGTTGTTTTTATCTCCTTGAATGCTCTTAGGCGTGACATTTGTATATCATAATTGTGTAAATGTAGTAAGTATTTTATAAAATTTAATGTCATTTTACTTTTACAGAGCTAGGATTGATCACAGAGTGAAGTTGCTAACAGAAGGTTTGATGAGTGAGTTACAGGTGTCACCAGAGCGGTCCCTTAGGGGAGGTCCTCGTGCTGCCCGTAGAGCTGTAGCCCAGTTAATACGCCTAGGAAGATCTGCACAGGTGAGAAAAAATATATTTTTATATCTTAAAGAAAAGCAGTTATTTAAAACTTACATAGTCTGTTTGCTTGTTTGTTTAGGGATCCTTAATTTATTTATCATTTTATGATTAAATAACAAAATTAATAATCTTGGGGACTTTTTTCTTCCACTAGTGTCAGATTCAAATAATTTTAGTGGAGATCTTTGGTATTACCTAAAGAGTGAAACTGATTCCGAAAATCCAGTGTTGGATTACTAGTTACAGTGGAGCCTTGCTAATTCGAACCCTTCTAATCCGGAATCCTTTCTTATCCGAACGAAGTGTCCGGTCCCGACTTTATTCGTTCTATTTACAATAATAAAAAACCTTTCGGATCCGGAACCTGTCTACTCCGAATTCTGGACGATTTTTTCAATTTTTGTTCTTATTATACTCTAAAATTTACCTCTCGGATCCGAACAGATTTTGCCAAATGTCACGCCTTTATTCAAAATAACAAATAATCGCACATCTGGCAGGTGTAAACATACACCAAACTGATGTGTTAATGGGTGAAACGTATGATCTGCGAAGGTGTGAAAATTATACTTAGCTTATTTCATATCTTCTATAATTGCTTAATTGATTGTTTTTCGTCACCTTCAATAAATATTTTGATATAATGCAATAAAAATATCTTTTGATCCTTTGTAATGGATTCAATGAAACGTGATTAAGCAATGAAAATTAATAGAAACTGTCAGTGAATTCGGATAGTCGCTGAATCGGATAAGAGTAAACAACAATTGACAAATGCTGGTATGAATATTTAATTATGTCTCGGCCTCCTGTTAAACATCGTAGGTTAACTTACCCTTGAGGAAATAATATTTTTTTGCTTATTTATTTATTTTCATTTCTTTATTTTTGTATTCACATGTATTAGAATGAACGATAAGAGACTGCAAAAATAAAATATCTCAATTGCAATTTCAAATGCATTCCCGTTTTCTTTCCCTAAACTTTTTTGCAAATACATGTAACATGAAAAAACACGTAAAAGAACCTTCTAATTCGGAAACCTTTCTAATCCGGGAACCTTTCTAATCCGAACCTTTCTTCTGGTCCGGACGAGTTCGGATTAGACAGGTTCCACTGATTACTAGTTATAAACAAGTGAGCAAGGGGACCTCCAAGATCAAGTGGTTATGGTTGCTGACTTTAATACACTTGCTTCTCACTAATTATTGTTGTCTGATTGCTTCATTTAAAGAAGCATCCCAATTATCCTATGGAAGGAGAGGGGATAACTCATATATCAAGCCTAAAATAAAACAGGAAGTGTATGGCAAAGGGGTCTCAAGGTTTAGAAGTTCTCTTCCATCAGTAATATCAGTACAATGTGTCCTGTACAGTGTAAGTAAGATTGAAAATAAAAAATAAATAAAAAGAAAAGGAAAAGGAAACAAAGAAATGTGAAAAGTGAAATTGTGATAGTATTCCACATTTCTGTCAAGAAAAGATCTCTGATGGGAAGAATTTGGTGATTGTCTATGTATTAAGTTAAAATGTATGTGCATGTATTTTCATTTTGAAAAAAAAAAACCTTTCCTTTTTAGTTGATGTTAATTACTTTTATACATTTTCATTCTTTCACAACAACTTACTTAAACCATTTTAAAGGAAAAAGGAAATATTATCACCAAACCTTGATTTTTTTTCTAGATTTTAAAACAAAAACTATTTTACTTTAATGGGAAAAATCTGAATCCCCTGTGAAAATATCAAGTTGCTGATATAATTGCTTTTTAGCTCAACAGAACCAAATGTTCAGGGTTATCTATTACTATTGGCTTATAATAATAATGAAAACTAATTCCTCTGTGCCAGTGGATCTCAGACATTGAGTTTAATGATCATTTGTCTCTCATTGCTGCTTCAGGAATTACATGTCTGTGGGATTACTAGTCTGTTATTTGCAGTAAAAGTGGTTAGAACTGGTTAGTTATCCAGGAAAGTCGATTCGGTGGATCAACAACAGAAATATTACCAAACAATAGTATGTTAAAATATGCACAAAAAACAACAGAAAAGCAAACAAAATACTTTTGACAATAATAGTCAGATTCACTTTTAAAAATAATAATTTCTCTACAAAACTTTTCTTATACCAATTAACAATGATTAATGGAAGAAATCATCATAAACTTGGTAGTAAATGTACGTTGGTATGTGGATTTACTATCACTCAGTAACATTAATTAGTACTTCACTTAATCAAGTGGGTTCAAAAAAAAAATTACCAGCCTTTTTACTGGCTGCTGGGTCTAAAAAAAGAGAGATTTTTAAACAGCTTCTACCCATTATTGGATCATTACTGAACAATTGTTTGTGGTTACTTAGGAATTAAGGCAACTTTAAGGTTATTTATAAAATTTAGTTTTGACACCATCTTCAGACCATGGTTCCTAGAAATTGAACAATTTCCATTCAGGTGAGCAATGGATAACTGTAATGACTTTCTTGTTTCTCTAAAGATTGAAAAGTCGTGTACTCAGTATTTATTGAACATAGACAATGTTAAATCTATTTTGAAATGCATTTGTGTGAGAATAGATTGTAAATAACCTGATAGTCTTCATGCTCCACATTTTACGAGGATCAGGTGTATTACTCATCCATTTTATGTCACTTAACAAGATTACAGTATCAAGTTATATGTGCACATGCAATGTTAATCAGTGTTAATGGAAGCTTTTTACCATTTCTAATTGCTCTTGTAGAGGCTTGAATTGCCAGTGCAGGTCATCTAGATGTTTGATATGATCATGAAAGCTTCTAGTTGCTCTTATGACAACAGGAGCTTTGATTTCAAATGAAAGCTTCTGAATGATTAATGAAATAAGTTGTATAAAAGATCTAATTACTTTGTATCAAATTAAACAGAGTTTTTTTTGTTCTAAGTTTATTTGTTGTTTTGTCTGTTTGCTATTGATGAAGGTTAGATTTTCTCCTGTGTGTAATCTGATGACTGCATAACAGTCCTTTTGTAATTGAATGCACTGATTTACCTCTATCTGGCATTTTAAAAAGAGGCTCAATAGGTTTTGATAACCTTTGATGCTTTCTGCTTTATATAGTTTAGATTTGAAAGTAATATTTTCTATTATTTGTGGGTTATATTTGGTACAAGAAATAATCACTCTGTCGGCTGTCAATATTTATTTGATTGTAACAAATGCTGTAGGGATGTTTAAATCATTCAAGATCGTATGTTATTCTTGGCTCATAATGTCCTACGCAGAAACATGGCTGTGACTTATGTAGAGCTAGAACCCATGATCCTTGGGTTGAACTAATGCAGCAGAGAAATTAATTTGGTTTAAATGGTTTACCACATCTAATGATTCTTACAGTATGAGTCAAAAAAATGATCTGTCTCCTCAACAAGTCTAATAAGTTAGACAAGGTTTTTTTTTCCATGCATGAAATTTGAAAATGCAGTTGTTAGGCATTGAAAACAAATATTGCCAGTTTAAGACTGTGTTTAATATGATGTAGATTTAACCACCTTTGAAAATGGCATTATGGGGCGGGAAATAAGGTCTCTGCTGTCAAAATAGTGCAAATTGTGATACAAGCATGAAACTTTCAGGAAATTATCTTTAGACCATGTAGATTTCAAAAGTGAAGTGGGCCCAAAAATATCTCTGCTCATTCAAGATGGCCGCCATTTTCAAGATGGCCGCCATATAAATTTGATGTACATAATAGATCATTCATTCCAATTTTTTGTACAGACCTGAAACTTTCACCAAAGCATGCATATAGTTTCCCCTTTTCAAAAATTTAAATTTTTAAGCAATTTCTCTTGCATATTTCTTCAGAATCCAAGATGGCGTCCAATAAGGCTGCCAATTTTAATGAAAACTGATATATCTCTTTTGTAGTATAATTTTTTGCACACGGTATGCGTATTTCCATATAAAATTGTGAAATATATTAGAAAAAAATCAAATTTTAGGTTAACCACATTGTTAGTCATGTTTTTAGTTTTTTGTACAAAAGAAATCTTTAAAAAAATCAAAGAAAAAGTGCCATTTTTTTCATTTTTCTCTAACATGGTTTTCTAGGTCTATGTACAAAATTCCAAAAGTTACATAGTTTCTTAAAGTGTATTTGATATTCAATCAACCACTATGTTTTATTGTATAATAATTGTAACAAAAACAAACAAAAATGTGAAGGTTTTTATACTTATTAAAAGTGGGTGGGGTAAATTTATCAGACAATTGTAGTACAAAATAACGTTTTTTAAGAATTCTTATGCAAATATTCACTGTAAAGGTATTTTATTGTATTAAGGTATTTTTGTTTTCCTTCAGGTCTAGAGGGTGTACTAAAATATCAATAAATGCAGATACAATCATATGTATACATTCAGTTATTAAATTGGTTTGCATGATATAAGTTGTTTCAATAGTCATAATATAACTTGATAATTGTACAGAAAGAAGACTGAATATTCATCAACGAACCATATGTTAGATAAAATCATGCCTTTACCTTAGTGAAATGTTGTCTATTTATGAATACAATTATTTCCTGCACAATTTAGTCTTGCTAAAAGCTTGTAACAGAATGATTCAAAGTTATATTTACTTGCACATCATTGTAACCAAGTATAATTGAATAAGTACCGTCCATTTCTAATAACTTATGTAGACATGATATTTTCAAAAGAAACAAAAATTTAGGCGACTGATACATCATATTATCTAATGACTAGGTGTGCTAAAATATGTATCAATAAAACCGCTTGACCCACATAACAAACATAGCTTATACTTTGGAATATAAACTAAATGACGATCTACACTGGCTGCCCATCAAGGCCAGAATACAATTCAAGATTCTTGTATATATGTACAACTGTCACGTTGGAAATGCACCAACTTATTTGACCGACCTGCTTACACCAAAAGTTCAAAAACGTTCTCTGAGATCATCATCATTTTCAGTTGACAGTTATGAAGTGCCTTTTAATAAGTGTAAAACTTTCAGTGACAGAAGTTTCAGTACAATCGGCCCTAAACTCTGGAATGATCTTCCATTAAATATCAGACAATGCTCATCAGTTGATAGTTTCAAGAAACACTTGAAGACTCACTTTCTTCAGAGACTATTTTAATCTTTTTTAGTCAAAGTCAGTAAAGTGTAGAAACTAAGAGACAATATTTTTCTGCGCATTAACTCTGTGATGAATATCTGATTTTACAATGTATTTATTATCCAAGTAACATTTGCATGTCTTTTACCATGTCCTTTAATAATATAGCCATATTTTTAATTATTTTAAATAACATTACTTTCTTTTATTTGTGATACCATGTTTTAGATTTTAGATTCAGAATTAATTGTTTTATTATTCTTAAACTACATTTATTTATTACTTTTAATGTTCTGATGTGATAATGTACAACGCCATTGAATATGTATTATATGTAGAAATAGGCGTTTAAGCAAATAAAACAGTTTTCAGTTTTTTTTTAAATGTATTCCTACTTTATTTTTCCCATAAAACAAGAGAGCATTGTTGACCCTAGATCATGCGCCTAAGACCCACTGCTGGAAAAGGTCTATAATTCTTTTATACTGAAGAATGCTAAAATTATATAAGGAGTATCTTTTTTTCACCAGTCATGATTTAAAGAATCATGTCCAATAACTAGGCTCTCAGAACTACAAGAAGACTCATATAACTATATTCCAATAAGAGTCCATGTAAACTAAGTGATTTTGACCCTATGCCAATAGTTTATAATCTTTATATAACATCACAATGTTATGATATACGATATTTTCTCTTCTCTGTGCACATAGTTTCGGAGAAGAATTTTAATATATAAGTCAATGTAAACTAAGTGACAGGGAAAGCCATTTTGGACTGCAGGAACATGACTTAAAGGACCTCACGAGGAACACAGTTTTTAAAGACTTGTGTAGGGAATCGCATTGAAGTTGTTTTGTTGTTGATGTTATTAAAAAAAATCAACAAACAAACAAACTGTAATGCCTAGAGCTTAGATAGTCAAAATATAACCTTGCCAAGTAAAGAAGACCTCTTTAAAAGTTACATAAAACACTTTTGTATCATTAAGTGTACATGCAATAAAAAAAATCTTCTCAAAAATCAAAATGCATAGAGCACAGGTACTAAGCTGGCATGTAGCACCACCTTGGGTCTTTATTAACACATTTAATGAATCATGCTCATAGAGCCACCTGGGTTCACAGACTTGTATAGGAAAACACATTAAAAACATCTAGTGTTAAACTTCATTGACTTGAAATAAGATATTTAGGATGTAGACTGATATAACATGCATAAATTTGTATGATGCTACTGCAGTCTAAAATGGTTTTGCAATGGTATCACTTAATTTACAAAGACTACTGTAATAAATCTGTTTTCTCTTAACCTACAGTATCCGACGCATATACATTAATCATGTATCATCATAATTATGTTATAATAATGATATATGGACAACATGGTCCATATTTACCAAACACAAAAGGTCACTAAGTTTATATGGACTCGTATATAGATATGGTTATTAAAGTTCTCTCGTGTGAAATAAAACATTGAAAGCAGATATTGAGCATGTTTCTTTAAAAGCAACCGGATTCAATTATGACAAAAATCATGTGTGTTATGGCATAATTGACACTCCCAAAATGATCTTGTTACCTTTTTTTCCAACAATGATCTTAGGTGAGTGATCCAGGGTCATCATTACCCTCTTATTGAAAGAAAAAAATAAGATATGATTACTTTAGGAAATACTAGTACACTTAGTTTGTATCTTAACTTTTCAAAAAGGCCAGGCTATATCATTGATATATATGTTTTACATCACATACATTTTGTTGGCTTTTAAACCATGTTTATATTATATAAATATAAAATTGTGAAGGAGTCAAAAATATGCGTTTATAGACTACCTTTATACCTTACATTCAAGTACATGTTTGCTATTTTAAGCACGTTTAGTTGATTTATTGTCTTCTTATATGTCTTTACGATTAACAATTAATATATGATATCAAATATATTGAAACAAGAATTATCATGCAACCAAATTTAATAACTGAATGTATACACATGTTTGTATGTGCATTTCTTGCTCACCCACCAAATGGCCCGAAGGAAGACAAAAATGCTTGCATCCAATAAAAAGTACTTTTTAAGTTGGAACATTTGCATAAGAATTCATAGAAAAGTAAAAAGGCAAAGAAATAGAATGAACTTAGCTATGTAGATTTTCTGTTGTTTTTTCTTTCACAATTATCATATAAAATTACCCCACCCACTTTCACAAAATATAAAAACCTACAAATTTAATGCTTTTCTTACATTCTTTACAATAAACACATGATATTAATGGAATGTCAAATACAGTTTAAGATATAAAGTAACTGTTTTAACTTTGTACATTACTTTAGAAAATCAAATTTGAAAAATATGAAAAAAAAATGGAATTTTTTCTTGATCTTTTTTAAAGATATTTTAGACAAAAACTTTTTAAATGTTTACTTTTATTGAGATTTACATATAATTTGATTGTCTCTGATATGTTTAAACACCTTTTTTTATCATAATAAACATAATTTGTGCAACAAATTATACTATAAAAATGATATAACAGTTTTGCACAAAATCGACGGCCATATTGGACGCCATCTTGGATTTGGAAGAAGTATGAAAGAGAAATTTTGTGAGATTTAAATTTTTGAAAAGGAGAAATCATATGCATGCTTTTGGTGTGAGTTAAAGGTCTGTACAAAAATTGGAATGAATGAGCTAGAATGTACTCAAATTTATATGGCGGCCATTTTGAAAATGGCGGCCATCTTGAATGAGCAGAGATATTTTTGGGCCCACTTCACTTTTGAAATCTACATGGTCTAAAGATGATTTCCTGAAAGTTTCATGCTTGTATCACAATTTGCACTATTTTCTCAATTTCCCGCCCCACTATTAAAACTGTTTGAAATTAAGGTATCTTTAAAACACTGCACGTTTGTAACATAGCTTTTCATTGACTAATCATGACATATAGTTTTATATATACAGCTGCTGTCAATCTATGAAGAAACAATTTTTTCTCTGATAAAAGATGCTTGTTGTATTATAAAATTTGTTATAAATATATCTGATGGGTTGTTACAATGGCGGTATATAAACGGTTGTTTGAAATATAATTCTCATCTAGCGACTTTGGTTATATTTCCAAACAACCATTTATAAAGGGCTATAACCAGTCAAAATGCTTATATCTAATAATATTAGAAATCAGACATAACAATGATAACTGGCTCTTGTGAATTAAATTTTTTCCTTATGAAAATTTGGATATTTTAATATTCTCATTTATTATACAGGCATGTGATTTGTTCCTGAAAAATAGAAGTGCAATCATAAAGTACAACATTCGTCAGTTAAAGTTTGAAGGAGCAACCAGTCTATATATACGTTGTCTTTGTGGCGTATTTTTCTCAAGTCTATCAGAGACTGGGCGAGAATTTCACAAAGCATTCCCTGAACATTATGGATGTTTTTCAGGTATTAAACTTAATTTGTGGTATTTTTTTTTTACCTTATTTATAATTTTAATGTGTTGAAAACTGCATCCTCAGTGCAAAATAATTGCCCAGTTTAAGGGAAAAAAGATATTTTTTAATTTCAAATTTGGAGAGAAAATTATGTTTATAGCATAGTAAACTTTGTTAATGAAACTAAATTATGTATCGAGATATGTGAACTTTGTTTAAAGCTTATCAAGTATGCCTAATTTAAGCACTTCCTGGTAATGTTGAGAAGTCTGTTTTTATTTGTTTTTGAAGATGATTTGCAAATTTATGTAGAAACAATACAAAAATTTACGAAGTCATTTTACTAGCTAAATTGATGTATAGATAATATAATTATGTCAGCCTGAGTAAGAGGTTATGATTTAATTTCAGCATTTATTGTTTGGTCCAAAATGGAGCTGGAAAGTTTCATCAAGATATTTAAACGCCATGTGTTTGACAGTAAATCTAACCTTCCAACAATTGCTGAATGTGTTTCCATAGCATCTAAACACTGTGATGAGGTGAGTAAACTTTGATTTATTTGTTGCTAATGTAATTTGAACAGTCATTCAAACTTGAGCTTTGTCATAATCAAAGCTAAGCCAACTTATGACCTTACAGTCAAAACAAGAGGTAGCTATCTATCAAAGCTGTGTGAGCTCATAGACAAATCTGTCTTAGCTTACAAACAAATGTATGTAAGCTCTAAACCAATCTGTATAAGCTCAAAAACAAATCTATATAAGCTCAAAGGCAAATGTATGTTAGCTCATAGAAAAATCTGTGTAACCTCACAGACAAATTTTTTTTGTAAGCTCACAGAAAAATCTGTGTTAGCTCAAACTCAAAGTGAGTAAGGTCACAGTCCAACCTAATTAAACCAAAAGTCGCGTCTGACATAGCTCACAGTCTTATAAATCCTATTTTAACTCAAAGTCCAATTTGATAAAGCTCAAAAGTAAATCTGAGTTAAATAAGTCAAACTAAAATTAGGTCATAGTCAAACCACAAGGTAATTCAAATCAAACTTAAACTTACTGTCACTTTAGCTACATCAAATGGTAATTCATCACAAAACGTTTCTTTTCCATTTATAAAATTATGGGTATAAAATTTCCTGTTTTTAAGAGAGACCATCTGTTCATATAAATTGCTCCCATTTTCCCAGACTAGTCCTAACAGACATTTTTAGCTCACCTGAGCATGCTCAGGTTGAGCTTTTAGGATCGATGATTGTCCGTCGTCCGTCTGTCGTCCGTTCACATTTAGTTGTTAACACTCTAGCAGTCGCATTTTTTGCCTTAATCATCATCAAACTTGGTCAGGATGCTTGTCTAGTTGATAGCTCGGATGAGTTCGAACATGGGTCATCTCGGATGAAAAACTAGGTCACATGAGCTAAAAATAGAAAAACCTTAACACTCTACAGGTCACATTTTTGCCTCAATCATCATCAAACTTGATCAGGATGCTTGTCTAGTTGATAGCTCGGATGAGTTGGAACATGGGTCATCTCGGATGAAAAAGTAGGTCACCGGAGCTAAAAATAGAAAAACCATGTTAACACTCTAGCGGTCACATTTTTGCATCAATCGTCATCAAACTTGGTCAGGACGCTTATCTAGTTGATAGGTCGCATGAGTTCGAACATGGGTCATCTCGGATGAAAAAGTAGGTCACCAGAGCTAAAAATAGAAAAACCTTGTTTACACTCTAGCGGTCACATTTTTGCATCAATCATCATCAAACTTGGTCAAGATGCTTGTCTAGTTGATAGCTCGGATGAGTTCGAACATGGGTCATCTCGGATGAAAAAGTAGGTCACCGGAGCTAAAAATAGAAAAACCTTGTTAACACTCTAGCGGTCACATTTTTGCATCAATCATCATCAAACTTGGTCAGGATGCTTATCTAGTTAATAGCTCGGATGAGTTCGAACATGGGTCATCTCGGATGAAAAAGTAGGTCACCGGAGCTAAAAATAGAAAAACCTTTTTAACACTCTAGCGGTCACATTTTTGCATCAATCATCATCAAACTTGGTCAGGATGCTTATCTAGTTGATAGCTTGGATGAGTTTGAACATGGGTCATCTCGGATGAAAAAGTAGGTCACCGGAGCTAAAAATAGAAAAACCTTGTTTACACTCTAGCGGTCACATTTTTGCATCAATCATCATCAAACTTGGTCAAGATGCTTGTCTAGGTGAAAGCTCGGATGAGTTCGAACATGGGTCATCTCGGATGAAAAACTAGGTCACCGGAGCTAAAAATAGAAAAACCTTAACACTCTACAGGTCACATTTTTGCCTCAATCATCATCAAACTTGATCAGGATGCTTGTCTAGTTGATAGCTCGGATGAGTTGGAACATGGGTCATCTCGGATGAAAAAGTAGGTCACCGGAGCTAAAAATAGAAAAACCATGTTAACACTCTAGCGGTCACATTTTTGCATCAATCGTCATCAAACTTGGTCAGGACGCTTATCTAGTTGATAGGTCGGATGAGTTCGAACATGGGTCATCTCGGATGAAAAAGTAGGTCACCAGAGCTAAAAATAGAAAAACCTTGTTTACACTCTAGCGGTCACATTTTTGCATCAATCATCATCAAACTTGGTCAAGATGCTTGTCTAGGTGATAGCTTGGATGAGTTCGAACATGGGTCATCTCGGATGAAAAAGTAGGTCACCGGGTCTAAAAATTGAAAAACCTTGTTAACACTCTAGCGGTCACATTTTTGCATCAATCATCATCAAACTTGGTCAGGACGCTTATCTAGTTAATAGCTCAGATGAGTTCGAACATGGGTCATCTCTGATGAAAAAGTAGGTCACCGGAGCTAAAAATAGAAAAACCTTGTTAACACTCTAGCGGTCACATTTTTGCATCAATCATCATCAAACTTGGTCAGGATGCTTATCTAGTTGATAGCTTGGATGAGTTTGAACATGGGTCATCTCGGATGAAAAAGTAGGTCACCAGAGCTAAAAATAGAAAAACCTTGTTAACACTCTAGCGGTCACATTTTTGCATCAATCATCATCAAACTTGGTCAAGATGCTTGTCTAGGTGATAGCTCGGATGAGTTTGAACATGGGTCATCTCGGATGAAAAAGTAGGTCACAGGAGCTAAAAATAGGAAAACCTTGTTAACACTTTAGCGGTCACATTTTTGCATCAGTCATCATCAAACTTGGTCAAGATGCTTGTCTAGGTGAAAGCTCGGATGAGTTCGAACATGGGTCATCTCGGATGAAAAACTAGGTCACCGGAGCTAAAAATAGAAAAACCATGTTAACACTCTAGAGGTCACATTTTTGCCTCAATCATCATCAAACTTGGTCAGGATGTTTGTCTAGGTGATAGCTCGGATGAGTTTGAACATGGGTCATCTCGGATGAAAAAGTAGGTCACAGGAGCTAAAAATAGAAAAACCTTGTTAACACTCTAGTTGTCACAATTTTGACTCAATTGTCATCAAACTTGGTCAGGAAACTTGTCTAGATCATTGCTGGGAATAAATCGAACATGGGACATCTCGGATGAAAAACTAGGTCACAGGAGCTAAAAATAGAAAGATCTTATTAACACTCTAGTGGCTACTGTTGTGATCCAAATATTCTGTTAATTGGTCTGAAAATTTGTTTTGATGATTTCTAAGTCAAGATCGAACATAGGTCATTTTGGATGAAAAACTAGGTCACACCGCCCAAATATGGAAAAACCTTGTTAACATTCTAGTGGTCACATTTTCTACTCAAATTATCATCAAACTTGGTCAGGATGCTTGTCTAGGTAATTGCTTTGATGAGTTTGAAATCGCATGTGAAACTAGGTCACCAGAGCTAAAAATAGAAAAATCTTGTTAACACTCTAGTTGCTACTGTTTTGATCCAAGTATCCTGGAAATTGGTCTGAAAGTTTGTTTTGATGATTTCTAGGTCAAGTGTGAAAATGTGTCACCTGAGTAAAAAACTAGGTCGCACTGCTCAAATATGGATAATCCTTGTTAACACTGTAGTGGTCACATTTTTGACTTACCTGTCATGAGACTTGGTCAGAATGCTTGTCTAGGTAATTGTTTGGATGAGTTTGATAAGTCAGGTGAGCGATCTAGGGCCATCATGGCCCTCTTGTTTATCTAACTGGTTTACTACTGACAATTTTGTAACACAATCTTAAGTGCATTTAGAAAACATGCATTGAACTGTGAAGTATCCTGAGAATATTGTTATTATCGAAAATATCATTTTATGTTACAAACATGTCATTGTAATTCTTGTTAATATTTCAGCTGGCAGGAGGTGGACTTGATGTTGGATTTTATCTTGCAACCACAATCAATGGTGACCTTGAGAGAGTGATAGAGGAAAATAGGGACCAGATTATAGAGGGGATTAAATATAGGGCAGTGGTGAGATTATTTTAACAATTGTTTTAATGTTATCATACCATGCTTACCCTCTTATATCTAATTATAAGCTACAGACCACTTATAAGTTACAGCCAACTTAAGAGTAACAGACCACTAATAAGTTACAGACAGCTATCAAGTTTCAGACCACTTATAAGATACTGACAACTTAAAAGGTTCTGACCACTTACAAGTTTCAGACCACTTAAAAGTAATAGATCACTAACAAGTTACAGACCATCTATAAGTAGCCTGCAACTTGATAAGTTACAGACCACTTATAAGTTACAGACTACTTAAAAGTTACAGACCACCATTTATAAGTTACAAACCACTAATAAGTTATATCCAAATGGTCCTATAAGTAGATTTGCTTTAAATGTTTTACCTGTAAAATTTGTAAATTTAAGGAATTGTGAGAGTATAATCTTAAATCGTTGAGTTGATGTGACTTCGGATCCAACAATTAATCCTAAATCAAATAAAATAATTGATACAAGTACACAGTAACACTAGTGAGGACAGTACATGCACATGTATGTACACACATATATATATATATACCCGGGTATTTTGTTAAATTTCAGGAAGATCTTTGGCGACCTTTGAACCTACAGAATGAAACTGAATGTAATAAATTTGTTGAAGAAATGGCCTCTGTTGGGCTGGATGTTAAAGATAGTGTTTATAGTGAGTAATATTTATAGCATGTAATTATACAACTATACATATACATGTATACATACATTACATACATGTATATTATTACATTTATGTATGTTATGTTGTATTTGTCATTAAAAGTCACAATAAGAATATGGCATGTAAAATTTTATTAGAATTCTGTACATGTATTAATAAATCTGTATGAATTATGTAGGAATAAGAATTTTAAGTATCATATATCAGGGTTTTTTTTGCAAGTATCTAATTTCCGCATAGCAATAAATCTCTGACAAATAGCATAGTCTCTCTTTGTCAGCAGAAAAACGCTAAAAAAAGAAGAAACATGTATAACATTATCGCTAAAATTAGATTCACTAAAATTAGACTATTACCAAAATGGCATAATTTTTCCTACACAAAAAATGACCTGATATACAGAAATTAAAACCATGTTGTTGTTAATTGCGAGCTGCATAAGGCATTCGCATTACCATACTTGGATATTTAAGCCAATTTTGCTAAAATGTAAGGTTACTATTTTTTGCGAATTTCTGATGTAAGTAATTGATGACTTTTTTTTTTTGCTATTTAATGCTCATAAGTAAAGCAGTTCAGTATATAAGGGCTTTGGTTTCCACTCTATTCATGATTGCTAAAAGAAGGGTTTACCCAGCCCATTCACTTTAAATGTCTATAAATTATAAACATTCACCCAAAACATATACAAATGCTGGTGGCCAGGTCTAACACTAAGTTGGTGTTACTTAATGGACATGTTTCATAGCAGTGATGACAAAAAATGGTCAGAAAGAAAATCATACAGAGTACATTTATAAACAGAACACAACATATTTATATAAACAGAACATGTATTTTACTAAAATCATTTAAACAGGTATAAAAGTGAATCTTATACAAGAAATTATGGGTATTTATCAATATACTTGTGTCTCCAAATATTTGTCATCTGATATTGATGTATCGTCCATATCCTTTTGCACTGAATCATTGATAGCTCTACTTCTTCATTGATAGCTCTTAACTTCTGTAAGAGTGTAGGTTTTCACATGTCTGTTCAGTGCACATAAAGTAAATAATATATTAAGTTCCTGTTGTTCTTAGAAAACGTTCAAGGCAAGTACTATGTAATTATATTATTACATGTACAACTCTAAGGCTTAATATAGGAATTGTAACCCAATTTTTAAGACAATTTCTAGAAATAGAAGATCCCTATAGAGCAATAGAAAACAAAAAAGAAAAGATATAAGTTGTTGTTCTGAGCAATTTTGAGAACAAACCATTTTTCTTCTCCTATATAAAAAATCTTTCCGTTAATCATGGCAATAGCTCATATACTCGATGTCTCCCAGGGATCAGGGAAACCTATTATTTTCAGAGAATCATTAATTTGATGTGTTAGTCAAAGTTATAATGAAATGATAAATTCTTTTATTTATACAATTACAGTAAACATTTTATTTATAGTTTCAGCACTTATTAATACATATTTCTTTAAAGGCCCATTACTGTATGTGTATTTGAATTTCGCGGAAGCAAATTTTTTGTGGAAATGTTCATTTTGGGGGTATATACAAATATTCGCACTATTTTGAATTTGCGGAGGTGACTGCTGAAAATGATAAAATTGCGTAGACAGCTCAGGTTAAAAAAATAAGGGATATGACTGTTATAATTGTGAAGTTCACAGTTATTTTCAATACCTGTGTCAAATAATACGCTATTGTACAGAACAAAGACATTGTCTAGCGGACCGATTATGGCAAACAAAAGCACTTAAGCGCGCATTTTTTTAACAGTTTGCGTCATAAACGTCTTGGCATCTGATCAGATCAAATTTTGATTTGTTCTATACAAACAATACAAATAACACAAACATAAACATTTTCAACTGATGAAAAACCTCGAAAACAAAACACAATAACTCTGTAAACATTTTAATTAAAAGTATGTATTGAAAGCATATAACACACTGATACACATTGTTCTTAAAAAAGTGCGAAAATACTATAATTTCGCGGATCAAATATCATCGCGAAGATCGCAAAAATTTGAAGCCCGCAAATATTTCTGCACATACAGTATGCCTCAGAATGCTATCTTTTATTTTCTCAAAAACTGCTAATTTTTGGTATCTTGTTATAGTTTCCAAAACTTACTCATTTTCTGTATACATGAACTATCTTTAGAATCTGTAGTTTTGTTGACAATTGGCATATTTATATTGATTTAGTATTTTGTATGGAAGTCAAAATACTACTTTGTTTACATTTTCCTATCTTTACAACACATAACTGTATGTTCAACTTTTTTCAGTTGTAAACGTAATCCATTTTTAAAACATCATTTCACACATGTTCATCATTTCTAAAGAATTATCTATGGATATCTGAGGTATAATGTGGCTTTAACCAAGCTAGTGACCTTGATCATTTTTGAAATATATTTTCTATTTGCAGATGTGTGTTTTATTTCCCTTACAATGAACACAGCACAGTTTTGTAAGGCGTGTATAGTACTGGCACAGAGTTTATTACTGATATACAGTACGGAGAGGGAGGCTCTTATTACAAACACCCTAGTACAGATCTTTAAAGCACAGGTCAAACATCTAGAAACTTCTGTCAAATCTGACAAGTTCAAAAATGATGTAAGTTTGATTTTGACTTGTATTATTTAATATTTGTAGGAAAGCTTTTTGAAGTATTGTTGATTTACTGACCATGGACAAATTGGATATATTCTGTCCGATTGTTTGTTTGCAAAGGTGACCATATGAAATTCACTCTGTATGCTGGAACCTTCACTTGGACAATGGTGTTTATAATGAATACCAACTGTTTGTATTTGTATATTTTAACTTAATACCATTCAACAAGAACCTGATTTGATTTGACATGTAAAATTTTCAATGACAATAGATCTCTAACTTAGAGTAATGGTCAATTGCCTGTTATGACTGATTCAGAATTAGCCGTGGAAATCTGCATAGAATTTGGGAAAAAGGTCAAACAAGCACAACTCATTTTGATATATTGAAATGTGATTTTGACTTACATTCTAGGTTCAAATTTCAGAACTTAGACTTGTGTAGTAGAAGATTTGAGTTGAGGTTTTGTTTTCAAATATACAAATATTTGTAACCCAAGCGTATTTGAATGTAGTTGAAGTACAAGTCAAATTTGTGTTTGCGAATACATATTGACATTTTTTGTTACATAATTATGATTGTTCATTAATGTAATTCTAGATTTATTGTGTAACTAAGAAAGTAATACTGATCGTACCATGTAAATCAAAAACTTTTTGACTTTAATTAATAAACCTTTAATATGAAAGGAATTACAGATTTATTTAAAGACATTTTATATCTTAATATGTCTATTTTCAGTTAAAGTTTATCCTAAAGAATTCACAGTACATTCTAGAAGTACTAATGGCCAAGATAGAGCACATGTATAAAATACAGAATGTTCTCTTCCCTCACCAGCTTGTCGCTGTCAACGGTGAATACAGAAGGTTGAAGACTACAGTATCAAATATGGCAAAGTGACCTCCCTTTGTTATAAAAACGCCATTAAGTAGTAACTAAATTGTGAACCACCTCTTTTCACAGCAAGGAATGGAGTATTAATTCCAAACACTTTTCCCTCACCAATGCTTATCAAACTTAAGAAATTATTAAAGTGAAAATTTATCCATTTCTATAACAGAGTGGTTTCCCTTTGTTCAATTCAGATATTGTTATGTATAAATTACTTCCCCTTTCTAATACAGATATATTTATAGGATTAAATTTATTATTTATCACTATATCTAGTCAATCCAAATGAAGAATGAAATCTAGTGCAAATATAGCATAGCTTAGTGTATGTTATTACCCTTTTTGTAAACGATATACCTATCATATAAAGATTATAAAATTTATCATCCGTTTTATCGCTACACCTAAGTTACCAGTATTTTTCAATATAAGGGAAGCTACTTGCTGTAAAGAAATTCTAAAAAAATATGTGTAGTTACCTCCCTTAAAATAAGAAAATTTATCACTTTCCATTTTGAAATGATGTGCTTTAGTACATATAGTGAATTAAGTGGAAAAAAAGTTGAGTAATGATAATTTTAGTTCTACATCAAAATTTTTACTAGACATAAATTTGGTTGTCAGTTATCACTCTTTCAATAAACTTATGTTACCAGCAAGCAAACAGACTTTTCAAGGTGAAATTATTTTTTTATCTATGCATAAGGTTGGAGTAATTGTAAAAGCCTTTATATAAAGTACACATTTGTATTTTAAATCAAAAATATTTTAAAAACTTTTGACATGAAAATGTGCGTTTTATCATAAATTATGGAAATAGTTTATCGGCCATAAGAAAAGCAATTCTTTTTTACAAATACTAAGTTTGTTTAACTGACTCAAACTTAAGTGATTGCAGTTTTTTAAAATGCTAGTATTAGGCAGTCAATAGTAATAGGCCTGAACAAATTGTACATAATGCAAGCTAGTATGGCTGTAAATTGGTGGTATAAACAAATCATTGTTGTAGAGTGAAAGCAATTTGTATAAAAAAAATTTGTACATTATATATCATTTCTAATACTTGGTTCCATGGGAAATGTGCAATATTAGAACTTCAATAGTCTGTAGGCTTTTACCGTATTAAGCTGGTGTAAAATGTTGGCTTGGCTTATAGCTAGATATATGTTAGCTTAGCTGATTGCTAGAAAGATGTTGGCCCAGCTTATACCTACATTGTAATAATGTTGGCTTGCTAATAGCTAATTAGATGTTGGCTTTGGTTATAAGTAGATAGATGTTGGCTCAGCTAAAAGCTAGATAAATGTTGGCTTGGCTAACATCTTGATGTCAGCTAATAGCAAGATAAATGTTGCCTTATAGGTAGATTAATGTTTGCTTGACTAATAGGCAGATAGATGTTAGCTTGTCTTATAGCTAGATAAACATTGGCTTGGTTAAAATCTAAATTAATTAATACATTGTATGTAGTTTTGAGTTATTTAAGTTTGTCTTTACACATTGAATAGGACATTTGTCCACTTGATAAATGTGTTCTGTTAATTGGACAAGACATAAATATCACAGAAGATCAATGTTGTAGATGCTTTCAAACTGTAACAATGTTTTCCACATGATCAACAAGAGCTACTTCTAGATAAAAACGCATGAATTTAGTGTCTATGTAGTCATCTTTATAAAACATACTGATTGCAAAATAAAGAAAAAAATTAAGATATTAACAAAGAAAATCCCCTTGCACCCCTTGTTTTTTACAATGCACATATCAGTATGAATTTTCTGAATATAGGTCAAACAATGTGATAGTTTGGAATCATTTATAACTTTAGTTTACAATGAAAATCAGCTGTTTTTATTTGTATATTGTGAACTTAATATTTAATATGTATCAAACATATATGTGTTATTAAAAGTGTTATTGCATATGCTTAGTTAGATTATTACCATTGTATATACATGTATATCTGCATTATGATTTAAGTGAATTTTATTTGTGAACAAAAGATTAACTTAACAAATTTTGTCTTTGGTTAATAAATTTATATTAAACCCATATAATGCAATTTGCTGTATTTTCTTTTACCTTTTACCCATCCAAAATGACATGTATCGATAGGAAAGCTGAAATTGTTTGTATAATATCAACAAGAGGCTTTTCCTAAAAGTCAGATTCTTATATATGCATCCTATTTATAGCATTACCCTGTTAAACTATGTCAGAGACCACAATCATATCAAACCAATTAATAACAGTAGTCTGTTTACCAGTATGGAAATAGAATAATCTGTATTGCCGACCAGTTGTGCAAATGACAGGTTTTTAAACACATAAAGTTTGTCTTATGATTTATTTAATAATTTTTATAACTTAACATACATGTACAATGTAAATAACTTTATCATATAGATATGCTGTGAATGTGATTTGGAGTGCTACATGTGGCATGGAAATAAATATATCTTGAGATTTCAAGTAAAGTCCCATTTTATCAATATAAATGATATCCTTGCCAACCTGGATATAGTGGCCACCTGTCTATAATGACCATCTTAGCCTGGTCCCCTCGCCGACCACTATAATTATACAGGTTAAAACTGTATTTTCACTGATTCGTTTTGAACAAGCCATGAAAATCTTTTGGAAATCGTGGAATGTCAAATTCTGCTCTGGCAATTTCCTTCATAGATTTAGCATCAAGTACAAGCAAGAAGGCGTTCTTTCCTTTGTCACAGTCTGAGTTGTTGACAGCTGACAATACTACACCTGAAAATCAGAATTTCAAGGTTTAACTATCTGCAGTAATGAGAATAAAAGAACAAAAAATAAAACCAGGTTTTTAAATTATCTGAATGTAGAGCCATATGTATACAAAGTTTTCCAGTGTTAAATTTTGCTCAGTACCTTAATGAAAGAACAAAATAATACTGTCAATAATAGCCATTATATTTTATTCATATTTCACCATTCTTTACATATATAGAAACTTTTTCCCATATTATAGCCTATATAAACTTGTTCTTTAAACACTCTTAAGGTTTAAGCTGCAATTTATCAAAACAAAATGACATACTAACGAAAAATAAAACAAAGCTAGATTCTTTCAAAATTGCTAATCTATAAGATATTGACATATTTTTTTCGACAACCAACTTGGGGGAATAGAAACTTATAAAAGAAAAACGCCTAACCATCATCTTCATCTGTACCATTTGGATTAGGAACAAACACTGGTTCTGAGGGATAGCATTTGTCCTCACCCCATTCCTTAAATGTCTTTGTGTTGATGTCAATCTTCATTACCTAAGATAAAAACTTAAATCATAAATATGTGTATATTGTTTACATGGTAACGAAATATAAATATATTATCATTCCAAATGTTTTAATATTTTCTATTACTCGCAAATCGGTTGCATCACGAATTTATGATTCAGGGCAATTTTTATAATATAACCTACATAACTGATTTTTAAAATTTCAGGCCCTGACATTGCAAAATTAATGCATGAATCCTCGAAATAATTTAGTAGAACAAAGATCGCACCAGTGTAATAAAGTTACTCTACCATTGCATTGAGAACAAATTTTGGAGAAATATGTAAACATAATCTTTATCAAGAATAAATATTGCATTGCTGCTCACAAATAGACATATTATGCAGGACTTTCATAAACAAAATGTCTATGTGTAAATACCATTGTAAGTCAATCTTGCGACTCCGAATTTTTCTATATTTTTAAGTACATTTATATGGCAAATATTGTTAAACATCATTAATATTAGCATTCGAGTGGTTTATATCAATATATTGTTAACTTACAGTATTAAAATGTTTTCCTTTAGGATGCCAGCCTGTACCATATGTATATCTGTATTTCTTACCATTGTAACGTTGATAGTGTATTTGTGGAAAGTCCATACCTGAAGGTAAAACATCTATTATATAAATAACAAACATATCCTATAGTGCCCGAAATAATCCATTGAGGAACAACTGAGATCTTCTTCCTATAGTAGGCTGGAAAGTCGCCACATGACCTAACACATGTAACAGTGTTGGTGCGATATAAAACTCAACCATAAAATTTTATAACATGGTAAAACAGATCTTATACATTATTAAACAATGACACAATAAATAAGAGTAAAACTTGCATGAGAAATGAAAGCAGATCTATTAAATCATACTAAGAACGCCACAAATAAGAGAACTTAATTTGTTATTTCATTATGGTCCTTAGTTAAGATGGTATTCTTGACACATTTTTTTCGTGCATTGACTTCATTCTGCAGAAGCACAAAGATGCATTAGCAAGTTCGTCCAAATGGCTTCTGCAGTTATTAATGGAAAAAAACGTGCATTAGCATCTGATTTGGTGGTTAGATGTTCTGTTATTTGTTTATTGTATAAAGATACCTGTTTTGTCATGCTTACCACCTGAGTGTGAGACATCATTAGATAGCTATGCTTTGATAATAAATTAATTGAGCCATCATTGCAGACATCAATGAGCCACACATATTAAAAAAAACAACAAAAAAACAATAGCACATGCTCGCATGAATTTATCCAGTAATGCACTATTCTTCTTCGTTAATGTACACCTGCACATGTACAGTTTATGTACACTCGTCTTTCTGAAGATGTTAATGCATTTTATAAGGTGTGATTAACTCTTTATTGTATATAAATAAAATAAAAAAAGGAATATGCTTTGGCCTCTTCAGTTATAACCAACTATAGAAACTTGCCCGTATCAGCAAGTGGTTCCCATGTACAATATACAGTGTCGTCTGCTGTCATTGTTGCAGTTGCTGTCGTCTGTGTTATATCCACCAAGTTCTTGTTGCGTGGTGTCTGTATACAAAAATAGTTTAACATAAACAGATATTGTATGTACCTGTATATAGTTCTATTTATGGTTTGTTTATTTATTTATTTATTGTTTTCTTACTTTAATTGAATTATAAGGAACGGAATGGTGAACAGTGATATATTATCTACATGGTTTCTTGTTCAAGCTTAACATATGTGGTGCCTTCAGCCTTCTTAATAAAATGAAGTGCTTATATAGTTCATAATGTTCACTTATATTTACACTTATATTTTAGAGTCTACAATAAATTTTGTATTTTCATTCAACAAATATTTCAAAATCACAACTCAGATTCAATCGATATTCTTTTAGAACCAACATATTCCCTCACTTTTTTCATATAAGAAATACCTGTTTGTTAACATTCAAAGGTAGAATATATCTCCTAGGTTCAGGGGCATCATATTTTCTCCACTTTTCCTCACATTGTTCCGAGCTAAGATCCTTGACGTAGACATAGTGTAACGCTTCATTTGACCTCAGAGCACAGAAGTCAACAATTATATGACCTTGAAACAATAATTACAGATAATTATAGAACAAAGGAAAACATTGACTTTGAAAACAATTGAGGCCATAAACAGCATATGGGCAATGTTTCTACCAAGTTACATAGACAAGGGGTCGTTACTTCTTAATTAAGTCATTGATCGGTCTTGGAAGTACAGATGTTCAGGCGTACGCACGGACAAACCCCATCACAGAATGCTCCCACTTGTAAGTCAGAGCAGAATTATTACAGCTTAAAAAACATTTAAAGGGACAAATTGTTGCTCAAAAATCGCCCGGAACATAAGTTATAGCTGAAAAGTTCATAAAAGTGACCTAACGATGTGAAAAAATCATTCAATCTTAACATGCTCCTTATCTAAATCCGTGCATGAAAAAATGATAATGTGTTATTGTTTAAATCATATTAAATTTTAAGAACAACCCATAAATAATCAAACTATTCTCACCATTTTCTTCATATGCATTTGCATGATGGAACACCATCAAGGGGTCAGCTTCGTATTTGATTCCTGGATTGACTTCTTCACCGGATTTCTTGTCAATAATGCGAAATCTTGTCTGAAATTCATAGATCAATATAGCCTTATATTAGTACTAATATTGAATTTCCTGGTCAAACGAAAATTCATTGCCAAGTAAAATATCATTCTTAATCATTCTTTTATTTCTAACAATACAGTAAAATCCCTCAATTACGACCACCATTCAGAAATGGGCCAAAGTGTTCTCCATTGCGGGATGGTGTCAATTTTTGACATTCTTCATTGCGTACATTATATATATATGGTGTATTTTAGTCATTTTGTATGAACAAACAATATGCATCTTAACCTACATATACAATATAAAAGTATGTTATAATATTTAATCTGATGAATGCAAAACATATTTCTGACAATATTTAATATTCAATTGCCTTTGGTGTGCTTTCAATATTAATTATTATATGATGTACTGTAGATAAATGTGTTATTCAGCTATCATATAAGAAATTTATTCTCAAAAATATAAATTTGCCGTAAGCAACATTAAACCACAGTGACTCTAAAATGTTCTTAATTCTCACCTTATCTTATGCAATAACCAAATAATTATAGTTTTTGACACCTTGAGAAATCAAGTGTCGTGCTTAAACACATTTAAAGAGGAAAAAACAACAAATTTGTGAACTAGGTAGGTGTTGACTTTAACATCAGTGGTCTCAATAAAGGGTTCCAATAAAGAAAAATGGGACTTAAGATGATTGTATTAAAAGTGGATAACCGGGTTGCTCTTAGTTCTGGATCAAGTAACTATTGACATAAAGAATAGAAAATGCCGTTCTTTTAAAAGATGGTTTTAATAGCAGATTGGTCTTAATTCCTGGGTGGCCTTAAGTAGGAATTCCACTTTATATTGATATATTGAACAGTTGAATATTGATCTAAAGTATATTATTTTATGAATATTGTATCGATTTATATACAAACGTTTGGATTTGATCCACATTGATGTATATATGAGGATTTATCTACATACATGTATGTTGTCAGTGACATTTGACCAGTGACATTGTGTTAAAAAATATTAACCACAAGAATTTGTCTTTATTGATAATTGATCTTTATGATAAATAATCTCCACAAAGACAACAAACAGCATGTCCCAGAGTCGTACAAAAAGCTTAGGCCCATATTACTTAAAACTTAAAAAGGATTACTAACCTTTAAATCCGGGCACCAGTCCAAGGAATTGCTCATAGGTTCACCTCGTATTTTAGCCGTCATTATTTTCAGTAGGTTGATGAACATTGGCTGTTCGACGTACACGTAATAGTTTTCAGTCATTCCAAAACTATGGATGTAGTTGATGCTAAATTTTTTTGATGATTTGATGGCAGACATAACTTGACCTTGTGGGAATTCATCAGTTGGATCTTTAGATGGATAAAGAAGACAGTTTAATTATTACAGTAACAAATGAGTGTAAATAAAAAATACTAATTACATGTCATAAAACATAAACAATAACATAAAAAATGTCATGATGGCCGTTAATTGCTAAACGAACAAGAATTAGATTCATCCAAATGTGAAGATGTGTGGGAGCTGTAAGTTAATTCTTACTTCTAAAAGATATGTAGGAAACTCTCAATTATTTTAGCAATCTTTGTAAAGTAACATTCAAGTAAAATTGCTTTTGAAATTAAACAAAATTTCCAGAGCAAGTGAGGAGGAAATTATTCTTTGATCGACATTTTGTTGTTAATGAAAGATGACTTTTTATAAAAGGTAACAGTAGATCACGTTCAGTATACAGTGTCATCCAATCAATTTCAAATAAAGGTTTTCAGAAAATATAAACAAGACATTAAATTTTCAAAATTTTGCACTTTAATGTATAAAAGTGCATTATATTATGAAATAATAAGCGTGGTATTTGCTCGTATGGCAAGACATACCATTTTTTGGGGGAATTTTGATGATACAAATTTTTGGACCTCCTTTGAAACAGTTTCCGATATTGTGAATAGTTCCGTCGTCATCATAGTGAGGATGAGCTGTAGCCGAGTGAACAGCTACATAGTCTCTTAGATTGACCTATAAAGATATATAATACATACAGTTTGTTCCTTTTTTCCTTTTCTAAAATACGTTTATAATGAAAAACAACTTATTGTCCGATGGAAAAGAATGGACGTGTGGTGGACATATATGTGGTGTATTCCTGTATCGATTCAGATTGGTTGTCAAAGATCAAAAATTGAATGTCGAATTAGATGTTTGTTGGAAAGTTTTACAAAAGATTGAAATAAAAAGGGGAAGTAATATCAAAACCTGACTGCTAAATTAGGCATTCATAAACCTATTATTTGTTATCAAGGCATTAAGACAGGGTTTCAGGATCAATTCAAATTTGTTTTTCTTTTCTCTCTAAATCACCCTCTAAGCTCTATTAAGTTTTCATGATCAAATTTTAAAATATTTTCACTGAATCATTCTCTCAATAAGCTATCTTAAGATTTCAGGATCAATTTAAAAACATTCTCTCTATAAGCTCTCTTAAGTTTCCATGATCAATTCTAAAATATTTTCTCTAAATTATTCTCTCTATAAGCTCTTTTAAGGTTTCAGGATCAATTTTAAACATTTTTAACAACTCATTCTCTCAAGGTCTTTCTACGATTTCATGATTAATTTCATAACATTTTCTCTAACTTACTTCCTCTGTGACCTCTATTGTTTCAAGATCAGTATCAGAATTATTGTCTTTATCTTACTCTGTTTGGGGTCTGTAATGTTTCAGGTGGAAATACAAAACAATTTCCTTAGACCTAATCTCAAGTGTCTCTTATTTCATGACCTATTTTAAATCATTTTCTTCAGCTGTCATACTAAGTTTTCTATGGTTTCAGGATCAATTTCAAGTATTTTTCTTTAACTTACTCTCTCTAGTGTCTCTAAGGTTTCAGGATCAACTCTCCTGATAAACTGTGTCTCTGTACTAGCATACAATTCATCTTTTAACGGATACAAATTCACATTTGTGTTGTCATTTCTCTCATCTACGACGAAATGACTCAAAAATCTGAAAGATACAGGTAAATATCTGCTATTTATTATCTTTGAAAAGATAATATCACATGAGAAAAACGCATCACTATATTTCTTATTCCCGTTCCTTTGATTAAACCATCTAGGTGTTAAAATATCAACTATGAGTGGCTATCGTCACAATCTTGTTTTGATAGGCTGACATTATATTAAGCAACATAACTGGAACATACATGCAAAATTCTGCCTCAATTGTGTACGACTATACAATGCAATTAATTCCAGGTGCTTCTTGCTTTCCATGAAGCAGGCTGCGTTTCGTAGAAAGTCCTTAGTGTATCCCAAGTCTTAGGACATAAAACCAACTTTAGGACTAATTATTCAAGACCTTTTTGATAAACATTTTTATCTTCAGTACAATACTGTCGACTGTAAATAAATGCACCCTCCTGAGAAAAATTAATAAAAACAACGACATCCACTTTTATTCGCAATGTGTAAATGTCAATCATTTTATTTTCAGAAACTAAAGGAGTCATAACATAGGAGTCATAAGTGAATATATTTTCTTTAAAACGCAAAATTGTCACATTTGTTTGGTATTAAGACTTATTTCAGACTGAGGGCTTTCTATATTGGTTACTGGTATTAAAAAAACACTGGAGACAATTTTCCTCTGAGATTGTTTGTAAATAGATCAAGCAAGCCTGGGACAATGTAAGTGACTTTAATCACTTCATTTTACCAGGAAAGCTCTAGTATTTAGAGAATATAAACAGCCATACCTTTGAAAGATATTTTTACATGGGTCAGGGACTGGTAGGGTACCGAATCCGGAGATAACGATTCTTTGTGCAGCAAGATTCTCGGTGTATGATTCACTTTTAAGGAAGCGATTTTGGTATGTTACCTTCTTGTTTTCTGTAACAAAGATTATGATAATCACCACAAGCATTGTGATAACATCGTTTCATGAATAAAAAATCTCAAGCATTTGCTTTATAACAAAGTTTGGATTTCTTATATTCATAACAAAAAAGCAACGTTCATTATACACGTGTCGCAAAATCCAAATTACGCCGCATATGTGTTACTAAGGTTATAGAATAGCAGGCATGCAATTTTACTAAATATATGATTTTTCTAACTTATCTAATTAATGAAATAATCCGGTTTATTTCAATATATTATATATTAAAGTTGAACCATCTTTATCTAAGCAAAAACCAAAAAAGTTACGTTATTTTGGCTCATCCCCTGTAAATGGTTACATGACACACTATAAATATGTTGTAGTGTGTGTAAGGATGCTACAATGATTTCATTATCTAACAGAACGCTGACTAGATCCTAATTGCTGGTACATGTTTAAACATTATTTTTTATGAAGCATTATGAACCGTAGTGGAAATCTCGTAAGCTTCTGAATTATTCCTGATAGGTGAAACAACTAAGCATTATTCTAAATTTTTAACACAACTCAAGATGGTACCGTGGCTTTAGGATGTATTTATAATTAATTTTATAAGGCAATGCGATAGTACTAATTGTGACAAATTATATACATATGTCCAGGGGCCTGTCTTACGGTGACGAAAGTGGACATAGGAAATTTTTATTTACTACGTGCGCACGCGATATATAATACATACGCTTTCACAAGTAAAACATATATTGCATTGTCACGTAATGGTTTTCATATCAAATGTGTGGCCACTCAATATTATTGCGTGAGCATATACTATATCAATTGAGTGCTCACTTGATATTTATTGCGTGGCCACTTATTTCCTTTCGTATGCGCAAGCAGTAAATAAAAGATTTTCTATGTCCCCTTGGGTCACAGTAAGACGGGGCCCTGGGTATATGTATTTGATATGTCAGTTAGTGTAACCTTGACATAAAGAAAAGTGCAAACCTATATGGAACCGTGTGATCATTGCCAGGGGATCAAACCAATGATTGTACTTGTATTCTCCAACTTCGTACATTCCCGGTCCATTCCTGTACAGACTTCCATTAACCCATTCTGGAATCTCTCCTATTCCGACGAAATTTATGCGTAAAAATAACAGATTGTAATATAGGAAATGCTTTATGCTATTAAAATTGTTATGCTAATTGCTTAAAAGAGCTCCATTGATGTCAAATATGCTGAAGGATTGAGCTTTTACATATATCAAGTGAAATTCAGAATTTAATTGTCATTTTCCTGGTTTCTATAAAAAGTGGAGAATAAATGATCTGAAAATTTGCAACCCTCTTAATGGGACAGATTTATATCAAATGATTCACAAATTTAGAAAACAAATATTTCCAAAAATACCTCAGTGGAGTCCCTCTAATTTCTCCTAAACGTTTGGAATCAAACCATTCCATTAGTGATATTTCAAATTTTTCTCAAAACAGCGAAGGATAGATCTACTTGTAATTAAAATTCATTCTTTAGGGAAAATCCTTATCAATGAAAAGTAATTTAAAATCTTTCAAATTTTCTTCAGCAGCAATTGGCATTATAAATATTATTTATCAAAACAAATTTACATCTTATATAATGGTGTACCGAGGAAAAAACATTCTCACATACCTGCAATTTTTCCCACAACAGGATTCTCGTGCTCTTCTTTGATGGTTTGAAAAAGCTTGTGCATATTCTGCTGATAAAAACCACAATGTCATGGTGGGGAAAAATCACTCACAAGAATCATGTATCAATGACACTAAACACGATGTTGATATGTTCATATATAAGTAAATAATAATTTAAAATACACATCACACATATCATATAACTAATTGTCAAAAAAGCCATTTTATTAAAAAAAAAAAAAAAAAAAAAAAAAACGCACAAATGTCAGCCATTTTGTGTTACAATTTTTTATATGACGTTCAATTATGGCGTTCTATCCGGTTCGCGTTATGTGTCTTTATATGAAATGAATTTGGATTTTGCTGGTGTGACCTAAATAACGGCGAAGGGTGTGGCTCTAAAAAGATGCTTCTGCCTCTGCTTTCTAGTAAAGAGGTGATCCGTAGTAACAGTCCGCGTCCCAGAAAAGAAGCAAGTCTAAGAGAGGTCCGTTTCATAGGCGCGCAGCAAGTGTAAGGAGTGCGGCAAGTATAAGGAGCACAGTGAGTGTAAGGAGCACATTAAATTTAAGGAGCGCACGCAGCAAGTCTAGAAACGCAGCAAGTCTAAGGCACGCAGCAGGTCTAAGGAGCGCAGAAAACCCAAGGAGCACAGCAAGTCTTTGAAGGGTTGCAAGTCCAATAGTGTAGTAAGTTTAATAGTGTATCAACTAATACTGCAGCAGGCCAAGGAGTGCAGCAAGTCCAGTACTGCCTCAGTATGTCTAAAGAGCAAACCGAGTCCAAGGAGCGCATCAATTCTAAAGCAATAGTCACAAGAACTGCTCAGAATATCAATTAAAGTCTCATAATTGAAACCAAAACTTGACACTAATGCATTTGCTATTTTACTCTTTTTATACATAGCCTTTAAAAAATATATCATCTTTTATAAAACAAAATTAGATAAATAGTTATGTTATAAGCAATGCATTCGTTTCTAAAATTGTTTTTCTTAACAATATAAAAAAAATTCTTACGCAAAAATTGAAGCTATTAGTTACGATCTCTGGCTTAATAAATGTGTGTGTAATAAAAACATTGCCCGTAGGCCTGTGTTACATCAACCATGTGTTTAACAAATATAAACACAAGACTAGCTCACGCTTTTGACATTTTATTTCTCTCTTTTTTGTCAACATATTTTTTGTTTCCTTCCGAATTTCACACACTGAGGTTTTAAAAATGTATATATAATTAAGATATTATAAAACTGATTACCTGAACACTTTTAGTAAAAATACATGTATTATATCCAGTGATCTATACTCCCCGTACAAAATAAACACACAAAAAAGAAGATAAAATATAATGGCGCCCGGTCATGCTCGCTTGATTTTTTTCTCAGGGTCAGTGTAAATACTTCTTTTAAATCGAAATTGAGATGACCTTTATTAAGTCGGAGTGAATATTACACAAGTTCATGTTTTACAATAGGTTCACGGCGATACAATTGTGAAACATAAAACCTCTGTATTACTAGACTCATCGGCTAACGTATCTTATACAACAATTTGTTTTTCAGTCCGTGATATATAAGCAACAAAATTAGTTTAAGCTGTTATAAATGAAACAGTAATTCTCTGCAATTTAAACAAAACATCCCTGTGATTGTTAAAGATTGAATTTAATTCTATATGCTGCTGGTCAACTGTGCTTGTACTGAATGAAAACAAGTTTAACTGTGAAAAATTTCAGAGTGACCTAATTTTAATTTTTGTAGTTTTGTTTATTATTTAAACCATGTTTTTTTAACAAAAGTGGAATTTAATGAAAAATAAAATGGAAAAACAAAATAAAAAAATATTTTACTACAAATTGTAACAAAACTAGAATAACACCATTGGTCTTTTATGTCACATAATAATGTTACAAACAACCAACAGTGTAGTTTTAACTTTAACATCACTTGATTTTGAAACGATTTTGATTTAAAGCACATTAGTATCAAATGCATACACATTAAAATATTAAGATAATTTATAATTGTCAATGGATAATAAAAACAAAAAGATTATTGATATAATTGCTTATTTTGTTCAAAAGGTTTTAATCTACTGATACTTGTCTCGAGAGACTTGTTGATTCACTGATTCGTTTTGAACAAGCCATGAAAATCTTTTGGAAATCGTGGTATATCAAATTCTGCTCTGGCAATTTCCGTCATAGATTTAGCATCAAGTACCAGCAAGAAGGCGTTCTTTCCTTTGTCATGGTCTGAGTTGTTGACAGCTGACAATACTACACCTGGAAATCAGAATGTTTAAACTGAGAGCTTTATTTTTTTCAATTATATTATAAACTGAGAGTTTTCTTTTTTTAATCATATATTCAATTTTGAACTATCTACAATGTCCTACTTTAATTATTGGAATGTAAAACAGTTTTGGGCAGGTAACAAAAAAAACCCCTAAGAAATTACACGCTCATTCTCAATAAAACACAGCATTTGATGTTCCACAGGGTAGCTCTTATACAAAGGTTTGTTTGAGGTCAAAATGTCGTTGGAAAGATGGCTGCCACTTTGTCTAATAGGGACACTCTCAGTTTTACATTTCTATCTGTTATTTTTCTTTTACAAGTACCATTCATGCCCTTAAATGTAACATACGTTACTGTCGCCACCTAGAATTTTCAACTTTGAAATTGTGTTTCAGAAAAATAAGTTCCAGAATAAACGAAACATGTGCAATTTGTCATTGCTGTGTGTATATGCACTTTGATTATTGGTAAAAATTAAATTTGACTGTTAAACTCTCATTGGTATAATGAATGATCAAATGTCGCCAAATGCATATAAATAAATAGTGACAAACCTAAAACAATAAGCAGTGAAACCCAAATTACATAATTGAATCGATGCATGCTTTATAATACAGCATATATATAATTATAAGTAAAAATAAGCTTGCAGCCTCTCAAATATCATTCTATTTTCGGAAATTTTCATTTTTTATTCAAATCTTTTCAACAGCACTTTAAAAAGAAACATACGTTACCATTATTTAAGAGCCAATCCATTCAAAGAAGAATCCAAACTAGAAAGAATATTAACATGTGTGTAACTCTGATATATTAACCACAAATTATTGTAGCTTAAACGGTCTTGCGTCATTTTTAACCCACTTTCAATGTAAAAATGAAACATACGTTACAGAAACATACGTTATCAACTTTTTAAAGTAAGTTTATCAAAAGGGAAATTGAAGTCAGAAAGCACGTATAACATCAACATTAACTTCTATATGACATTAGTAAGTAAATTTTGTTAACTTTGGTCGTGTTTTTACTTGTTTAAGTAACCACAGTGAAACAAACGTTACTTTTATCAAACAGACTTTATATTGTTTACACGTGCATATATAAAAACATAAAATCGCATTTTTATGACAATATAATGATGTGCATTTGATTCCTGAATAAAAAAGTCGATTTTACATGTAAGTTTATATTCCGTGATAAAGTTCATAAATAAGCGAGTGTGAAACATACGTTACTCCAACTTACAATTCAACAATTTTTGAAAATTAAAGATAAAGTTTGGATTAGCATGCCTGTTAGTAACGGTTACCTTATATTAGATGTAAGAAGACACAAAATTGTTTTTACAAAGGAAAGATATGTTAATGATATGTTGAAGTTATAGCAGAAATGTTAAAAATATATTACAAGATATTGATGTTCTCAGCAACAACTAATTCGTTTCTGCAAAGAGCTTACTGACCGTATTTCATTCTATATATAATAATGTTAAAATAATATCCATAAATAAAAATTATTTTACAAAAAATAAAATTGTTTTCTCAACCTTTAATTGCATTTGAATAAAATGAAACATACGTGACATCCTATATGGGGATAAATATCGAACTGTTTAGTACTAAATTTTCCAAATATTAAGAAAGTGGAAAGTTGAATATTTTGAGAAAAAAATTGCTTATACAAAAATTGTGTATACATTCGACCTCTCATATATTATATATGATATATATCCTTTGAATGAAGACATAAAATAATCATTTTCAAAATTGACTATTTTTGCTTTCTACGAATATTTAACTTTGAAGAAATTGACTGAAAATTAGCAAGGTACCCAACTTCTTTGAATTTTCCTGGGTTAGGAAGTCCCTCTAGATAGAGAATTTACAGATTTTGATATATTTTACAGACATCTGTTATTAATATGCAGCCAATATGTTACATTATTAGATCTGAAATCTACGTTACCGAAGAAATACAGTGCCATTACCGAAATAAATGCCATCATGTTATATCATAGTTTCTTGTTCAAAATATTTCTGGCAAACTTACAAAATACCCTAAACATTTACTTCAGCGAAAAAAAATGACACAATGACAACATCAAATTTTTAATATTTTTCAACCTCAAATGCTTTATTTTATTGAGAATGGGCGTACAGTCAATCTGCTGTACTGCGAGTACTGCAAAATAATGAAGCCAATAAAAATAATCTTGGAATTACGGTGTCATGAAATTTGTAAACAATGACAACAAAGTGTTAAATTATCTTAAATTAGAGAAATAATAAACACACACTTCAAAACGTTGAAATATTTCAAAGTAGGGGTTTAGAATTTTTTAAAAGCGAATTTAAGAAAAGAAACTAAGGATAAAAAAGGTCTAACCGTCATCTTCATCTGTACCATCTGGATTAGCTACAAACACTGGCTCTGAGGGGTAGCATTTGTCCTCACCCCATTCCTTAAATGTCTTAGTGATGATGTCAATCTTCATTACCTATGATAAAAAAACGTTATTGAGTAAATTTAAAATTGCATTATATAAATCAAGTATGAATAAATGCATTCTGAGGCAATGTTGGTAATTTCTTCTTTGGAGAGTGATATACTGCCTCAAACATGAGCAATAATTAAACATTTAAAACAATTTCAAATTAATTTTCAGCAACCATCAGTTTTGTCACATAAGTAAATAGAGAAAAACGGAATACCTAAAGAACGCCCAAAATAAAGAAATATAAATATAGTTATTCTAGATGAGAATCGGGACAAAAATATTTGGTTATCATTTTTGTTATGAGAAAATAAAAGTTTTAAGAATAATTGGGACTAAGGCTGCTAGAATAGAGACATATGTTTATATAACAAACCAGTAAATGGCATATCAATTGGTCGATACTATTTTTAGACAATCTTGTGCCGCCACATTTTATATGCATAACTTCGGGCATAAAATGGTATGGTCCGCATTCTTCTGGCCATAAGACAAATTAATGTCTTCTCAAATACTTGATAACAATTATTAATAAGTTATTTTGTCTTAATACTTAGTTGGGAAGATGGTCATAACTATTAGATAACCCCTTTTGATTTTAAGACCATTAGATCAAAGGAAAGGTCACAGTTGCACTAACAGTGTAAAATCTAAATAACTTGAGAAGGAAGATATTATGCATCTTGGTAGGGGCATTGTTGATGAAAGTCCTTTTGAATTTAATGTCATTAGGTCAAAGGTATATGTCACTGTGACACTGTGAAAATCCTTGATTAATAAATTAAGTAGGCATAACTCTAGTTTGTGAAAATTCTTAGATATATAGCTTTCAGATGATGCTGGCAATTGAATGACATCTATTGATTTCATGGCAAAAGTTAAGGTCATAGTGACTTACCGTATAATTATGATACGATTGTCTGATTAAATACTAGTTCTAGTTGTTTCTTTTTTCTTTCTTTTTCATCTGTGTCCAAGTACATTTTAACACCAAACACCATTAAGCATCTTACAACAGCACATACTTCGGTGGTATAATGCTCCAATTCGCAGTTTTATTATGTAACAAACTGGTAAACATCATAAAGTTATAGACAGTTTAGTGTCATGTATCAATATATTGTTTAACTTACAGTATTGAAATGTTTTCCCTTTGGATGCCAGCCTGTACCATATGTATATCTGTATTTTTTACCATTGTACCGTTGATAGTTTATTTGTGGAAAGTCCATACCTGGAAGAAAAAAAACAACATTTACATAATTATGAATAACAATAGTACTCTAAAACAAAGTCTACTGTAAACATGACTTGCCACTGACCTGCTTGATGTTTTTCATGTTAAAAAATAATGTTCTTTCAGATGATGCTAGTTGTAATTATGATCGTATTATTGAGGGATGGTTAGAGATAAAATAAACGTTTGTTGTTTCTTGAGAGTACGCAAATCATAATGCTGTATACAATCGGAACATTGAGACTTTAAGGTAGGGAAAAACACAACAACATTTTAAGTAAATGTTACATTCCCACCATTTGGTTCTATGGCCTTTGAAGCGCGGTGTTATCAGCCATTTTGTTCTAAGAGCATGAAGAATATTCAGTAAGCATAGAGCTTGTAATGTTTCAGTTAATTTTATGATGGTCAAGACAGCCCAAGAATAATGTAAGTCGTGGTTGAAAGAACATTAATGCTGAAGTAGTTGTGTCGTCAATTTGTGCCGCAATTAGCCCTGGCAAACGGTTAATGATCAATTAATTGGCAGAATTATGTGGCATGAGTTATGGTAAGATGTATTGGAAACATATACAAAACATTTGGAAATGTTAAAGTTGATCTTGATATACCATATTATATCAAAGCCAGTCTTGATATCTACTACAAATGATATCATATATTGATACTGTGATCATAATGTCAATTGCATATCAGTTGCTCATAGCATGATGGGCCTTATTTATGAGAGCATTAATTAAATTAAAGTGACAATAATGACCATTTCAAGTTGAGTGCAGTTTTTCAAACAATCAATATTTCTTTTTTTCTAATATTTTACAAGAAACGCTAAACATATTTCTATTTATTCAGCATCCCTCGCTTAAGAAAATAAATTCTCCAGTAAATGATATTTGTTTGGCGAAATATAGAAACTTGCCCGTATCAGCAAGAAGTTCCCATGTACAATATACAGTGTCGTCTGCTGTCATTTCCGCTGTTGCTGCAGCCGGTGTTATATCCACCAAGTTCTTGTTGCATGGTGTCTATAATCATAAACTTTTCATTAATCATTAATCAATTAATCATTTATCAAAACAAATCAGTTAAATTTCTTTAATTTGTTACAGACTACTAGTATTATAAATTAGTTTGTACTGGCATAATAGCAAAATGCTTATAAATAGAAAATGCATGCACTTGTTGTACTTGTGATGTGCGGTATAACTTCATTTTTATATTGGTTCAAGCTTAACATGTATTGTTTAAATCATATACAGAATAGTTGTTAATGCAGAGTTTGGTATAATATGTAAATAAAGTAGAGCATCTAGAAAATGTTTATTCAATGTATATTCATATTACCATCAGAGCAGATTTAATCGATACTCTCTTAAAGCATACATACATACATACATACATACATACATACAAACATCCATCCATCCATCCATCCATCCATACATACATACATACATTTTTGTGTGAACTACCTGTTGATTAACATCCAGAGGTAGGATAAATCTCCTAGGCTCAGCAGAGTCATATTTTCTCCAGTTTTCCTCACATTGTTCCGAGCTGAGATCTTTCAAGTAGATATAGCTTAAAGCTTCATTTGACCTCAGAGCACATATGTCAACAATTATATGACCTTTGAATAATAATAATAGATAGTTATATTAATCAACGTTGAAACATATGTTTATTGTTAATTATTGTTAAATGAATAATATCATGTCAATAATACTGCCAGCAAAATTTGAAAAATTAACATCTTTATATACCAACATTTTTTCTGAAGAATATGAATAAGTCATGCATATCTGTTAATTACCTTCATTCATATAAGAGTATGAATTACCTTTAACTGTGACTTACATCCCTTGAATTGTAGCTTTGAATTGGAAATGGCATACATAAATAATATGGCAAAGTGCTATATATATGCTAAGAAAATTATACAACTGTATTTTTTTTCTCAGGCTATATCTGCATTATGAAAGTTACAAACGATACATAAAAGGCTGAGAAACAAACAAAATGACCAGAAACATCTATTATAATTTGTTTATATTACTCAGAAAAATTCTACAAAATTGCCAATATACCGATATTCAACACAAAACAAAGTAAGAAGAACTAAATATCTAGATATTTTTTCAAAAGCCTCCAGCAGCTTATCAACTGCTACATGTAGTGATGGCATATTAAATGTAATGAATAACTCATAAATAATCAAAATATTCTCACCATTTGCTTCATATGCATTGATATGATGGAATACCAACAGAGGATCTGCTTCATATTTGATCTCTGGATTGACTTCTTCACCAGTTTTCTTGTCAAAAATGCGAAATCTTGTCTGAAATTCACAAATAAGTCATGAATTAGCATTACTAACTTCCCAAGTTTAATAATTCAATTTGTTGAACCTGAATGACTGCATGTATCATTTAGTATTATTCAATCGAGTAACAAAACATTGCAGTGGCTTCTTAATAGCAGCGTTGTCATGCAGAAAAACACAGGTCGAAAGAAAACATTTATTGGAGTTTATTATTTGGAAGTAACAGAACAGCGACTAACATTGAAACAAAACTCCACGGGTATTAAAAAATAACGGACATAACTTTCTTGGCACTTGTCAATTGCTTGGCAATGCATTAACGACTGACATTGGAGGCGCAAATTTTATTGTTACTCTTGCAAACTTGCGTAAAATAGTGAAACTAGTCACACTATTAGAACAAACAGCGCTTAAAATTGCAGTGATTTTATAGCGCATTTAACTGGCTCATTTTTTATGCCAGATATTATCAAATGATGTATTCATCTGGCAGTAATTTAACTAACATTCAAGTGATTCTTCAGAATCAGTGTTAATCGTTTTAATATCCCTGCAATCTAGGTAAGTGAAAGTATGACATTTTTGTCAATGATAAGCTTGACTTAATGAATGTTTTTGTCTGTAACAATGAAGCGTGTTTACTAGACTTACAGGCATCTTTATTTTCTATATCCTATTCCTATTTTTAAATGTACACACCTCGAAATTTAACAAATATTATTTTAAACATTTATGATGGATATTCCTAGCTTTACTCGAGCTTTTATGTTAGCGCTATTTCCAATTTTAACCGAACGTTTACCAGGCACATTTCATTTGTCAAGTATATTTAAATGTAAATATAATTCTTAATTGCTGGACTTAAAAACACATGAATTTGGTTTATTTGAAAGCAGATGTTTTGAAGCATAGCAGAGGTTACACAAAAGCAAGAATCAAGAGCTAAAGTAGAAGATATACTTTATGTTGCCATAATACAAAACAATACTAAAACTCCTATGAATAGTCAGGCTTGATCTGCATATGAACTTAATCATAGATTATCTACAGCTAGACAACAAACATCAAGTTACAGCTACCTTACAAACATCAGAGAATGGAATCCGTACCTTTAAGTCTGGGTACCAGTCCAGGGAATTACTCATAGGCGAACCTCGTATTTTAGCCGTCATTATTTTCAGTAGATTCAAGAACAATGGCTGTTCGACATACACGTTATAATTTTCTGTCATACCAAAACTATGGATGTAGTTGATGCTAATTTTGCCTGATGATTTGATGGCAGACATAACTTGACCTTGTGGGAATTCATCAGTTGGATCTTTAGATGCATAAAAAGTAAATATTTAACAACAGTAACAAATTTATATGCGTATCAAATACAAAAATGCATTTCATAAAACATAAGCAACAGCGGCACGATGATCTCTTATTGCTTACCTGATCGTACAATAAACTTCCTGTACCTCATTCCTCTTGAGTTTTATTATAATCTGTCAAATGATTGTCGGGAAAATGTCGTTTAAGTCATATTTCTATATTTTTATTACAGGCAGCCATCTTGTTCAGTAAAAAGAAACGAGTTTAGTAATCCTAAATAAAGAACCATTTAAGAATAAATCTTATATATATACATTTAAGGAATTAATGTCAGTTAGAATACTAGTATTAGTACTGAAACCTAAAATTGTTCAAAAGTAAACAGTATAAAGAATCTCTTATATACAGTGCCATCAAATCACATACAAGTCACTTACTTACACAATTCTTAGGTAATGTACATTAATCCAGTACATTAAAACAAATTCATGTCCGGTTTTTGCTCGTATAGCAAGACTTACCTTTTTTAGGAGGAATTTTGATGATACAAATTTTTGGACCTCCTTTGAAACAGTTGCCGATATTGTGAATAGTTCCGTCTTCATCAAAGTGAGGATGAGCTGTAGCCGAGTGAACAGCTACATAGTCTCTTAGATTGACCTGTATAGATAATAATGATGAAAAGTAGATTTGCCGTGCCATTTTTTCGGTTTATTTCTACACGTAATTTATTTTCCAAATAAAACAAGGACGAGCAGGGGGCATTAATTATTTTGGAAAATTAGTCCAAGCATGTCAAACGTTGAGGAAAACTTTTACTCGTAACATCTTTAAGTTTTCATAATGTATTTGGTGCTTCTTTCCTGAATTTTATGTCGATTTTGGTTATATCTCGACGGCTGATCCACTTTACCGGCTGTCTTAGATAGCTAACCAGCTCCACAAACAACTGACTGGTTACTTATTCCACATGCCTATGTTCTTACTATGGAGTAAATAACGAGATTCATTGAAATGTAAATGATTTTACAGTTTCCAGAGACTAAAGCATTACAATGTTTCTTTAAAAAGTTTTTTTTTTAAAATATTCCACGCATTGTCCACAATTTGACAGCTTATATATATTTTCATTCAAAAAAGTATTTCAAACATTTTCTCTACTAACATTTCACAACAGTTTACTTAACAATTTTCTTTCCGGTGTCTTTATGGTAACTTATACTCTCTAACACGGGCATTTGGATCATTTACCTTGCCAATAATGGTCAAATTATCATAAAATAATCTAAAACTGACCATTATTGGCAAGACAAACTGAACTGTGTACCTGCGCTATCTCATGAGACTCCTGGTATCAGCTTTAAACAATTTTCTTTAATAATAAAAAATAAACTCTCCAGGGTATCAAAAGACTCAGGATCATTTTTTAAACATTGTCTTTAACTTACTCTCTCTAGTGTCTCTAAGGTTTCAGGATCACATTTCCTAATAAACTGTGTCTCTGTACAAGCATACAACTCATCTTTTAATGGATACAAATTCACATTTGTGTTGTCAATCCTCTCATCTATGATAAAATAACTCAAAAATCTGAAAGATAAAGTAGAAGGTATTTTGTTGTTGTTTTGTGTAATGGCTTTAACTCATTTCTTTGTCAAATCTTGGCGCTCGACCATTCTAACCAGCATTTCGGGATAATTTACCAATAATTACCAATTTTCTCCGAAAATGACCGTCAACGAACCCCACCTGATTTATGAATAAGCGGCGGCGGGGAGGGCGGCAAATGATTATTTGACTCTATGTCCGGGATCAACGGTTATGGAGGAATTAAATTCTGACAGTGAACCCTAGTTTCCTTGACCTATGTTCTTCCTATTGTACAGAACCTCTGCTTATTATAACCATACCATTTTCAAGATAATAAGTACATACCTGACAGTTCTCATTATTTTTATATGCTAAAATATTATTCATGTGTAACCATCTGTCACGATCTAATCTGATATGTTGTCAATATAAAGTAACATGTATATACCCAAAGACTGGATTATAATGTAAAGTATTCTTCAATAATTTATTGTTTTTTCTCTTTTCAACTAATCAAAGGTATAAATGTCAAAGCATTTCCGTATAACCAAGAAGAAGGACAATCTAAAATACGTTTTTCCTTAAATTAATGGAGACTATTAATTTTGGATAATGTACGTTAATACACCAGGAAATGGCTTTGAACCAAGTCAGTGGCTTGAGACACTTCACTTAACTTACATAGCCCTAGTATTTAGAGTATATAAAGCGGTCATACCTTTGAAAGATATTTTGACATGGGTCAGGGACTGGAAGAGTACCAAATCCAGAGACAACGATTCTTTGGGCAGCAAGATTCGTTTTATAGGTGTCACTTTTCAGGTATCGATTCTGGTATGTTACCTTCTTGTTTTCTGTTAAAAGAGATTACAATTACAAAATCATTGAACGCATTGTGGTAATTAATACAGTTTTATTCATAATCATTTGCTTTATAAGAAAGTTTGAAATTCTTATACACATTACAAAAAGTCAAAGTTCATGTAAACGAACTAGAACAATAAGTTAAGACAGTGTTGTAATGTTTATAACAACTGCATAATAGAAAAATATACATGTTGAGAACAATATCCTTTACGAAGTTGAATAGCCTAAGTATTTGCACTTGTTAAAACATTATTTGTTTCTATCTAGTCTGTGACCATGAATGCTATCATACAGTTAAGTAAGTCTAGATCTATTCCAGATTAAAAGGTTAAACACGGCAGAAGATGTGCATACGAACGTAAATGATTTGTCACTTAGTTTAACCTTGATATATTAAAGTATTAAAATACAAACCTATATGGAACCTTGTGATCATTGCCAGGGGATCAAACCAATGATTATACTTGTATTCCCCAACCTCGTACATTCCTGGTCCATTCCTGTACAGACTTCCGTTAACCCATTCTGGAATCTCTCCTTTTTAGATAAAAATTGTGTGTTAAAAAAAATAGAAGATGATATTATATATTCATTAAAAAAATATTGTAATTTCTTATTGCTCCCCAAATTATGGCATGAAAAGTTGTCTGAATGTTGATCGTAGAGCACTGCACATTGGTCTTTACCTTCTTACAAAATTGCTAAATAAGAAAATACGAGTACAAGATACAAAATTTGATATCGAATTGGATTTCTTGTCAATTTTAAAACAACAGCTAAAAAGACTTTGAACATAATAAGGAACAGTCAACAACATGGAAGTATAAGATAAAGATGATCAATGTATTTTGTACACATAAATCACAATTTAAAATAGAGTGACATACATAGCATAAAAAGATATAACACTGCTGCCAAATAATAAAAAAACAAAAAACAAAATAAAAAAAAGATGGAAAGAAAGCATACAAAAAACTAAAATCTAATATCTATATATGTCAAGAAAAATGTAATCTAAAACAATAAAAAAAATTAAATTGAAACACCAGCAAGCACATATTGGTAAACTATGCATGTAAAAATACATTGATATCAATTGACACGATTCACAACATTGTGACAACTTAAAACTACAAAAGTGATGTTACTAAACTGTAAAAGAAAGATAAGTTGTAATATAAGTTTTCATGTGGTATTATTATAAATTGTCGAGAGCAATACTGAAGTCTATGGGTGGTATTGAACGAGTTCTCAGCTATAAAACCTATACATGCCGAGGCGCTGTCAACCAGTATTGTTCTCAACAATGTATAGTGACCTCACCTTTGGAGACACATTGAAAGAACTTTGAAACTTCAATGCAAGTTCAAAAATGACTTGATAAGAAATGATGAAATCCTAAAATAAATACGAGGCAAGATGGAGTATGATATGCAATTGGTATAGTTTCGTTTACTCTGAAATTAAAAACGAGACTTAATAGGGTACGATATGCATTCGATAAGGACTTTTTGGACTGAGGTTTCCTGTATGAAATCTTTTCACATGAACAGGTCTACTGTACTGTTTCAGAGATATTATTTATTGGTCAATTGTTTTTAGCTCACCTGTCACACAGTGACATGGTGAGCTTTTGTGATCGCTTTTCGTCCGGCGTCCGTCCGTCGTCCGTCCGTCCGTCCGTAAACTTTTACTTTAAACGAAATCTCCTCATAAACCGCTAAGACAACTTCACAGGAATGTTCCTTTGGTAGTCGTGAACTTTAAAAATGTTCAAAGAATTTAATTCCAAGCAGAACTCTGGTTGCCATGGCAACAGAAAGAAAAAACTTAAAAATATCCTCTTTTAAAAAAACCGTAAGAGCTAGAGCTTAAATATTTGGCTCCGGGGGTCATTGATTTTCCTTATTTGTATTTAGTAAAAACTTAAAACTCTTCTTTAAAAAAACCCAAATAGCTAGAGCTTAGCTATTAAGCATGAAACATCTTCTAGTGGGTGTCTACCAAGTTTGTTCAAATAGAAGCCCTTGGTCAAAATTGGCCCGCCCCAGGGTTCATTGTTTTTCCCTTTATGTATATAGTAAAAAACTTAAAAATCTTCTTTTAAAAAACCCCAAATAGCTAGAGCTTAGCTATTAAGCATGAAAACATTTTCTAAGTGGGTGTCTACGAAGTTCGTTTCAAATAAAATCCCTGGGGTCAAAATTGGCCCCGCCCCAGGGGGTAATTGTTTTTCCCGTTATGTATATAATAAAAACTTTAAAAATCTTCTTTTAGAAAATCTTTAGAGCTAGAGCTAAGAATATTTAGCATGAAACATCTTTCTAATAGGTGTTCTACCATTTTTTGTTCAAATAAGCCCCTGGGGTTAAAATTGGCCCCGCCCAGGGGATCATTGATTTTTCCTTATAATGTATATAGTAAAAACTTAAAAAATCTTCCGTTGAAAACCCAAAGAGCTAGAAATTTAGATTATTAAGCATGAATTATCTTCTAGTGATTTCTACCAAGGTTTGATGTCACATAAAAACCCTGGGGACAAAATCAAGCCCCCCAGAGGGGGGTCATGTCTTTCCTATATGTTATCCAGTACAAGCTAAAAAAATTCTTAAACTAGAAACTGGTATTTATCATGAAACATCTTCAAATGGTGTTCTACCATTGTTTGTTAAAATAAAAGCCCTGGTAAAAATTGCCCGTCCACAGGCTCTATACAAGTTACGATTCAGCATCAATTCACTTTTTCTTGTTTATATTTAGATATTCGAATTGTAGTTCATGTTTCCTTCTTTTTTCAGCATCTGTTTGAAAAATACTTACTATGATTTATATTCTTTCACTTTCGTGATACATTTAAATTTAAAGTTATCCAGCTAAATGAAATATAAATATCGTATTTTTAATTGACTGAAACTGCTCTTAAAATTAAAAATATGTATTTAGGAATAAACGAATGAACAGTACAAGTAACAAATTTGCCAAGATCAATAAATTCACCATTACATATACCTAATGTGTATGGTTAGTGGAGAATCGATGTTGTGAGGTTATTCAGACCCTTGTGCTCTCAAACATAGGATAGCAATAAAAAAGATAAACCTTCACATACATATTAGACCAGCGTGAATTACATTGTTAATGGTTTTTTCAAAACATATTATTTCTGCTTCATAAATTTATTGTCCTTCTCTTGAAATTATGTCGTGCTGACATACTATAAAACATTAACTGAAGTCTCTTGAAGCCATCGTTTATTTTTAATGTGCTTATGTCACATATTGTGACCTAATGCATGTCATAAAGTAAATTCTTACATACTGTAGCTTTCCTCAACAGGATATTCGTGTTCTTCTTTGATTGTTTGAAAAAGCTGTGCACATATTTGGCTTGGCACAACTATAGTTACTTTTCCACTCAGCTTCATTTGTAAAATACTTCAGTATGGTAGGCTGAAAACAAAATTCATACAAGTTATCATAAAAAAATACAATGGTAAAATTTAGATTAAAATGTATAAATAGGTCTTTTTGCCAACGACAACTTGTTTCATTATTGAAACTGAGCAGTAGCAAAATTATAATGTTTAATTCTAGCTTCCCCCTAAATGTTTAATAAGCTAATGATTATGTCCACCTGGAAAGTAACTCTTCAATCTCCGCGTCAGCAAAAAATGAATTCATGAATTTCAAACTTTTCATGTCTTCCCGGCTTCAAAGTTGTTCAGTAAAACTGAGCAATTATGCCATTCAACAAGTTGTTGTAAACAATTTTGCTGTGGTTAAACTGTATCAATAACCAGAAGAAAAAAACATACCTCTGGAAAACTCACCACGTATTCCGCATAACGATTTAAAAGAAAGGATACCACTAAAAGTCCAGTATTGGCAAAAACCGCTAGCGTCTGTGGAGTATGTGTTTAAACCAAATGATTCAGTATTGTATGAACACGGTGTATAATAAACACATAATTATTCACACAAACAAAAAACAGAACATGTTTTTAAAAATTAATCCTTCTGTTTATATTCTTTCCTGCTCATTAGATTCAATATAGCTCACATTCTTAGTAATAAAAGTTGATGGGACGTAAACGTCCCCTGGAAAGTTAAAATATTGATCAATACAACGTAGAAGTATAACACTCAGGACACGTATATTCTTCATAATTTTTATAGAAACAAGATAAATACCAATTTCGCTTAGAATTAATGTTTATCTTAAATTGAACTACCTCTAATAAGAAGCATGGAAGCACATAGGTCGATTTAATGATTAATAATCTGACTGGGAACAACTTATTTTCGAAATCTTTTTATTAATCTGTGGAACAACATGTTTTTGTGAGAAAAATTTTTTTATTCTGTGGAACAAACATATTTTGTGAGAAAAATCTTTTGTTTATTCTGTGGGAACAACTTGAATTTGAGTAAAAAAAATTTTATTCTGTCTTGACACAACAATATTTTGTCGAGAAAAATCTTTTTTTATTCGTGTGAACAACATATTTTGGTGAAGAAAAAATTTTTTATTCTGTGGAACAACATATTTTGTGAGAAAAAATCTTTTTTATTCTGTGGGAACAACTTAATTTGAGTAAAAAAAAAAAATTTATTCTGTTGGAACAAACTTATTTTGTGAGAAAATATCTTTTTTTTACTCTGTGGGAACAAACTATTGTTCTGCGATATTTTTCAATATCTTGTTCCCTCAAGATTAATAAGTTTATTCAGCTAGTCGTGCCGAACAAATTTCTCTCGGGCTAATCCCTTGCGCTCGCATCAACCTTCTTAAATGCCTTAGTCCGATACAAATGTTGTGCCTCTCTCGTCTAACATATTTTGAATATCCTGATACTTCAAACCCATTTCAAAACTACTGTTTAATTAAAACATCTCTATCCATTTTTCTGACAACAAGATGCAAGAATTTGATTGGTTGAATTATGTTGTGGGAACAACATAATTAATTTGTTCGCACAACTATTATCTTGAGGGAACAAGATATTGAAAAAAATATAGCAGAAAATAGTTTGTTCCCACAGAATAAAAAAAAATTCTCACAAATATGAAGTTATTCCCACACGATTAAAAAAAATTTTCTCCAAAATATGTGTGTCCCACCAGAATAAAAAAGATTTTTCTCACAAAATATGTTTGTTCCCATAGAATAAAAAAAAAGATTTTTCTCACAAAATATGTTATGGTAATCTGCCTTAACAAAATAGATGGATGAACCTTAATTCAACATGTACTAACTAAATAAACCATATCTAACTTATTTGGACTATTTAATGACAAACAATTTATTACCAAAACCAAAATAATTACATTTTGACATCTACTCCATGGTGTTATAAGAATGTATCGTATAAAAAATCAAAATGTCCAATAGTGCAAGTGGAGGGATCGTGCTAGTCGCGCGAGAGACTAGTAGGTGGTCAGATGAGGAGTGCGTAGGAGCTAGGTCGGTAGGGTGCTGATACGCACGAGCGAAGAGACTCAGTGGTCAGTGGAGGAGTTAACATTAATCTAAGAGACGCAGCATTTGTCCCAGTTAAAGCATAGAAGATACCGAAAGTGTGGTTTATTATGTCTATAAAATCACTGTTGACGTTTCGTATATTTAACGACTGTGACTAGATCATGATAGCACGTGACGGAACCACTAAAAAATTTTGACGCCGGCTATCAAATAAGTACAAAAAGGATCAGGCGAAGATTTAGGGGCTAAGCTATCAGGTGACGCGAGCAGTTGTAAATTGTTGGATTCGTTCGTTAGAATCGAGAATAATATATGCCAAATCGGGATTTTATTGTTGAATAACATCCACTGTTTGTTCGTCGGGATCGCGCATCATTATATCACTCGGGCTACGCCCTCGTGATATAATTCCCCGCATCCGAACTCCAAACAGTGATGTTATTGAGCAATAAAATCACTGTTTGGGATATATTATTTCTTAAATACACATGTGCACGAACGAGTTTTTTGTTTGTATTATGTTACTTACAAGTTTACAAAGTAATCAAATTTCTGACTATTTGGCTTTTTATTGTCTTATTATTTTATTTAATCCTTCATAAAAAAGCTTTATCCAATTAGCATCATCTACATAGGTATCTATCTAACATCGCAGAAACAAAATCTCCATAATGTTAAGTCTTCTTCACATAAATCAATGTGTTTTCATTACATTGTACAATAACAAGCTGTTGCATTTTTATGTTTAAATTTTATCCTATTTTTGATCAATCGATCCATTATTATAAAGTTTTCTTATTGTGCATTATGTGTGTAAAAACATGTAATCCTTGCATTGCTTACAATAGCTATTAATAGATGACGGTCATTAATTTCGACAGAAAACAAAATTTGGAATTTGGATGTTATGAAATAAATGCTTTGTTGTTTTTGTGGGGTTTTAATTGTTTTTGCTTTATGTTTGATTTTTTTCGGTGGGGGGGGGGGCGGTGAGGATGAGTGTTTTTATGTTGTAAGTTCTTATTTTTGATGCTGTTGTTGTTGCCTTTTTCGTACAATATAACTTTTTAGGTATTTTTGCTCCATTTTAAGCTGCGGGGTGGAAATCAATGTATATAGTAGCAGCAAGATGATGTATTTTGTACTACACAGTACTGTACATCTAACGGTTTTCGATGTTGCAGTCTTTTAACTAAAGGATTATTTTCTAACTACTTTACATTATTAATTTTCCAATTTCACCGTTTTAAGTAATGTTTAATAGCATTGAAAGTTATGCCAGACAGTGTAAACTGTTATGTCATACAGCATGAAAGTAATGTCGGACAGCATTAAACTAATGTCTGACATATTGGAAGTAATATCAGTAAGACCGTGTTGTCAAAAAGTATGACAGTTATATCAGACAATATAGAAGTAATGTCAGACAGATTGAAAGAATTATCAGACAGAATGAAAATAACTTCAGACAGTAAAGAAGTAATTCCAGAAAGTATGTCACTAACATTAGACATGTTGAACATTTTGTCACATAGCGTAAAGTTATAAGACAGCATGAAAGTAATGCCAATCTTCATGTTTTTAGAATCTGGCAACATAAAAACTGGGCCAGCATAAAAAAGTAATGTAATGCCATATAGCATAATTTATGTCAATATGCATGAACATAATGTCTGACAGCATAAAAGTATTTCAGGTAGCATGAAAGCAATATCAGACACAATCAAAAGTATGAGACAGCATGACATTAATGTAAAAAGCATGAAAGGTATGTCAGATAGCATGAATGATATGTGAGACAGCATAAAATTATTGTCTAAAGTATGAAAATAATGGCAGACGCCACGAATGTTATTCCAGACAGCAGGAAGGTTATGCCAGACAACAGGAAAATAATTTTATAATGCATGATATCAAATATAAAGCACTACTTTAAAAATATTTTGTAATGCATGACATCAAGTATAAAGCACTACTTTAAAATAATTTTATAATACATGATATCAAGTATAAAGCACTACTTTTTAATAATTTTATAATGCGTGATATCAAGTATAAAGCACTACTTTAAAATACTGTTAAATTACATTCCGAGTACAATAAAACAGACCAGGGTTTTTTTATTATTGTAAATAGATTTATTATTGCACCATGAAATACTGATAATTTGTATAGAAATATATTATATTGCATAATACCTATTTTATCTAACAAATCATAAGACTTTTTATTTTGTTATAATCTTACAAATACATTTCACTCTTTATTCCCACAAATATCCAGTACATTTTCCATGGTTGCATCAACTTGAAAAGAAATTCTTTATACATTGATCAGTAATGTGTAGAAGTAAGATAAAAAAAGTTTAAGGAATACAATTTCTTCAACATAGTCCTGTATTTGTGAATATAATTTAAATTTGTACCAATATGAAAATCTGCCTACAAATATACCTACATACTATTCACTGTAAAATATTAAACAAATAACTTTTTTCTGTAACTAAATCATTATCAAAAATCTATAAGGATTTTTTTTAGCAAAATTTCGTTTATTCTGGCATTTCTACATTAATTCTCAAATGACCTAGTGTAGAACCTTATATATCACTTTTGATTAAAAACGAACGTAGAAAATGATCTCATATTTAGCATGAAAGCTTTATATAATAATAATGTTACAAAAATAAAACATTTTGGCTTTGATATTAACATACATTAACTTTGTTTCTATTCCAAACACACTGACACACTGACATTATATACAAACATTATTATCTATGTATATACTTTGAAAAACTGTATTTATATTAACAATTTGTTTACTACCATCATATATCAAAATTGTAACGACAAATCATAACGCAGCTTTACTGAGATTAACTCCTACACTAAGCAATCAGGAATTTCTAATATTATACTGATCAAAAATGTGTACTTTCTAACAACAACACTGATGCTTGTCTTGAGAGATCTGTTGATTCACTGATTCGTTTTGAACAAGCCATGAAAATCTTTTGGAAATCGTGGTATATCAAATTCTGCTCTGGCAATTTCCTTCATAGATTTAGCATCAAGTACGAGCAAGAAGGCGTTCTTTCCTTTGTCATAGTCTGAAGTGTTCACAGATGATAATACAACACCTGAAAACAAAATGTATACCAAGATATTCCTATATTATGAGTAAAGAATTTTTATACATGTAAGCTTACGTCATTATCCTCTAAATTCAATATGTCCAGTAAACTTATTCAATATTTCATTGTTTCTGAATTCTGAAAAAGATGGTCAAAGTACCAACTCAATATGTAATTAAAACAAAACAAATTAAGGTGAAAGAGACTTAATTTAATGCTAATCTAATATATCCTGCACAATAAAGAGACAAAGAATATTGAGGCACATTCAAATCAAAATTTTAATTAATTTACTTAAAATTAATTATAAATAACACACAATCAATAGTGCTTCAAGTTTGTTCATTTGTTCAACCCACTGCTTAATATATACATTCAATGCCGATAGCTAATGCATGAAATGTGCGGATTTTTTTTTTGCTGTTATCAATTTCAGTCGGCAATTAACAATTGCAGCATATAATTAAGTATAAAACTTTTTTGTTTCTAGAGTCTTTATGATAGGGCTTTTTGATAAAAAAGTGATAAATTTGAATCATTTCACACAAAAAATAAACGCATCATAACAATCAAAAATGATAATGATATTAAAAATTAAGATAACAAAATCAAGCCTAACCATCATCTTCATCTGTACCATTTGGATTAGGTACAAACACTGGTTCTGAGGGGTAGCATTTGTCCTCACCCCATTCCTTGAATGTCTTAGTGTTGATGTCAATCTTCATTACCTAAGATTTGAATTCAGTATGAAAAACTTATTACTTTGGCATACTTATAAAATAATAAAGATTAAAGAAAGGATATTGTGGAAATATTGATGGTTTATTCAAAGAATGAAAAGATGATTAAAGATTTTGTCTTATAATGTGGAAATGCTATTATTGTATTTTTTTCTTAAAGTTGGTACTAAGCTGGATATCAATATAGTCTTCAAGGTTTCGTCAATAATTGACCAACTTTATTTAAAAGTTTTATGATTTATGCCGCTTTGCAATATTGTTTGAAACATGTACAGGGGTCAGTGATGTCGCATGCCTCTTATAATAGCTTTACTATAATTTTAAAATAAATAAACTTTATAGGTTAAAAAATGTCCTTTTTAATTTACCATGTTAATTATTATATACTTTTTCTATACAATAAGCCATACTTACAGTATTAAAATGTTTTCCCTTTGGATGCCAGCCTACCCCATATGTATATCTGTATTTCTTTCCATTGTGACTTTTATAGTTTATTTGTGGAAAGTCCATACCTGACGAAAGACGGTATAATAATTATCATATTGGACAGCTTTAGCAAAAAAGAAATGACTTGACTACCTAGAATAATCATTTTGTAAGTCTTTTACTTTAATTGTAAAAAACTAGCATCAGAACAAACTGATACTTATTAACAAAAGATATTAAATTTATAATAAAATATCATTTCTTTTCTTGCCTCAGTGTCTAATTCCACACACACCTGCGGTTCTCTTCTGTATTATATTAATGTTTTATGTGTAAGTAATTGCTTCAAAGTATATTTCTCAGTTCTATTTCTTAGAGGTAAACTGTTGTGAAACACGGGGATTTATTATTATATGGCACAAAAACAATGGCTTAAAAGCACAATATTTATGAAAATAGGACGCATGATTAATGGCTATAGGGAGCTGTAATTTATGGCTTAGGGGCACATGGTTTTGTGGCTATGATTTAAGTCTAAGAGGATTTATTGCTATGAAGAACAGAGAGATAGGATGATAAGAACTAATGGCTTAGAGGCCATTTGATTGATTGTTTAAGAACACTGGAATTTACCGCCAAGAGGCAGGCAGATTTATGGCTAAGGGGTACAGGGTTTATAGTAAAAAGGACATTGATTAATGGCTTAGGGACACAACAATTTATGACACACAGGCTTGTGATATAGACGCACAGGGAATGATAGGTAAAAGGCACAGTCTCTGGCTTACGGGGATACACGGGAAAATTATGGGTAAGGGGACACAGAGATTTGGTCATGACATGTTAGATAGAGTGGTTTATGTAGAAAATGTGTACCAGAGTTAACATGTACAGTAAAATATTATATTTATGAGATAAAACTCTTTACAGTAATCATTATTATAAAGAGGTGAAAATAATTAATGAACAATGACAGGTCGCAAACTTTAATATAGAATTGGCATGGTTAGTGCATAAATTTGACAGTATCTGATATGGTTATTATAAAACTGTGATTTATTTCCTTTTCAGGGTGCCTTTATTGTATTAGAAACTCATCCATGCTTAAAATGTTCACATGGTTTATAGGGCAAGAACAGGGCAGTGCAAATTGTCAATTGCTTTAATTTCATTGTGTTGACAAGTGTTATAATAATATGTATGACTTTCCATTCATAAAAATAACAACCTGTATTAACCAGTGCTTCCCATGTACAATATACAGTGTCGTCTGCTGTCATTTCTGCTGTTGCTGCTGCCTGTGTTATATCCACCAAGTTCTTGTTGCGTGGTGTCTGTATTCAAAAATGTAGATATTTAAAAAATTAAGTCAATTAAATTGTTCTAATTAGAAAGATTTCAGACTATTCAAGAATATAAATAAGATTGTATCATATACAAGTTGGCTGTTAGAGAGTTAATTATGCAAATTCTAATTCATTGATTATTTAACCATCTGGAGAGATAGTGATTAAGATGTCTGTCTATCAACACATGAACGATGGGTTCAAACCTCTTCTTGTCGTGACCATGTTTCCCTAAATGACACAAGTGCTGGTTAGTAAATACAGGAAGCCGACTCGAATATGATTTAATTTCAGTTCCAAAATACTTTTCACAATCACAACTAAAACTATTTCACCTTTCCTTAAAGAGACAAAATCAATTGTCTTTATTGCCCACAATCTGCACGAAAGTTACTATATACGTAAATATCATATATGCAAGTTAAGAAATGATTTAGATAAAATTGGACAAGGAAGTAAAAATCCGATTTTGATGAGCCTTAAGAGATACAAATCATAATTTACCTATAATCTGAAACATGTATATTGCATTAAGTAATGTTGCAATACCTGTTGGTTAACTTTTAAAGGCAAAATATATCTCCTAGGTTGAGGGTCTTCAAAGTTTCTCCATTTTTCCTCACATTGTTCTGAGGTTAGGTCCTTGAGGTAGACATAGCTCAATGCTTCATTTGATCTTACAGCACAGAGGTCAACAATAATGTGACCTTGAAAACAAAAGGAATTACTCATCAATAAACCGCCTTTGAAAGAAATGAATTATTTATGTATTCAAAACATTTGAAAAATAATTTATTTAAATACATGTATATAATATACAAGTCGACATAAAAATGCAAATCATTTATAAACAACCTTCAATGAATAAGTAAAATAAGTTTACATTTTGCCATAATTACTTTCAATTTTATAAAAAATACTTCTTATGAACAATAAATAACTCAGTGTCCCAAGGAAATTGCTGTTAATATCCATCGGAATGTGCATGTAACGTTAGATTTATAATTATATTATATTTTAGGCAAATTTACATCATATCCAATATCAACTTTCGGTCAATCACCATTATAACAGTATATCTTTTTAAATATATTGTTAATTCAGCTTAACTTGACAATGAAAAAAATAGCATAGTGTCGCTAAATTAAGCAAATAACATAGAAAAAAAACGCATTCTCACCATTTTCTTCATATGCATTTATATGATGAAACACCATCAAGGGATCAGCTTCATATTTGATTTCTGGATTGACTTCTTCACCAGTTTTCTTGTCAATAATGCGAAATCTTGTCTGAAATTCACAGATAAATAAAGTTGGATTAATTGACTCTTTAATTATAAATGTTTCTATGTTAAGTACAATAAAGAACATTACGCTAAAATAACATTATTTTACTATATTCAAAACATCTAAACTTTGTACTTGTTATGATTTTTATAATAGACTTGTATATTAAAGTTTAAACTGTCAACTGTACCCTCTCATTCGAAACAATATACTTAATAAAAAAAAGTAGTTGGACTGTATGGTTATGCACAGGTATAATTTTCACATAGTCTTGTCATTATTGCCGTTACCACTGTAAATGTCAATCTTAAGGACTTTGTTTTAGCAGAACAGTACCTGTACATGTAGGAGGGGAATTTTACGTTGTTTTCCTAGCAGAAAATAGTTCCTGCCAGGTAGCTTTATTGAATAAAGGTTAAACTTCAAATACATTCAGCATACAGATAAAGAGAATGTTGTTTAAAATGGCGCAAAAATTGTTGAACAAGAGCCATGCTTTATCTACAAAGGCATTGTGATAGCTTTTGTTTATTTATATTTTAATAAATGAAATATTTTCATGTATTCTATATAATTTCTGTCACATAATAGTAGGCAATTTAACTAAACTAGTGTTTTATCACTTTAGCACCATTCCTAACCTTTCCTGTAAAAGTAACTAAAAATATCCATTTTTCAGTATCTAAAGTCAATTAAATAAAAAAATCCTTTGACAGCTTTTCATTCATAACAACCAATTTAGTACAATATCAATGGAACAAACAAAACTTTCGAGTGACAAAATAAATACTATTTTAATCCAGCTAAACAAAATGAGTACGATCAATCTAAGTTACAACTTATGAAGATCAAGTAGGAGTAAAAGATTAGTAACCTTTAGGTCCGGGTACCAGTCCATGGAATTACTCATAGGCGAACCTCGAATTTTAGCCGTCATTATTTTTAGTAGATTCATGAACATTGGCTGTTCGACGTACACGTAATAGTTTTCAGTCATACCAAAACTATGGATGTAGTTGATGCTAACTTTGCCTGATGATTTGATGGCAGACATAACTTGACCTTGTGGAAATTCATCATTAGGTTCTGTAGATGAAATAATAATTAAATATTATTACACATATTATTTATAACAATGAAAAATTGATGAAAACATGATAAATAAACATAACATAAATTCATATTAAAACACAGCATACGATACCTAGCCCTTTGTATTAATTAAATATTAAAAACATATTCATATAAGAGCAAACGAAACGTGAAATAAAATAATTATGCACCATTAAATAATATATTTTACACCAAACATCTTTATATCAAATAGCTATTCCTCAGAGAACAAATCTTATTTTCTTTGAATTAAAGACACATTATCCCTTTGGAAATTGATATATTTTTCTCTCTGTAGTGAAAGTTAAAGTGAGATTTATTATGTTTAGTTTAAACAAATTTATTTTAGTTCGATTTTGTTGGAAGCTATAAGCTTATCGAAACACTCTCGAATCCATTCCTGGAACCAGCCATTTCTAAGCAATGAATGTAAAGTTTCTTGCTCAAGGAAACAACGGCTTGCCCCTGACAGGGTTTGAACCCACGCGGTCAGCAATCCTTAGATTACTAGTCCAACGCGTGAACCAATCGGCGACGCCGCCACTCTTTTTATTATGTTTATTATACATGTAATGGTTTATGAGCAAAATACAATGTAGATGTTTATGATATAATAAAGTAGCAATGAATGAGAAATGTTTTGTCATTAAAATAGTAAAATGTACATAACACAGCATTTTGATTTCCATTTAAAATACTAGATCATAATAACTGTACTAGTTGCCGAAGGGTAACAGATGCAAAAGTTGTCTCAGGTAATTGGCTAGTCAGACTATAACAGGACACCAAAAAAAAATAAAAAGCTTTTGAGAAATAAAGATGATTTTAACACAATCAACACAATTGTCAGGGATAAGTCTTTGCTAAATGTACCTTTTTTAGGAGGAATTTTGATGATACAAATTTTTGGACCTCCTTTGAAACAGTTTCCGATATTGTGAACTGTTCCATCTGCGTCATAGTGAGGGTGAGCACTTGCCGTGTGAACAGCGACATAGTCTGTAAGATTAACCTGCAATAAACGATGCAGAGTTATCATTTTAATACATGCATATGGATGCAATAGAATACATCATCACAAATAAAATCAATTTATCTTTCTTCATTTTAACGAACGGATATCTGAGTAGAACCACTAGTCGGATAGCTTCATAATATGAAAGAATGACTTGATACGAACCAACAACGGTGAGGGGCAAGTAGTTTGATTTAAGTTAACTACACTACAGTCTACACTCAATAATTAAGTATACACGTATGAATAATATGCTTTTTGTCAAATTTTGCGCTAATAGCTAACATTATTATTTCAATTGTTTTGTCTTCATTCTGTAATACAGGTAATCTTTATTAAAAGGGAGTGAATAAAAACGCACCGTTTCACCGTTTTCAGACAAATTATGCGTTGATTTAAATTTGAGGCAATTCTTTTCAATTCATGTTTTTTTAAAGTGAGATTTGTCAAAAACAAATTCAATCCAAATCATACAATCAACATGATCAATGTGTGAAATGACAATAGTATAACATTTTTGGACAATAATCATCAATAAAACACAACAATAAAATGGTTTGTTTAACCGAAGGACAGCGGGTAGAATGTCTGGTCCGTCACCAACATGGAGAGAGCGTGACTGCCATAGCAAGAGTCCTTTGAGTCACCAGGTAAGAGTCTTTTCTTAAGTTTTAACTCTTTTTTATGTCTTTACCAATTAAAATGTATGTCTTGACCAAGTTTTATAGAAATGGACCTGATATTTGTCTTAATATTTCTTGCAGGAAAACAGTTTACAAGACATTGGAGCGCAAGGAAGAGACAGGACGACTGGCCGAAAGACCTCGTTCAGGGCACCCTAGACTTTCAAATGTGAGAGATGATAGAGCCATCATTAGACTCAGTCTAAGAGATCGTTGGGAGGCTGTGCCTTTCCTCAGAGCTTCATGGGAGAGCTACGGAGTCTCAGCCAGCCTCACCACAGAAAGGCATAGATTACAGGATGCTGGTTTACATGGACGGAAGGCAGTCAGGAAGCCTCTGTTAAACCGGTTCACCTCCAGAAGCGCATTGCCTTTGCTCAGGAGCATGTTGATTGGACTTGGGTTGACAGGAGTGCTGTTCTTTGGACAGATGAGTCCAGATTCACTCTGTTCAAAAATGATGGAAATGTGTTTGTCCGGGGCGTCGTTTTGAAAGGCTTCACAATGACTGTGTTGTGCCACCAGTGAAGTTGGGGGTGGTGGAGTTACTGTGTGGGGTGCAATGTCATACAGAGGCCCAGGTTTTCTCCATACTATTCACGGTAACTTGAATACACATGGATACATTGACATTTTGAGCAATGTTGCACCACCTCTGCCCACTACCTTGGATATGGCGACTCCTACTTCTTCCAAGATGATGGGGCTCCTTGTCACAGGGCCAGAATAGTCAATGTCTGGAAGCAGGAGCATGGCATTACTGACATTGGACAGTGGCCATCCCAAAGCCCTGAATTTAATCCAATTGAAAATCTGTAGTATGATTTAAAATGCAGTGTTCGCGACTACAGGTCAAGAAATCTAACCGAGTTGGAAGCCAATTTAGGGATGCTTGGGACAGAATACCTGTAGAGAGGTGTCAAAGACTTATAAGAAGCATGCGAGAGAGAATGATAGCTGTTATTGCTCCCAAAGGAGGCTATACACACTATTGAAAATTAATTATTGGCAATGCTGATTCATGTCATGAATTGGTATTTTGTATACACTTTTAAAAATGTACTTAATGTTGTTTAATGACCAAGTTCTTGTTATGCAGACTTTTATTTGTCAATGAATAACAAACAAATTTGATATAAAATGAATTAAATGCCAAATAAAGTATTTGTTTAAGTTAAAGAGCTGTTTGTTTTTGCCTTTTTATGAAATATCACACTGTATACTTACTTATGGAGGGTAGTGACTATTTTAAGCACTCGGTCATGGGCATCCTCAACCGTTCTCTCTGTGGTCTTTTAAGTGCCAGGATCAAGTTTAAAACATTTTTTCTGGCATGACATTTGTTCTCTCTAGAGTATCGAGTGTCTCGGAACAATTTTAAAACATTTTCTTTAACTTACTCTCTCTAGTGTCTCTAAGGTTTCAGGATCAACTTTCCTAATAAAGTTTGTCTCTGTACTAGCATACAACTCATCCTTTAATGGATAAAAATTGACATTCGTGTTGTCGTTCTTTTCATCTACTGTGAAATAACTCAAAAATCTGAAAAATCAAACAGTAAGAAATGCATAATGTGTACATTCAAATTATTATCAACTGGAACTGAAATGAAATTTAGTGTTTTTATTAATAACACAACTGAAATTGATTTTTGTGTTCACACTGACACATATGGTGACTTTAGGAAGACATGCCCCTCTGTGCATATACATTGCACATACTTCGGCAGAAAATTGCATAAACATTACATTTATTTTGAAGTGTTTCATTTTCAATTGTAAAATTTCGGAAGTACTCACTTCAAATAGTATAAATATTCTCTCCTTTATTGGAATTTCAAGTGAGGCCATACCAAACTTAATTTTAGGGAATGGGCGATGTCCATCTACACGTTTTCTCTACAATTATGTGGCCACAATAAGTATGCATTACTGAATCTTGTTTATAAATGATAAAGATGAACCTTGTTTTAAAGGTATAAAACAACAAGTCTTTTTATTATATTCTTATAAATGAAATATTGAAAAATGTTGATGAAATAAAATGCGTATTTTCATTTTTAGTATTTTCATTGTAGAAATTTATTTTTCACTGCAGTGAAACATATTTTCCGTTTTTTTTCACTGGTGTCTTGCTGGACTACTTTCTTCTAAATTCAGTCAATACACAAAATTTAAGGGGAAGTCATTCAAATTGTAATGTCTGAAAGGAGAAAAATGTATATAATAAACAGAAAATTCAAGTTTTTTTCTATACAATCATACAGAATTTTTCTTTATCTTGTGCTATGAAAATTATCATATTTCACTCGTGGATACTGCCACTCAAGAAATATATATTTTCATACCACTCGATGAAAATAAATCCTGTATGTAGAAAAAACATATCCTCTACGTACAAAACTCTCGACTTCTGAATACTGAAGACAGACCTACCTTTGGAAGATATTTTGACAAGGGTCTGGAACCGGAAGTGTGCCAAATCCATAAATAACAATCCTCTGGGCAGCAACATTCTTTTTATAGGTCTCACTTTTTAGATAGCGGTTCTGGTAGGTTACTTTCTTGTTTTCTGTTACATAAAATTAAATATGATAAGACTATTCATAAACAGTAAATTGTTATAAAGCTTTTTATATAAGACATTTTGTTCATTTTTCTTACTTCGTTCACTTTTCTCATAAAGATTTTTAATCCCTGCCTAGGGTGGGCATTTTCATTTGTTTATTTTTAACCATAAGAAATAAAACTGACATAGTCTGTACTACAGATATCCATGCAGCACTCAGAATAGCAGTGGCTCGAAAAGAAGCTACAAAAGTGATGTGGTGAAAACTTAATATTTTATACAATATATGTTAAACATTAGTTATATATGGAATCGCCTTTACTGATTATTTATAAAATCATAATGCCTGCACTTCTAAAAAACACTCAAGATGCACGACAGACGTATGGATATAATTATGTGCTCAGTATATGGGCATGCGCATACGTACTTAGTATATCGACACATGCACGTAGTATATGATCTGTCAGTTAGTGTAACCTTGACATATTTAAGTTAAGTACAAACCTATGTGGAACCTTGTGAACATCGCCAGGGGATCAAACCAATGATTGTACTTGTATTCCCCAACCTCGTACATTCCTGGTCCATTTCTGTATAGACTTCCGTTAACCCATTCTGGAATCTCTCCTTTTTAACCCGAGACAATATTTGATATAAAGAGTGTTTATAGTTAGTACACATGGATATGTCAATGATTAAGATCACATTAATCTTTAAAACAGGTACACTCTATTACTTAAAATATTTTTATCTTTTAAAAACATGCCTCTGTCCTTCCAAGATATGTATACAATATCAATTCATACAACTTTACTAACAGAGATATTTGATAATGTTACAGTAGCTAAAATCACTTTCATTTAATAATATGTTAAACTATAATCTATAAATTATTGTTGTGAATTTTTTGCACACAGGCTCAAAAATCAAAACATTTCCATTAAAATTGTGATGGCCCAAAATAATCCTAGACAGTTTTCAGTCCTATCTTAAATATTTTACAAGTTCAGATACATGTGTGAAGAAACAGATACAAATCAAAATTCCTCTATATACCTGTAATTTGTCCTTCCACAGGTTTCTCGTGCTCTTCTTTGATTGTTTTAAACAACTTATGCATATTTTCCTGAAAGAAAATACCACTTTTTAAATTCTCCCTTCGATCCATAATGATCTTAGTCCATCTCAGATCATAACGTGAGTGGAACATTTTTGCTGTTTTAAGTAATGCCTTAAACAAGATTCAGACCCAAATCGGCCTTCCTTATATCAAGTTTGCTTTTGAAAAAAGATGAGCAAATCCATTTAAGATATAGAGGATATTCAAGTTTTTTCTATAAATACATGATTTATTTTCATCGAGTGGTATGAAAATAAATATTTCATGAGTGGCGGTAGCCATGAGTGAAATATGATTATTTTCATGCCACAAGATGAAAATAAATCATGTATTTATAGAGAAAACTTGAATTTTCTGTTTATTATGTACATTTCTCTTTTTGACGTTAGAATTTGAAAGAATTTCCCTTAAAATTTTGCGTATTGTCGGAATTTAATAGAAAGTAGTCCGGCAAGACACCAGTGAAAATACGGAAAATATGTTTCACTGCAGTGAAAAATGAATTTTTACAGTGAAAATACGGAAAATGAAAATACGCATTTTATTTAATCAATATTTCTCAATATTTCATTTTTAAGTATATAATAAATCTAGATATCTTAATTAACTTGATGTCCATGTAGTGTATATGAACATTATAAGTCTGTGTGATCGATTCTCAAAATCCCGTGGTATACAACTTTCACGGTAGTTAAATTTATTTCCATTTTAGTACAATAAGATTGTATTTTTCCCCTTGATTTCTCGTATAACAACGCCAATAACGTTAACTTAAAATAACTGCTTGGTCGGCATGTTAAAAAGGTACAGTGTATATAAGATACTAATATATTTTAAAAAGGAAAAACAATTTACCTTTGATGTGTTAAAACCACTTACAGTGACTATATCTTATCCAAATCTGACCTTCACATCCTTTACAACAATAGGATTACACGGGGTCAAATAGTCAACTGTTATAAACGTCAACACAAGTGATGAGAGACGTTCACGTGATACAGTGGACAAGTGATACAGTATAGGTTACATTATCGCGTGTGTTTATATTATCATAGCAAGGTGAGGATTTTCGAAGGTTGAACCAGAGTTTTATATTAAGGAAAATACATTGAATATATCTACATGAGCTGGTCACTGTTAGAAATTGACCTGTTTGCCCATTAAAATCAATAGTAATATTCCGCATTTATAAACTGATATAGATACATTTAAATATAACGATTGTTTTGCAAAGATAATTTTTTAAACGCCCATATATTTGTATGAAAAATCATTACCCTAAGCAAACAATATTATGTGGGATCACAGTGAATTAGTATTTTGTACGGAAAATACTACTTTTACATTTCGCCACCTTTATGACCCATTGTGCACGTTCAGCGCAACTGTCATTAGTATTTTAATACTTATCGTGTTGAACATTATTAAACACATGTTTGACATTAATAAAGAATTAAGAAATATGGATTTCTGAGGCATAAAACCTTTGGTGCTGTGATTAAGTTCAATATTTTGCCACTGCATTTTATTTCATAATTATGAATATATAAATAGAAAATAATAATATATGTTTTTTTTTTTTAAATATGGACCTGTCCAATCATTTACCATATGAGACTCATGTGCACTTTCCTACATACAGCACATATGGTATTGCTCATATTGGACACATACTTGAACTCATCAGTACTAGGGATTGAAATTACAAAAAATCCGTTAGTACTACAAAGAGATATTATTCAGTAAATATGGGATTTCGTTTGTTCGATGAACTGCACGAACGGCTGTCTGAAGACTTATATACTAGTATATAACAAGAGCGATCAGTGATCACATGTGTCGCCTCGTGCAAAAAACATAAACCTTCAACAGGGTAAGAAGCGTTTTTTATTCAAGGGCCCTAACTCAGACCAAAATCATTCAAGCCAAAAACCTGTGTAATATGGGCAAGAACTTGAGCTACCAATTACCTCTGTAAAGTTTCATTAAAATTGCACTAGTGGTATAAGAGGAGTAGTCAGGACAAACTTTTAAAAAATCATTAAAGGGCCATAACTCTGACAAAAATCATTGAACCAGAAAATGGCGATATAATTCATAACTTGACGTATAACTGATCACTTCTGTTAAGTTTGGGTGAAATTGCATCAGTAGTTTCTGAGAAGTCTGGACAAGCTTATGTGTAGCTGGCAACAAAAAACAAAACAAAAACAAGACATGCGCACGGGAACAATGTTGCGCAACTCATCCTCTTTATACTCAAGGCAAAATCTTGACATTGCATCATCTTAGCTGACCTTGACCTCTGACCCGGTGACCTGGTTCATGTGCATGACACGAAATCTCATGATGAATAATTTGAAAATTCCTCCATGCACAAAGAAGTTATGCCAAGGACAAGTTTGGATGCACGCACACACAAACACTGAACAGTCATTTTGAAAACTACATAAATGTAGGTGAAAGGTGACGATGATAATACAGAACAGCTTGCCAATTTCTACTTTTTATAACTTAGTGTTTAAAAAGCAAAAATGTACATGTTAATTTTTATGAATTATAAAAATCTAACATGATGATACACAAACTGTTTGAGATATAGCTCTTTCATCACATTTCCCGACACTGTTTTTTTTAACGTTTTGTTGTTGATGTTGTATTCTTTGCTTAATGTAAGTACCTGCAATCATGCAATTATTGTGTTTTTTTTATTTTAACTTGCAAGAAAAAATAATAGAACTACAGAATATTAAAATCTAGAAATAGCTTAAATTCAACATTGTTTTGTTGTCCGGAACAAAGCTGAAATACAACTTAATTGATATAAAAATGCTACCGTTTAGCTTATACTTATACTCAAACCATATTTACGATGTATGTAGGTGAAAGTTGATAATAATAAAAGTGAACAGCTTGGAGAATCCGGGTATCGATCCCGGTACCTCTCACATGCTAAGCGAGCGCTCTACCACTTGAGCTAATTCCCCTTTACACTCGTCTCGTCGCAAACCAGTTTTATCTGTGCATTTATTAGTAACTGTATGCAGGTACTCAAGTTTATTTCCTCTGCCATACATGTAAAGGGTAATAAGGTAGCGTGGCCGAGCGGTCTAAGGCGCTGGTTTAAGGCACCAGTCTCTTCGGAGGCGTGGGTTCGAATCCCACCGCTGCCAATATTATTTTTTAATTATTCAGTTGTATTCTCATGTTTGTGTGTGCAGATAAAACGTTTACTAATAAATATGAATGTTTGTATTCCCGTCACGTGTCAATATGCGTGAATGATTTTATCCGAAATGAATCTATTTACAGATGCAGCATGCATTAAACAATTATTATATTTTCCCAGTTAACACATGGATGGAAAAGTCAACTGAAACCATAATTACGATGTGCATTGTGTGTGGAGCTCAGCGCGAGTGGGCTTGACAAAAAACCTCTGACTTCTAAGTATAAGCAAGATACAGTACTGACAACCAAATAAATAAACTCACCTCACCACGGAGAACATTTGTTCTAAGTTAAATTAAAATCCATCCATGTATATGGAATTTATATTTAAATGAATGTTTTAATTATTATTTGACCTTTGAGCCTGAAGTAAAACCTTTACCTTTGCCACAGACACCAGAATTTTTTGCATGACACTCCGCCTCACTATGGAGAACTTTTGTTTAAAGGTTTATTTTATTTAAAAATCCTGCCACGTTTTGGAACCACCCCTCCCCCCCCCCACACACACACGTATGACCTTGACCCTTGAGCGGCGGACCTGGGATTTGCGTGTGACACACTTTTCTATCATGGTGAACATTTGTATCAATCATTTTTGAAATTCTTCAAAGAATGAGCAAGATATAGACGGGACAATTCCAGACAAACGCACGGACTTACGGACGCACATTCACCAAATCGCCAAAGTGAAACGTGGCAACTAAGTTGACCTCAACAGAAGCGGGCTTAACAATTTGAACAAGAGGGTCATGATGGCCCTGAGGTCGCTCACCTGTATATAGGCCTCCCCCCTCCCCCTGGCAGGGCCAATTTTAACCCAAGGGCTTTTATTTGAACAAACTTGGTAGACACCCATAAGAAGATGTTTCATGCTAAACATCTAAGCTCTAGCTCATTGGGTTTTGCATGGAATTAAATTTTTGAAGGTGACCACCAAAGGGACATTCCTGTGAAGTTTGGATGAAATTGGCTTAGTGGTTTATTAGGAGATGTCATTTAAAGTAAAAGCTTACGGACGGACGAAAAGGGATCACAAAAGCTCACCCTGTAACTTTGTGACAGGTGAGCTAAAAATCGTCTGACCACTAAGCACAAGCAAGATACACTGCCAACATACAAAATTTAATATTTTTTATTTGGCCTGTGTGACCTTGACCTTTATTTTGTATGACTTCCAGGACATTTGGATAAAAAAGTGGCCTCTAGAGTAACAAAGTTTTTCCATATTTGGGCTGTGTGACCTAGTTTTTGACCCCGAGGGACCCATATACAAACTTGGGCTAGAAATCTTCAAAACAACCTTTCTGACAAATTTTGAGGATATTTGGATCAAAACATTAGCCTCTAGTGTTAACACGTTTTTTTTTCACATTTGGGCTGTGTGACCTAGTTTTGACCCCAGATCACCCATATTCGAACTTTAGCTAGAAATCATCAAAACAACCTTTTTGACAAATTTCAAGGATATTTAGATTGAAACGGGCAAAATTTCTTATTGATACCTCTTGAGTTATGTCCCCCACATGGAAAGCTGACCGATGGACAGACAAAGTCGCAGCTATATGTTATCCCTTCCTGGAGAATAAAAACCAAGCTGAACTAAAATTTGTATCAAAATCTTTTATTTAAGAAATTAAGTTATTGATAACCAGTTGAATGACTTAATAAATAGCAACATGAACTACAGTGTTTGTGTTCTTAAAAAGAGATGACCACTATAAAATGACATGCTTTAATTGATGATAAAAATTTAACAAAATATGTTACTAAAACATCACTGATTCAAGGTTTATTACATTATTTCAAAAGATTCCATAAAACAACGACATGTCAACCAAAATGCAAAAATATTAAATGTCATTAACACAATAAATGTACATATATTTTCCTTCTTGTTTCATGCCAATTTGTTAAACTAATTTTAATACATATTAAGATACATGTACATAACAATCACCTGACACTACCTGACTGTACAACTTTAATTGTCAGACTAGATTTTACATATTACATCCATTACCAAAACTGTCTCAACAACCATTTTTGAATTCACACAGGAATAACAAAATCCAATACCTAAACGCTATTCAGTATAAAAAAAATATATTAATTCCAACAAAAAAATCTTAAACAAGATAATATTTGCTACTTCATTTATATATTTTCTACTTAAATGTTTCAAAACAGTTTGTTAAAATCAAGATTCCATACAAAGTTTCTGTGCTAGTAAGATCTAATACTTTATATTTCCATCATCCACAAAATCATTTTCAACCAAAAACTACCAAACAATACATTTTATTATTCAGGCTACACGCACCAGCCATTTTTCCACCTGTTCTAGGTCCGGTTCAGATTCAGAATTCTTCCCTTGAGCGCTACATTCAACAAAGTCCACCTGCATGGGTTTAAGATCAGCAAATGTAAAATCTCTGTCCCTCTTGCCGAGATATGTGTTATTGTTTCCCGCTGATGTGTCTTGTAACGCGGCTGATTTAGTAACTCGCAAAGTGTTGCTGAAAGTTTAGAAAAATAAAGATTATCTGACACAATTGTGCAATTTTATTGTACATGTGTCTCAGTTCAGAACTGCTCATTATTCATGGTAGAAAATGTGTAAGAGGCCAGATAGCTCAGTTTGTAGAGCCCTGAAATGGTACTCTGAGGGTCCCGTATTCGAGTCCCGGTCAGGCTTAACGTTTTTCTCACCATGCGATACATGTTTTCTATAAAATAATATAAATGTAAAGAGTATAATCTTTAACTTTGTTAATTTCACTTTGTTTTTAGATATTTTTATCACTGAAAAAAAGTCATTAATTTCTTTCCCTTCAAATGTTCAATTTCTGTATTTAAAATCATCAAAAGGTGCAACTTACTTTTTTTATACCTTTAAACTTAATGTTGATTTAGCAGTGTAATTTAAATTTCAAGGAACTCAACAACCAAATATAGAAATACACAACCATTTAATGAAGTACCACAAAACAAATCACCATTTTCAAAGGGCACTGAGGTTTTAATGCATGATGGGCCTGTCTAGTTTTGCAAGATTTGTAAACTTTTTGATCTCATATTGGGAAAAGAAACACATCAAAATTTATTTTCAATTAAATTATTAGTATATTCTTTAATTATCCTTTCCAGATTTTTCCACATTCACAAATTCAGCGCTTCACTTGATCTATGTAAAATTTCAATTTTTTTCATTTTTAGGTTTTTTTGACCTCAGTGGAGTTCCTTTAATAATAACTTCATATTTGTCTACATATAAACTGGGTATATTATATCAATCAAGCTGTACTTACATTTCTTTCTCCAATTGACTTTGAATGACCTTTGCCCCCTTAGAAAAGGTTAAGTCTTGTTTATTACACACAATGAGTACTGGTGGACAAATACTTGAGATTTTGCTGTCACTTAATACTGTGTAAAGGTACCTATATAGAATATAATTTAAAATCATGATATTATAACATGTCAAACATAATAAGTTATTGACATACATTTAGGCCAGCTTTAAAATTATTTTTGTTTCCCCTCCTGTGACCAATCCCAGATTGGGTAGGTTGATTCTTTTTTATCCTAAATATGTGTTTTGCTATCTAAAATTACATGGAATTCAAAACTAATTTTGAATGCTAAGTATCTGTTTCAAAATTAGAACCATAATTTTATTAAACATATATCCCAGTTTGTATCCCTACAATTCGTAAACATGAGACAGATATAAAGATGTTATTCTATAAAGATATTTTGTCATTGACAGACTCTGCTTCTTTGTTTAGTAAAGAAAATATCTTTTTTTTGCTAGGCAATGAATTTGCCTGTGATTTTTGTTGGTAGGTAGTGGGAGGGGAAACAAACATGACCTAAAAGTGAAATAAGAGTGAAACAATTACAGAAATACTTGATATAATATTAAATACTATACAATTAAACATCTACTTACAACCACTTGCTCTTGCAAGGTGAAAATTATTGTGAAGTCTTATTTTGTCAAGAATTAGTTTTGCTATTGTAAAAAGGTTTTTTCTCAGCAGTGAGTTGCTCTACAAGGCACAAAACGGCACCTGAATAGAACAACCAACCTTCCACAGGTGAAAACAGTGCAACTTATGTAGTAATATGACAATAAAATAACAGTATATGTAACCTGTATGACTTAAAATCTCAAGAAAACAAAGATAATGGTAGAACTTGGAGGCTAGCCTAACAAATAATCAATTAAGTAACCAAATCTCAAGAAAACAAAAGAAATGGTGGAACTTGGAGGCTAGCCTAACAAATAACTAATTAAGTAACCAAATCTCAAGAAAACAAAGATAATGGTGGAACTTGGAAGCTAGCCTAACAAATAATTAATTAACTGACCAAATCTCAAGAAAACAAAGATAATGGTGGAACTTGGAGGCTAGCCTAACAAATAATTTATTAAGTAACCAAATCTCAAGAAAACAAAGATAATGGTGGAACTTGGAGGCTAGCCTAACAAATAATTTATTAAGTAACCAAATCTCAAGAAAACAAAGATAATGGTGGAACTTGGAAGCTAGCCTAACAAATAATTAACTAAGTAACCAAATCTCAAGAAAACAAAGATAATGGTGGAACTTGGAAGCAAGCCTAACAAAAAATTAATTAAGTAACCAAATCTCAAGAAAACAAAGATAATGGTGGAACTTGGAGGCTAGCCAATCAAATAATTAATTAAGTAACCAAATCTCAAGAAAACAAAGATAATGGCGGAACTTGGAGGCTAGCTTTACAAATAATTAATTAAGTAACCAAATCTCAAGAAAACAAAGATAATGGTGGAATTTGGAGGCTAGCCTAACAAATAATTAATTAAGTAACCAAATCTCAAGAAAACAAAGATAATGGTGGAACTTGGAGGCTAGGAGGCTAGCCCAACAAATAATTAATTAAGTAACCAAATCTTAAGAAAACAAAGATAATGGTGGAACTTGGAGGCTAGCCTAACAAATAATTAATTAAGTAACCAAATCTCAAGAAAACAAAGATAATGGTGGAACTTGGAGGCTATGAGGCTAGCCTAACAAATAATTAAGTTACCAAATCTCACTATTTGTTTGGTAAGTATGCAGGAGAGTGCAAATGGTGGCATATCAATACAGCAGTTTAATGGGTAAATGATAGTAAAGAATAGCTTAAGAGTTCAATAGGAAAATAATAGTAAAGACTACATGTAGTTTCAGAACTTGATGGGTAAATGATAGTAAAGAATAGCTTAAGAGTTCAATGGTTAAATAATAGTAAAGACTAGTTTTAGAACTTGATGGGTAAATGATAGTAAAGAATAGCTTAAGAGTTCAATAGGAAAATAATAGTAAAGACTAGTTTCAGAACTTGATGGGTAAATGATAGTAAAGAATAGCTTCAGAGTTCAATAGTAAAATAATAGTAAAGACTACATGTAGTTTCAGAACTTGATGGGTAAATGATAGTAAAGAATAGCTTAAGAGTTCAATGGTTAAATAATAGTAAAGACTAGTTTCAGAACTTGATGGGTAAATGATAGTAAAGAATAGCTTACTCTGCTATATCCTTGATGTCTTTCTGAACACTAGAGCTATCCACAATAAACATGATAGCCCTGAAAATAATTAATAATAATACATAAATTACAAGGAACATCGCAATGCGATGCAACCAGGTTTTCAGCAAAATATTTCACAGAAGCTTTGTGATGAAGGGGTATTTGTTTTTAATTGAATTTTTAGGAGGAATTATGGCTTTTTTAATATTCCTCAAACAAAAATGATTGAGAAATTTTATTTTGTCTATTCGCCTTTTTTCCCCAAATGTTTTAGAAAGGTAAACAGTACTTTATTTTTGCTTAATTTTTGAAGTTGCGCACTGTAGAAATTGTTCACTATATATTCTGTATAAGGAAAAAATATACAAAGGTCCATAATTCGGTCAAATATTATCCAACCACAAAACCCCGACAATATGTGCCAGGCACTTGATAACAAAGCTTCTAAGAAAGTTTGGTCAAAATCCGTTAAGAAATGTAGGAGGAGTTGCGCACAGAAGAAATTGTTCACTATATATTCTGTATAAGGAAAAAATATACAAAGGGCCATAATTCAGTCAAATATTATCCAATCACAAAACCCCGACAATATGTGCCAGGCACTTGATAACAAAGCTTCTAAGAAAGTTTGGTCAAAATCCGTTGAGAAATGTAGGAGGAGTTGCGCACAGAAGAAATTGTTCACTATATATTCTATATAAGGAAAAAAAACAAAGGGCCATAATTAGGTCAAATATATAACAATTGCAAAACCCTGGCAATATGTGTCAGGGCACTTGATGACAAAGCTTCTGAGAAAGTTTGGTCAAAATCCGTTGAGAAATGTAGGAGAAGTTGCGCACAGAAGAAATTGTTCACTATATATTCTGTATAAGGAAAAAAAACAAAAGGGCCATAATTAGGTCAAATATATACCAATTGCAAAACCCTGGCAATATGTGTCAGGGCACTTGATGACAAAGCTTCTGTGAAAGTTTGGTCAAAATCCGTTGAGAAATGTAGGAGGAGTTGCGCACAAAAGAAATTGTTCACTATATATTTTATATAAGGAAAAAAAACAAAGGGCCATAATTAGGTCAAATATTATCTAATCGCAAAACCCCGACAATATGCGCCAGGGCACTTGATGACAAAGCTTCTGTGAAAGTTTGGTCAAAATCCGTTGAGAAATGTAGGAGGAGTTGCGCACAGAAGAAATTGTTTACGCCCGCCCGCCCGCCGACATACCTCAATCTAATAACCAGTTTTTTCCTTCGGAAAACCTGGTTAATAAACCATTCTAAGGCATTTCTATATTTAAACTATACCATTCTCAATAGGATCAGAGAAACTGTATATTACAAACTTGTAGGCCTACAAAAAAATAAATGTCACAAAATTACCTTTATAACAACAAAATGTCAGTTACTCATAAAGTACATGTGACCTGTCACAACCATAATCATTCTAGTTATATATGCAATTAAAACGACATACTATACATGATAGTTATTGTTTTTTCTTAAAATATTTCATGACATAACTGCAACTTTTAACTGCCTGGTTTATACCATTTAACATACTTAAGCCAAATCAAGGGCGATAAGTCATAAGAAGCCATCCATTTATCTCAATAGGTAGAGCGTTGGACTGGAATCGGGCAACCCGGGTTCGATTCCGGGACGACGCAGGTCACTTTCCTTGTGATTGATCATGAAATCCTTTCTACAGTCATTCGCACTGTACCTCAGCTCTGGCATGTACAGAAGTTTCAGTTCCTTGCAAAAATGAAGGCAACTAGTACTTTTTGCTTGCCCAGGAATGATGCGGTGGTTGAACTGTGCTCTGGTGAATTCAATGTGGCTCACTGTAGTGACCCGGAGTGAAAACTACCAACACCACCAAATAACTCATGAGAATAATGTTACAATAAGATTTTTTTGGTTGGGTTTATGGTGCACCAACACAGTATAGGTCATACATCGACTTTCCAGCTTAACTGATAGAGGAAGGCCTCAGGTGCACCTCTATGCATTTTTTCAGGCACAAACTGGCATGCGAGTAGAACCGCTGACATTCTGTAAGCTAGATGGAACCAATAAACAAGTATATATAATATGTGCATTTTGACAAGATACTGTTGGTAGCTAAAATATTTTTTATTTGATATTGAAATCTCTTGAACTTTGAGTGGACAGTTCGACTGTTCTAAATTAAAAACAGGGCAAATCCATTACACCAAACACAGAAGGTTTAGGGTCAATAATGTAACTGAATTTCTGATATTTTACCTTGTCAGATCTTTGTGTGTTTCCAGCATTTGAAGTCGCACTCTTTCATGGCCAGGTAGATCAATTATCCTTAAAGTTTTACCCTGAAATATGTAATTAAATCAGTAAGATCAACAAAATGTTGATTACGCCTTACATTTTAATTAACTCAGCCAGTTTGACAGCATGATCTGGTATATCTGGTATTCTCTGTTTTTCTGATAGGTTAACAAGTTTTCTTGAAGGGATTAAAAGAATCTGTAATTCTGTAAAAAATCCATGCCAGCCTTAGTTAAGTAAAATATTTGAAATTATGTACAATTTGATGAATAAAATTAGTGTTTTATAGTACATTAAGGGGCTGTGGGAGCGGATTGACTATGAAACAAGATCTATTACACAAATAGATTCTTTACTGTCTGAACTTGCTTTTATAAACAAAAACATATTTGAAATCAAAATTCATGGATGAATCAAGAATCTTGGTGCATGTTATAGTCTGAAATGCAGCAAGATGGGAATTCAAAGACTTCTTCCACCATGTTAACAATGTAATCATAAGAAATTTTATTTATTAAAGTCATTTAATATAGCAGGCCCCTAGGGAAAAAGTAAGGTCTTCATAATTGGCTAATAAAAATAAATGCTCTGTTATACATTATCTTCTTTTCTTTTTTTAAACAAAGTACATGTACTTTACCGTATCTGGGATAGTGTATGTTCCAGAATTTGCTGATATAGATGTAAATGTAGCTTTGTATTTCCTATAAACCAGCTGAAATAACAATGTATTACATATATGGATTACATCAATTGTGATAAGTAACATACAATATATGACTGACTGTATAGCTAGACTCTCTGACATAAAAATAAAACAATCAATGCTCATAGCCCTTTCCCTCATACAGTTTGTATTAACTTTGTCTGAGTGTCCTTATTTTAAAAACATCTTTGCAATCAAATTTAAAGACCCTTGCATGTGGTAATACATGTAGATAGGTGTCCAAAATCACTTTTATGAGCAGGGTGACCGTGTCCGTTTGACCCTTGAAATGACGCTTTGACACTTCAAATTTCCAAGACCTGATTTGACCCTCATGATTTTAACTGCAGCGTCAAATTTTGTTAAAATCATGGGTATTTGCCCTTGTAGTTGGAAAAACTGGTCAAAACTGGTCAAAATGACCCTTAGGATTTCATGGCTAGTGAACAACCTGATAAGGGAAAGGTTTACAATCAACTTTTAATCAATACACTTAAACAATCTGTGCTTTTAAATGTATGACCATGAGGCAAATTTCATACAGGTCGAAGAACTGTTTCTTTGCAATTACCCAATGCTCAGCATAATAATTTTTATATTTTAAAAAAATGTAAAAACATAATCGTGAATATTTACAAATGATTATTAATAACATTTAGTCATTCCTGAAACAGTTTTGTAAGACAAATGAGACAAAATTGAGCCGCATCATGACAAAACCAACAAAGTGGGTTTGTGACCAGCATGGATCCAGACCAGCCTGCGCATCCACGCAGTCTGATAAAGATCCATGCTGTTCGCTGTCAGTTTCTCTACTTGTAATAGGGTTTGTAAGCGAACAGCATGGATCCTGATCAGACTGCGCGGATGTGCAAGCTGGTCTGGATACATGCTGGTTGCAAATTGCCTGCTGCACAGTAAATGGGCCAATTTTTCAAAAATACATGTAATGCAGGCTTTTTCAAAAAATATATTGCATTTTCTATTATTTTTTTGTGTTTTTACAAAGGACTTACTATAAAGCAAATGTGCCCAAAAAAAATTTGTGATAGCATTACCCAAAATAAAGATACAGACATTTTTATACCCTAAAAATATCCAATTTTACATGTAATGTGTTAGCATCTGTTTTTTTGGTGTTTTTAGAATTAACACCAATATTATCTGTTTTAATTTATCACTTAAATTTGTTTACATGTACATAGAAAATTTAATAACCTTTCCAGTGATATATAATACTTGGTATACATCATTCTGGTTTTTATCGTTAAGAGGATTTTAGTAAAATCAGACTTTTGTAATGCATCAGTTTCTTCAAAATTCAGTTGTTAAGCAAACAAGAATACCTTTAAGCAATAACAAATAAAATAGAACTTTATTGTCTCAATCTAATGAAATATGAATTAAAAACATATGTTAAGTGTTTTCAATTCAAATTTTCAAACATTTTTACCATAGTAGGCATTTTAGTGGTAAAAAAAATTTTGTGATGAAAAAGCTGTAACATCCGTCCCCCTCTCATAAAATATCCAATTATAAAACAATACTCATAAAAAACAATGTTTCTGGTGCTTAATGATAGTTTTACAATGAAAATGTTATAAAAAATGCCAATTTCTATGTTTATGAGAAAAAAAATACAATAATGTAAAAGTTGTCTGTAACATCCGTCCCCGTAACATCCGTCCCCCTATATAAGGTGCTTATTAAAACTCACATAAACTGTAACTGAAAAGGGAATTTTAAACTAAAACACCAAAGTTACAATGAAAATTGAAGAAATAACAGAAATAAAACACTGAAATGATGTATTTATAAAAAAAATATTATTTGTTAACACGAAATTCCTTAATTTTGAAAAAAAATCAGTATTTTTTTGCTCTGGAAACAAAATTATTTACTTTGAAATATAATTTTTATGTTATTTTTTAACCTCAAGTGGACCTATGAGTTTATTAAGATAATATTTAAGCTTATATGAATTTATAACAAATATAATCTTTTGTTATTCTGTGTTTACAAACTAAGGGTACAGAAGGGGACGGATGTTACAGAATTGAACTAAAAATTCTTTTTACAGTAATACGAAACTTATCTTGTTCTTATGATGCATGATAGAGAAGTAGTAAGCTTTGCAACTGTATAGGAATGTTTCACACAACAAATAAAATACTATAATTTAAAAAAAAAAAACTAGAAGAAACAAACACAAAATCCATAACAGGAGAGATAGCAAGAGGTGCAAACGATAGAGATGTTGAAAGTATCTTTGTGATTAAAATTGGTCAATTGTTAAAACATAAATTCTTTAGCCTTTAATAGTTAACAAACCATGTATCCCAGCCCCTCATAAAACAGTGGGATATGGATCCTAAATCTATACACACAGAAGGGGCTGGCACTTTATTGGAAGTTAACGAGCTGTATATTGGGAGCTCTGTATATTGTATATTGGGAAGTGTGATATATTACAAAACAGTAGGGGTGCCAATTAAGGGTGATATATAGTATGCTTAAAAACAGTGGGAGGGACTACTATATCTGTTTCAAGAATGTCTGTCATTAAGTATTAAAGATGAAGATCAATTAAGTCAAAGGATTTATTGAACTTCAAAATTTTATAGGCTAAATATGTAGTCAATGAAAAATAAACAAATAAAGAAATATAATTCAACACCCTGATTAAAATTTTTAGATTTTTTCCCCCAAAAAACTCAAGCACATTTTCATACAATTTGACCCATTTAATTATTGTTAATAAAGTGAAAGAAACTTGTAAGTAAAGGATATGGTAATGATTCCTGTAATTAAAAAGTTGGAATAATTGTGAAAATTATTCTGTAAATAAACGCTTTGCAAATTATTTTGCACCTATAAATTTTATTGAATGACAAATAAGTTCATTAAGTTAAGCAGTTCATGTACACTGAAATATTTACACAGAGAATTATTAAAAGTTAGAAATAATGAGATTATGATACTGAATCATTATGAAATTTTTGGATAATGCTGCTAACATTCCACATTAATCAATAGAACTTAATTGCAACAATTTAAAATCTTATAATTTTTAATGAAAATTTTAAATTGTGCATAATTTATGTATTTAGTAATGAAAAATTCAAGCTTGCATATGTTTCAATCTGAAAACTTATTTAATTCACACTGTATCATATCTTTTACAATATAAATCTTATTATTTAATTAAAGTATTTTGTAAATAATTTCATGTATAGAAAGGTACCGTTGGTATGACAGTTTCTCTTTAATGTTAATGCATTATCAGTAAACAAAGATTCCTTTATTTAATTAGCAATGTTTTTATTTTATTCAAAACATTTCAATGTTCATTCAAATGTAAGATAAATGGAAGAAAACTAAGTCAATGCAACTTTTCATTGTGAAACGCAAATAGTAAGAAACTCCATAATTGTCGGGTATATTTCTACATTTTTCTCATAATTTGTTCAATTATTTTACATTTATTGTGCTGTACAAAGCATATACTCTTATAAAATTTATTACTTTAAAATAAAACCAAAAAAAGTATAACCCATGAGCTTTAAACATCTTGTGTAACATCCGTCCCCCCAAAAATGTAACATCCGTCCCCCTGATACAATTCATTTTTGGGTTATCTGACAAGAAATATACATAGGAAAGTCCTTTAATTTCTACTGTTTTATAAGAAATGTGTTTGCATATTTGATTTAAATATGATTTGGTGTACCTATCTTTGTTTTATTTCTCTGTTTCTAACATGTTTGAAAATTTCATTTTGTGTGAAAAATACTGAAAATTTGATTGCAAATATTTATATATCTAAGATGAATTTTCTGGATTTTTTTTGTAACATTAATCAGAACACATAATATTTTTATAAAATAAAGAGAAATAATACAATTTTTATTATAAACTGTAAGATATTAAGACATTTAGTATATCTTTGTAACATCCGTCCCCTACCCACACAGTCCGCAAGAGATGTAAAATTTTGAAAAAGGTCTCCAAAAAGTTATCCTTTCTTTTCAAAAATATTGTTATAGACACCCTAAGGTACTTAAAAAGAGCAAATATTGTCTTGTATGTTTAACTTTATTTTTTGACTTAGATGCTAACACAATTGGCCCATTTACTGTGCAGCAGGCAAAATGCATTACCTTGGTTTTGTTGTGACGCGGCTCAAATTTTGTAAATAAAAGAATTTCTTTAAATTTTGTAAATAAAAAAAATTCTTTATCGTTCACAACTGAGCAAAACTTGTATAAAAACAAACCATGCATTTATACTGTAAAAAAGTGATTATTAAATCAAAGAGGAATTGTGCGGTTATTTTAAGAATTTTCCATACCCTCGTGTAGAGCAATGTCTTGCCAGCATCACAGCTTCCTAGCAACAGAACACCCCTACGTTTGTTGCCTCTCTGTCTAAACACACTGAATATTACTGAAAAAAAAATTATGTGGCATAGATAATAAACTGACAAAACACACCTGTAGGAAAAAAAATGTAATATAAAATGCATTGAACTACTAAAAGTAAAACATTATTTTTGCACAGTTAAATTTATTTTTAATTATTCTATGAATAAGCAACTGAACGTATGAATCTAAATAAAACTGTTTTAAAAATTTTACCTTACCCCTCCCACTAAGTCAAACAGGCCGAAACCATATGTTTAAAGAATTTTCATATAAATAAAGTAACAGATAAAACACATTATAAGTTTATACTCACAAAACGTTAGAAAAACTACAAATACTGCAATTAATATGCCAATAACGGAATAATCTCCTTCATTAACGGCATTTTTTAGATAATTCATCCAAACAGTTACGTGGTTCGGCATTCTGTCGGCCATGTTTGACATGTATAATACTACTTCCGGGTTACGGTACAACACCTCTAAAAATATGCGCTCCTCTTCTCTTTTCAAAGGCTGTTGTCCTCTAAATGTTATCATAACGGAAAAAAATGTGGGGGGTCTTGTTTTTGTATTCACAAAGAGCAGGATCTATTTGATTCCAAATAAGTTAATATACAGTTAAAAACTACTAGAAAGGTCAACAAAATGTAAAACCATCAAAAAAGTAAAATAACTTATGTTTCAAATACAAAGAGCAGTTTCTAATTCAAGGAAAATGTCACGGCAACTCAAAGTTCAATGAAACCACTTTTCAATGGCACCAACAACAGTAATTACGCATAAGTAATTACGACAATTGAAGTAGTTTGTAGTCGTTTTGACTTGGTGGTGTGGGCGTATCAATACATTTTTATTTTATATGTGGAGACGAGTCAGAAATGGGTTATTTCTTTCTATAAAATATTGACCCAGAGTCCGGTTGTAGGCATTATAATATGGCTGTTACTTTTCTTCGATGCACTGATAGGCTTCGAAAGAATTAAGCTATAGACACGACATTATTGTCATAAAAATCCGACAGCTTTACAACTAATGAAAGATAATCATAAACGTTTTGCTCCCAATGAATACACAAAGACACTTTCAAGTAAATAGTTACTAAAATGTTACTAATAAATATATAAATAATATGAAAAATGATAATTTGCTGGCCATACCCAATGTGGTCTTTCGCCCTCTCATACCTACCCCACCCGAAGCTTCATTGTTTGTGCTCGCGGCTAACCGCGTGCGACATCAATCGCAACCTCCCACGTGACACCTAAACCAGAAATCATGGATTCGCCCTGACTAGTCAACCAAAGTTGCTATCTTTTTCTTTGGCAATATTATATCTTAAGCTAATAATCAGAATCATCATACTTATACTTGATGATCAAAAGTTCTTATTACTTTTAGAAACTCACAAACAAGCATTTTCTTCATAGGGAATACAATAAATTATGCATTTTTGAAAGTTACAGGCATCAGTAAAATGTTACAATTTTTACTATTTTTTTGTTTTACTTTATTTATTTGTTTATTTTAATTCTTTTGGTGCTTGAATGAAATTCGCTCATGACATATCAAAATTGATATCAGAAACAAAATCAAAATAGTTTTTAATAATCACCTTTATTGCACATACTCAAATTAATCAATATTTACACATAAATTCATAATCACTTATGTTACATGTACACTCATATGATGACATACACACCGTGTTTATATTTTCTAGAAGACAAAATTTAGAAGATAACACAAGGTTATTTAAAATACAAGTAGGTTAGATTTTTAATAGACGCCAATAAATATATAAAACTATATAAACGTCACGGTTAACCAATGAAAAGCGACGAAGCTAACGTGCAGTATTATAATTCAGCGCGTATGCGTTCCGCAATGATCCCTACTTTTGCATGTATGTATACATTTAGTTGTTTATCTACTAGATTAAAAAAGAGTATGCATTCTATAAAAAAATGTAATGCTATTCAAACCTTCCACCATTGAAAGTTTTGTCCCTAGGTAAGTGAAATTGGGGATAGTACAGTGCTGTATAATTTTTCGAATAATTCGTACACAGTTGTTATTATTATATAAAAATATTATGCAAATTCACGATTTTAAAATTCCTTATGCATTTTAGGTACTCATAAAACATATCTACAAAAATGTATATATTCATATGCCACAAGATTATTTACATTAATTCTATAAAAGATCAATTTGCACACCTTTATGAAATTGAAATTCTATATACACAAGTATATACAGGAGGCCGTTAGCATTATTCGGAATTACGGACAATGCTGTGCATTTTTATATACTACCATCTCACATACTAAGGGAACGGGAAATCAACATTCAAGCATGCACAATAAAGATGTCTTTGGTAACATTAAAGACATATATATCAATTCCGTCAACAGGAGATAAATGTACAATAAATACGCATTTAATTACAAGAGGTATCACAGCACTAAAAGTACAATACTGGCACTTAGAATTGTCATCATCACAGAAGTCAAAGAAAAGCGTTTCGAGGATCCTGACCGAAGTTGACGCGCGAACTTCTGTATTGCGCATGTCTGTTGCAGACTGTTTTGTAGATTTCGGTTATTTTTGCAGGAACTTGGTAATACATTGCACTCAAATTCATTTTTCAGTCCGGCGACACTGTCTGAACATTTGTTTTTCCACACCCCTATATCACACTCCATGAGTTGTACTTTAAGTCTGAAGGAAAGAAAGAAAGATATAGGATACGTTCCTAGCATATGGTCTCTATGTATGCAATTTAAAACTTTAATAAAATATTTTATTTTTGCAAGTACATTGTATTTCTTTTTAAAGCATACACTAATACGCAAGAATTAATTCTTATAATACAAATATCAAGAGATTATGTTTTACTCGACTTTCTCAGTTCAAGTTTTATGATTCTTTAGTCATAATCAAATTGCTTCAAACTCCTTGGCAAAGAGCACATTTCCCTTCCTTAGAAAGGACAAACACGTGCTTTGCTGTATTGGTCAAGAATTTACAGCATGCGAGATGCTAATAGCATAAGGAAACAAATGCTGAACGTGAAATAATTTGTCATACAGGTAGCAAAATGTAGGCATTTTGATTTCCATAGAAAATACCAAATCGCTATAATGTGCTGATGGCTAATGAGTTTGGAAACTGTAACAAAACACCGGACGTAACAAGAGGTTCCGAGAAATAAAAGAACATTTCTAATACTGTATTGAGGGCTTAATGGGCCTTTAAGAAATGAACGGATTTAGGCGGCCTTTAATACACTGTGCAAGCATCTCATATCTTATACATATGTGAATATGAATGATTTTGTTACTTTGACCTTTTATTCTATTTAATGTGATATTATATATTATGATATACGCATTGCATTTGTAACAGCAAAAAACATAATATGGAATGGAAAAAAATATATCAATATAATTATAAGCTTTATGTTATGATATAGATCTAACATAATATTAAGAGGATATTTTTTCGTTTGAGTGAAATATGGAATATATTTCACTCAACATGATAAAATGCCACATATTTTCACGAGCCGGGACGGCGAGTGAAAATATGTGGCATTTTATCATGTTGAGTGAAAATATATACGATATTTCACGAAAAACGAAAAAATAACCTTTTTATTTAATTTCATTATCAAAGAAAAATGGTTACGAACCCCCTTGTTTGCTACGCAAATGCAATTGTACAGCGCGCAGTAATATATAATTATTGTTTTGCACGCGATATTTAGCGCTATATTGTGACGTCACGTAAACAACTCTTTAAATGTCTGTACAGCGTTAATGACTGAATTAAAGATATTGGTGTCCGGATTTATTTTCTTAGTTAGACCATTTTCTACCATTCTAGATAGTTTTCAAAACAAAATTCAACAAAAAGTTTTTTGTATTTATCAGTTTTTTTTCAAACAAAATGGCGAAAGAAGTCCCTTAGCCTAAATGGATTTAGCTCAATACAGGATTGGAGCAGTACCTCTAGACGCTTGCAGAAATCATGATCACAAAATAGACAAATATCTTTTTTTTGCACCGATTTTTACCATTTTCGCTGAATAATCTGTAATTTGATTCGCGTTGTGAAAAGATGAATTAGACCTGTTAAGTTCATTCGTTGGTTAAAGACAATTTTTAAGCATTTATCATTCAAAGCAATTTCGGTATATACCGAAAACGTATTTATGTGGTGTCTCAATTTTTTTCTGCAAAGCAGCCAAAATAAATATGAGTTTTGACTCCGCCCACTTTCATATTTATATTTCATATTTACTTTTAAAAAATATGAAATATATTTGACTGATATAGCACCATATTTCATGGGTAAAATTAAATAAATATATTTTTTATGCATTTCACTTTATTTAAAGTTTCATTTGTAAATATTTGTTTAAACTAAAATGCATGCATATAATTTTAAACTAATTATTTAAGTGGCTAACTTACTGGCATTTAGCAGTCTCGTACTGGTATGTGGACATTTGTTGTCGTCTGCCGCCGTCTTCTAATTCTCTTAGATTCGTAGCAATCGTACTTTGACACCGCTTTGTCTCTGATGAAGTCTCTTTGAAACATTTAAGTGACCTCAAATACTCTAAAAATAAAATGAATGAAAAATAAAGCCCTACCTTTCTTAAAACATGTTGTATATATATGCTACTCATGTGCTTAATTTATATCAATTGGTTCAGTAGTATTATTTGCAGTTTAGTTTCATGTTACTGTTGAAATTTATCATATATTTGAAAGACAACAATAATAGAAGTTA